AGCCATGCCCTCTTCCGAGCCGCCTCCCGCCCCTGGCCACGCCCACCGAGGACCCGAACTTATGCCGGCAATGTAATTAACACACAAAAATTGAAATCTGCTGGCAAGAGACGATGGCTTCATTGAGGTCCTAGGAATGTCTGCAGATGTTGGGGCATGTGGATATGGGCGGGCATCCTGCAGTGAGTTTGTGTGTGTGTCGGTGTGTGGTGTTTACACACACGAAGTCGCAACAACATCCTTTTTGTGTTTTCGTAATTAAAAATCAGCTGCAGGATATTTTTCGCCCAGATTCTCACCAACGAAATTACAACCTCGGCGAGTTGAGTCTCAGTTGCTGTATTCGCAAGTACGAGTGTGTACAGCAATTTTCCCAGCTACTTGTAACATGAGCAGGCGGAAAACTGGCACGCCCACAAGATAAATATTGAGCAATTCTACTTTGCCGATTGAATATTGCGCAATTAAAATGTGTTTAAATTAAGGCAAAGCATTAAAGTTGCCAGTGAAAAGAAAATCCGTTTTAAATTCCAATCGCAAGCTGCATCAAATTCCTGATATTAAGTTGACATCTTTCTATCAAACAAATAATGAAAATATCATTTGAGCATTTATAAAAATTCAATGAAATTCCTTTAATTGAATTTTTTCAATAATTAAGCAGAAATATTTTCGGTACCAGCGAGTTTAACCTCCGCGCTTTTACACAGCGAACATAATTGAATCCGCACACCTACAGATAAAGATACATGAGAAGGGGCTTCATTATCCGGTGGATAATATGAACGAACATATGGGCAAGTTACTGCGGTCTTGCCATTCAACATACAACATCCAACAGCCAACATACAACATCCAACTCATTGTAATGAAGAAGCTTAAAATAATTAACCGGCGAGACTCGAACTTTCAGAGAGATAAAAGAATCGCAAAAGCGTTTAACCGACACAACAAATATGCCTCAATATGATTTAAACAAACGTGCAGACTGGCCAAGAGGAGCGGAAAGGGAAACGCGTTAACATTAAAGCCAAAAAGCGTGAGCAAATATTTTCCAGTCCGGCATTTCAGGTCTGGTGCATTCGATATGTGCCCTTGTCCCCTTGCCTGCCACCCGAAAAACGTAATTTATTTCCCGATCATTTATTTTATATTAATTAAATATGCGGTTTTAATATATACATTTAAATCACACACTCTCGCATATTTATATTTACATATATCATTTGTAGAAGGACTGGTGAAGGGGATGGGGAAAATCTGTTTTTAAGCTGGAAAGAAAACATTGAGGGATTTCCCGGCGTTGTTTCTGTGTGTTTCTTTATTCGGCGACCGCAGGAAAAACAGAAAATGCAATGAAACGAATCGAAATGAAATGCTTTGACAAGCATCTGCTGTGGGCGGCTCTCGTGGCGGGGGCGTGGCCTGTTTTTGACAAATTGACTTTGCCAGCAATAATAATAACAATAACAACAGCAACAGGAACAGCAACAAGAACCCATTTTCAAGTACTGTATTCATATTGATTTCAAACGAAACTTGAAATGCAAATGACAGATTTATTTTTCATGCTGTCGTTCTGCTGCTGTCAATCAAATTGTCGAAGGTGTTGATTGATGTCTAGCCGTTGGAAGGGGCCAGAGTACTCGAGTGGGCGGGAGTTATGCATTAAGAACATTTCAAATATTTTTGACAGCTCCGAATTTGAAATTTCAGCTCCTTTCTAACGATGCCACCTAGCACAGTGTTCTCGAAGAGAGGGGATATATTCCTTGGCTTAAGTTTTAAACTCAAAATTTTGTAGTAGTTATTATTAAATATTCTTTTTATCTTAGGAATAAGATACCATACCCATACTCTTTATATATATTTTCTTAAAACACGATTTCAGTCTTCTTTCTCCTATCTCCACTGTAACTTGGCTGCTGGAAAATGCTTGAGTGAGTTTTTCCTATTGACGCAAGCTGAGTCCATGGCAATAGCTACTGAGCCAGCCATTCAAGCGAGCATTAGACATGCTTAGAAATGCAATGGAGCATGTGCAGCTTCGATGCTGAAAGAGATTACCCCCAGTCACGAACCGGCCAATCCTCCCCTGGAAATATGAATGGTGCCCGAACGACTTCAAGAAAATAAAATCACCACGAAAATCGCTATTAAGATCTTAGCCTACATTTCATTGTTGGCCGGCTCTCGGCTCTTGGCTCTTAAGCCAAAATAAAATAAAAAACGGCGAGCCCAAACAAAACCTCTGTGTTCGCAGGTGCTAAATTTTTGCAAGCGCGAGCTTCGCCTTTGTTTTGGCTTGTCGAGTATAGTAATTTGTTTGCATGTTTATTCATGGCAGCGTCGTCGAGGCGGCAGACAACGTGTAGACGAAAAATAAATACTGGCTAAAACACACACTCCGGCCGAAAGCTCGGTGCCACACGCACTTAACAATGCGAAATGCTTGAAACAGCCGAGTTAGGGGCCCCGTTCCCTGCCCCGTCTTCCTGCCTCGTGACACTCGCGTTTTAAATAATTCAGCGCCACACGGCGAAACACCCAGCCACAGCAGCGGTCACGAAATTAACTCTATTTGCAATAATATTTTAATCTAAAGATCTGGGAAGTGCATCTCTGAGTTATATTTCATTTATAGGAACTTTAGTAAGCTGAAACAAAATCACTTGAGATTTGTTATACATTTATCCAAAATATACATCACATTGACCTCCATTGTTCCACACATTTTGCTCGAAAGCAGCGAAATTGAAAGCTTAAACGGCCGGGAAGCTTGAAAGCGGGGCAAAATACGAAAAAAAGCGGAAGCGAGGACAGCAAGTTGAACGAGAGGAGCGGCAAAGTGCTTTAAATGGGTTGCAGGATTTTGGGCACCATTCACAGGACAAGGGGAGGACTAAAGCAGGGACCTCCTCTCATTGGCTTTCGTCGAGGGGTTATCCTCTTAGCTTAACCCCATAAGGCCACAAAAGATGTTTAGCTTTATTTATGTGTCGAAAATGGTAAAGTGGAACCGGAATGAAGTGGGTGGGCTGAAAGGCAGGCTCATGGATTATGCACTAGGGGAATTCAAGGCAACACGGCTTGCTACTGATTTAGGGCCAACTTTCTCTATCTTTCGGACCACATTTTCGGCTTGTATTAACTTAACCGAACTGAAAACTGAACTATGTATTTGAATGGCTTTTAAAAACGGTTACTGTTTCTGAAAAAGACTAAACCATCAGTACAACATCATCATAGACTTTTTGATGGCGTTTCAACAGCCTGTGGAGACACTCTTGATTTTATTTGCAACATAATTAAAACACTTGCTGTGGAAATTGTGCCAGTGAAGGGCCTGACTCCACCCGACTCCGCCCACCTGCAATCCCATTAAAAATGTTCCCAACGCATCCTTTATGCTGATAATAAAGTTAGTGCTCTACATATCCCCGTAATTTCCTTATTAGGACGCCGCTCCTTTAATCCCGCCAACTCACCTGGGCTTATTCAATTCCAACTTTTTGCACTTTTGATGCAGTTACTTGGCATAAAACTTACAAAAAGCAGTGGAGCACCAAACTCCGCTCTCCATGGAGAATTCAATTAAAAACTTCAGCGCCCTAAGGGGAGTGAAAGTGGAAGAGTAGGAATGTTGGTGAGGAAGGGAAGCTGAGGGGGAGCTTGAAAAAATCATAGAAGTATTTTTGATTTTGTTCGCATATTTCTGTTATTGGTTGAAATTCTATACGGGAGAGGATTAGTGCCACCCACCTGGAGTTCCAGGAGTCTGGTCTCTGGCATCACCGGCATGCCATCCCTGGCCAAACTCGCACAAACGAAATAATCCAATATACATATTGTATTGTGCGATAATACTACGGCTCGGAACGAAGCCAGAGATGAAATCCGGCAGTCGTCCTGCCGGTTTCTTTGCTTCTTTTTCCACTCCGGACCCACACTCCTTTGTTTAACAATGCTTTCCGGATATCGTTCGGTTGTTTTCTCTTCATGGAGTGCGTTTCATTTAAATTTTTTGCCATTTTTAGGCAGTTTTATGCTTGGCAAAGTCAACAACTGGCGAACAGAACAGATTCAATGGAAAATCATTTCAATTTCTCTGGCAAATTTGCATACATACGGGCCATGTCTGTCTGTTATTTTCCGTTTGCACAAAGCAAAAGAACTGCCACAAGTTAAAGCCCGCCAAAGATTCCGTTGAGGTGAGGCCTTAATGAAGCCTCAAATCACTTGTCTATCCATAAAGGAGTTCTAAAGAAATTTCACCTTGCTGAATCTGTAAACAGAAATTTGCCTATTTCCCCCTGACTTGAGCTGCCAATAAATTATTCCGCCCGATAGAAGTAATTCGAGGAGAATAATTGAAATTGTAATTGTCGCAAACGATGGAGTGCCCTTTCTTGACTTTATTCTCAATTTTGCCACATTGATTCCGGGCAGCTGGTGCGCCGCAGTTTGTTTGTTTCTGGGAGTTCCCTTTTTTCTGCCAACTCTGCATACGGCAAAATAAAAGATAATGCTGATTGTAAGTGCTGCACAGTGCGAAAAATGTTAGAGATAGAATATATTTGAGTTTATAAGTATTTGAAAACATGTGGAAAATATCTACAAACGTTGGCATAGCTTTGCTTTTAACGTAGTTTTAGGTTCTGTAAAATGGTTTGTGACTGCAATTAGTAATGCCATTAAATCAAGACTTTTCTTGCAAGTGTATACTTTTACTGAAGTCCGGATTCTGTGGTCCATAACTGTTCGAGTGACCCCTGTTTGGGCAACTGGCCAGCCGGGAAATGTGGCAACTGCCCGGCGCTAATGTCACCGTCTGGGCCTTTTTGGCAACCTCGCCAATTGGCAATCGGACGTGAGTTCTGTTTATTTTTATGTGACAATGCAAAGTAAGTGCACTCGAGCTCCTCGGGAGGTACACATAAGGTCCGAAGGATGTGCATAAAAATCAGTGGGCTTTAAAGTTAACGATGCATCTCGCTCAATTACGGCAGTATAAACAACTTCATCGGCCGCTCGGCTTCCGGTTCCGCTACCTGCGTCCGGATTTGGACGTGGATGTGGGCGAGATCGGCTCGAAGTTCCGCACGGCAGGCCTGCCATAATTGTTTGGCTAGAAAAAACAACAGCTCGCAGATGCCAATCAGCGAGAAACCAGCTATAATGCCGCAGATGTTGCCAATTGTACCTGGCACGGGGAAGGAGCACATATAAATGGTGGGTGAGATGTGCAAAACGACCCCGGCTCCTGCCAAATACTCACTGAACGTCTCGTACCAGGCGCTATTAATAATCTGGCGAAAGTATTGAATGTGCGTTTCGGCAAAATAAATACGCACCACGGCCAGCTCGGCGGGGGAGGATGAGCTGCGGACTGGTCCCTTTCCGGATCCGGCACTGAATGCTGGGCCGTAACTGTTATTGGCACGCGGTCCGGGACTGCTTCGCCTGCAAAATGAAAATCTTTTACGATGGCAAGCAGTCAAGGCAGACCGTCAGTGCTGTTGGAATATTAATGTCAAATAGGGTTGAAAAAAGGAATAGCTATCTTATCAGGCATCCTTAACTGACTTGGAAAATCACAAACTTTGTAGTCCAAAACATTACCTTTCATAAAGTTATAAATAAATTAAAGTTTATAAAAGCTATAATAAACTGAAACTGAAGCTACAACTTCCAACAAACAAGCTAAACTGGCAGCACTGAAGCCCACATTTGGAAAGGAGGCTGAGCCATCGACTGGGTCCATATGGAAATTGAAAAGAAAGCCTGGCATGGTAAATGAATCGGAGGCACAACGGAGTCGCAATTTGCACCGCGGCGAATCCGCTTTGGCCAGTGGACTTACGCTGGACCCTTGGTCGGATTGGGAGTGGGCAGGCCCAGTGTCATGGCTCCTCGAACACTATATCGGGTCTCCGTGCAGGAGGCGAGGCAGAGCGGGCAGAAGAGGGCGTCCTGCAACTCGTGCTCCAGGCCCGTCACATTCTCGCGACTGGTGATGACATTCAACCATTTGACTGGACGGAGGCGAAAGGAGACGGTTATTCAATGAATTCGCGATTAACTCCACTTAAAACCCACACTCGTAGCGCTTGAGACAAGCCAGGTGCTGCAGTGTGCAGTAGATCCTCTTCTCGTTCCCATCGATATATCTGTGGGGCAGGCTGAACGGGACACACTCGCACAGACTGACGACACTCTGGGCCCTGCACGCAGAGATGCACTTACTGAAGGTATAATGGCGTGCAAAGATCCACGGCATCTCGTTCTCAAACAGGCACTTTCGCTGCATTTTAAGAACATTTACTCATTTTAATTTGAGTGTAATCCAAATGGAACTTACCACAGATTGGCTCATGCTACGCGCTTCGGGCAGCGTCTCGAAAATCTTGGCCCTTACCGGCAGCAAGGTGTTAAAGCCCGTTTCGGCCACGCGCTCCGCCACACCTCCGGAATACGGATCAGGATAGCTGTGGGGCTCGTAGATAGAGATCTAAGGAGTGTGATTATATCACAGGCCCTATAACTTATTTTGACTACTCACCACAAACCCATTGTGACCATTTATCTTGTAAAAGTTATCACTGGGGTCCGTCTTCAGGGTTAAAACTAATCCCATATCTGGGCCAAAGTAGCGTTGCCTAAAGTCCCTTTTATTGATGTATCTAAGAAACCATTTCTTTAGATGGTGGTATATTCCTTTGATACATTTAGATTAAAAGCTACCTGCCGTCATAGTTGAAGGTGCAGCAGTAACCATGACTGGTCAGGGTCTCCTCAAACTGATCCATGCAGTCGAAGAGTCGCCCAGCAATTCTGCAACTCACAAACATATCGCTGCAGTTGGGCGTGAGGGCATGCATATGCTTTCTAGTGTTGAAGAAGAGGTCCTGTTCGCCCGTATCGAAACTGTCCAGGAAGCTCTGGAAGCGCAGAGCATTGTCTATATCCACCAGATCGGAGGGATCGTAGTACATGTACATGAAGGACTTCAGTTGCCCGTAGAAGAAGCTGGCATTACGCAGCTTGGGATCTTTGCCACTTCTGCATTGGAAAAAGAGCTTTAAAGGTGACTTAAGGACATCAGTTTGAAGTTAACTCACAGCTTGTGAGCATATTGCCAGGCCGCACGCTGCGAGATGCGGTTCAGACTGCACACTGATATGGCCGGGAACTCCACCTTCCAAATGGGATACATCGGATGGTACATAGTGGTCACCAAGGCCTCCTGCTCGTTCGTGTAGGTGCCCCATAGAAATGCAATTAGGACGGTCAAAGCGGTTATGTGGAAAACGAACCAGAAGAAACTGCGGGTGCACAGAAAGAAAACATATGATATGATGAATAATTTAGTAATTAAACTTAAGTAAACTAACCAACTAAGTCACTGAATATAAACTTAAAATGTTGCAAATGTTATTTTTATCTTTAAGGATTTATAAATCTTGTTGACCAAACTTTTTAACTGTGTGGCTAGCGGATTCGGGTAATGGCTAATGCTAATTGAAAAGGGCCACCGCTGCCGGATGTGGCTAACCACCTACCGCTCCTGGATCCGCCGACCCGGCTCCACTAATTTGCTGTAACAATGGAACGACAGATTTTGTAGCAAATCCTTTAAAGCAGCGGCAAATGACAATTTTCGCGTATCCTCCGCGGAAGTGCCAGGTAAGTGGTTGGTGGTGGGTGCTGCTGGCCTACCGGGATTGGGTATCCACCAGGCAGCGCGACCCTGCGCCAGACGAAAGGGCTCCTGATCCAAGGACTCCATTGCAACTGGCATTGTCCTTGCGAGTACGGGCCGATTTTAATGAAAATTTCGCAGTCATGTCGTGCGTGTTGTTGTAATTAGGCCTGGTGCTCCAACTTATTGCCAACAAATTAACTGCGACATGGCACGTGGTGTTCGGCGGGGAAAAACAGGGAGCAGGAGGTCCGCTCTCGATTCGTCTTGGCAATTTCCCTTAATTGTCAACAATTTAAAATGAAATTAGTTAAATGTGCGTTAAATGTCAGCCAGCGGAAACATCATCATCATCAGCAGCAGTAGCAAGTTGTGTCCTTGTTCCTGCCCCAAAAAAAAAGAACATTCTCCCTGCCCCCTTTGGATTATGAGCTGCGTGGGCACGGAGGCCATAGAAAAACAGATTTCGGCAGACCTACATGCTCTCAGAGGATGAAAAATTCTTAAGGCAAGGTCAGAACTAATTAAAGGGAATTTTTAATTAGGGACTAGCTTAAAATTAAAATGACCTTTAGGCTTCTAAATAATATTGTTTTTAAAATTAAGCTTAAATGTGTTTCAGACTAGAATGTAGAAAATCTTGTGGCCTTCACAGAGAAATTGCTGCTATTCAAGCATAGAGGTAATATGCCAAAACCAATATTAGCTGAAGAGACTAAGCTGCCGATCCACGAACAAAGCATGCTTGGAAATGCGATTGTTGGAACGTATTGACACGAACGGAAATGGCACATTTTCACCAGGAAAATGGAATGGGGTTCCGAGGGGCGACAAAGGATTGTGCGACAAATTGCTCCCCTAGGTGAGTGTGGGACCAAATTAATCTGCAAATAAGCAGGCGACGGGGGTAAAGGGGGAACGCAGTCGGCCAAGATAAACGCACAAAGCACAGAAAATCTGCGAGCCTGGAGAAGGGGTTATTCTTCTCTCTTTTCGAGGCAGCAAACGGAAACGGAAATGAAAAATGTGAAAAATGCAATGCGCAACGAGTCGCGAAAAACGACAGTCAAAAGCGAGAAAGAGGGTGCAGTGAAAATGGCAAATGCAAATTGTCTAGGTGCGTATGTGCTGTGCGTGTGTGTGTGTGTCTGGTGCACACTGCGTATGAGTAACATCGATGCTGACTTGTCCTTTATCTCGGCCTCACCTTGTTCCTGCGCCCTCGCCCCCCTTTTTTCCGATTCCGGTGCCAATACTTGCCATATCTCTTTGCAGGAATATATGTCTGTATATGTGGCGCAGTAAATCTGTCATATCCAGACAAAAGCTCAAGCCAAGCGATTTCTTTCCTGCCCACCCACTTCCGCCCCCGGATGTTTCGCTTCGAACAGGGGCCTTCCCCTTTAAGGACCCCTGCTAAATTGATTCCCAATATTTACTTTAGATTTCCTGTCTGAATATTTACTTACAATTATAAAAATTTGTATGTGTTTACTGATTGGTTAATTGAATGTTTAAATACTAAAATTAAACTTTTCTCTGATCAGTTTACAGTGGTTCAAATTATAGTATATATACCCTTATATGAATTACCTATTATCGGATATTAAATTTTTAATATATAAATTAGCCCAAACTTAAATATTTATTTTTCCATTGCTGTACCAATACATTCCACTTAAAATAAGAATTTGCATTTCTAGTAATTTTTCGCTAAATAAATGCTAAATTGGTTTTCCTTTTTCTACGCCCAATACAGCAGTATTAGTCCCACAACCTAGCTAATAATGCTCGAAATATGGAATATCGTACATCGTTGAGCTTGTTTTCTAATTCCTAGTCGAACTGTATTCACAGTTTAAAATGTCAAATTATTGTAATTATTATCAAATTTATTGATGTCGTAAATTGCGAAATTCGGTTAACCCTTATTTTTCCCTGAATCCGACAGTATTGTTCCCATAACTAAGCCAGTAATGGTCAAAATATGGAATGTCATAAATCGTATTGCTCATAATTTGATTGTTATGATTCCCAATTGATTTGCATTCAAATCTGGAAAACTTCATACTCGAGTGATAGGGGTGTTAAGTGTTGGTCGTTGGCAGCACAAAACAGTTGTTCTTTTGGCTGTGCGACTTGTTTTGACCGAGCTAGAGCTAAGAAGCCGAACACACTATTGCAAATATCTATTAAAAATGGGTTTCCTGATTTTTTAGCCTTTAAACCAGAGCCAGCAACAAAATATCAGAACAATAATGATAAAAGCAAGTATAGGGCCTTAAAGTTTTGGTTGTTAGCTGTATAAAACAGTCACTGTTTCAGCCGTGCGTCGTGTTTTGACAAAGGTAGAGCTAAGAAACGGGAACAAAACGGGGCTTTCTGCTGTCAAAAGACGTATACTTGAATTTGGGCCCCAAAAAAATCAGATTTTTGGCCATAGCACAGCCAAAAATGGTCCAAATATGGAAAGTAATACCTCGTAGGGCTTGTAATTTGATTGCCATGATTCCCAATTGATTTGCACTCAAATCTGGGAAACTTAATTTTCGGCCACTTTTCGAAAATTTTGATGATGGTACCCCTTATCAAAAATGCGAAATTTAGCCGAAAATTGATTTTCCCAAAATCGAAAAACGAGTAATAGGGGTGTTAAGTGTTGGTCGTTGGCAGCACAAAACAGTTGTTCTTTTGGCTGTGCGTCTTGTTTTGACCGAGCTAGAGTCAAAAACCCAAACACACTATTGCAAATATCTGTTAAAAATGGGTTTCCTGATTTTTCAGCCCTTAAACGAGAGCTAGCAACAAAACATCAGAACAATAATGATAAAAGCAAGTATAGGGCCTTAAAGTTTTGGTTGTTAGCTGTATAAAACAGTCACTGTTTCAGCCGTGCGTCGTGTTTTGACAAAGGTAGAGCTAAGAAACGGGAACAAAACGGGGTTTTCTGCTGTCAAAAGACGTATACTTGAATTTGGGCCCCAAAAAAATCAGATTTTTGGCCATAGCACAGCCAAAAATGGTCCAAATATGGAAAGTAATACCTCGTAGGGCTTGTAATTTGATTGCCATGATTCCCAATTGATTTGCACTCAAATCTGGAAAACTTAATTTTCGGCCATTTTTCGAAAATTTTGATGATGGTACCCCTTATCAAAAATGCGAAATTTAGCCGAAAATTGTTTTTCCCAAAATCGAAAAACGAGTGATAGGGGTGTTAAGTGTTGGTCGTTGGCAGCACAAAACAGTTGTTCTTTTGGCTGTGCGTCTTGTTTTGACCGAGCTAGAGCTAAAAACCCAAACACACTATTGCAAATATCTGTTAAAAATGGGTTTCCTGATTTTTCAGCCCTTAAACGAGAGCTAGCAACAAAACATCAGAACAATAATGATAAAAGCAAGTATAGGGCCTTAAAGTTTTGGTTGTTAGCTGCAAAAAACAGTCATTGGTTTACCTATGCGTCGTGTTTTGACAAAGTTAGAGCTAAGAAACGGGAACAAAACGGGGCTTTCTGCTGTCAAAAGACGTATACTTGAATTTGGGCCCCAAAAAAATCAGATTTTTGGCCATAGCACAGCCAAAAATGGTCCAAATATGGAAAGTAATACCTCGTAGGGCTTGTAATTTGATTGCCATGATTCCCAATTGATTTGCACTCAAATCTGGAAAACTTAATTTGCGGCCATTTTTCGAAAATTTTGATGATGGTACCCCTTATCAAAAATGCGAAATTTATCCGAAAATTGTTTTTCACAAAATCGAAAAACGAGTGATAGGGGTGTTAAGTGTTGGTCGTTGGCAGCACAAAACAGTTGTTCTTTTGGCTGTGCGTCTTGTTTTGACCGAGCTAGAGCTAAAAACCCGAACACACTATCGCAAATATCTGTTAAAAATGGGTTTCCTGATTTTTCAGCCCTTAAACGAGAGCTAGCAACAAAACATCAGAACAATAATGATAAAAGCAAGTATAGGGCCTTACAGTTTTGGTTGTTAGCTGTATAAAACAGTCACTGTTTCAGCCGTGCGTCGTGTTTTGACGAAGGTAGAGCTAAGAAACGGGAACAAAACGGGGCTTTCTGCTGTCAAAAGACGTATACTTGAATTTGGGCCCCAAAAAAATCAGATTTTTGGCCATAGCACAGCCAAAAATGGTCCAAATATGGAAAGTAATACCTCGTAGGGCTTGTAATTTGATTGCCATGATTCCCAATTGATTTGCACTCAAATCTGGAAAACTTAATTTTCGGCCATTTTTCGAAAATTTTGATGATGGTACCCCTTATCAAAAATGCGAAATTTAGCCGAAAATTGATTTTCCCAAAATCGAAAAACGAGTGATAGGGGTGTTAAGTGTTGGTCGTTGGCAGCACAAAACAGTTGTTCTTTTGGCTGTGCGTCTTGTTTTGACCGAGCTAGAGCTAAAAACCCGAACACACTATCGCAAATATCTGTTAAAAATGGGTTTCCTGATTTTTCAGCCCTTAAACGAGAGCTAGCAACAAAACATCAGAACAATAATGATAAAAGCAAGTATAGGGCCTTAAAGTTTTGGTTGTTAGCTGCAAAAAACAGTCACTGGTTTACCTATGCGTCGTGTTTTGACAAAGTTAGAGCTAAGAAACGGGAACAAAACGGGGCTTTCTGCTGTCAAAAGACGTATACTTGAATTTGGGCCCCAAAAAAATCAGATTTTTGGCCATAGCACAGCCAAAAATGGTCCAAATATGGAAAGTAATACCTCGTAGGGCTTGTAATTTGATTGCCATGATTCCCAATTGATTTGCACTCAAATCTGGAAAACTTAATTTGCGGCCATTTTTCGAAAATTTTGATGATGGTACCCCTTATCAAAAATGCGAAATTTAGCCGAAAATTGTTTTTCCCAAAATCGAAAAACGAGTAATAGGGGTGTTAAGTGTTGGTCGTTGGCAGCACAAAACAGTTGTTCTTTTGGCTGTGCGTCTTGTTTTGACCGAGCTAGAGCTAAAAACCCAAACACACTATTGCAAATATCTGTTAAAAATGGGTTTCCTGATTTTTCAGCTCTTAAACCAGAGCCAGCAACAAAATATCAGAACAATAATGATAAAAGCAAATATACAAAAATATCCAAAAATATAGCCTAGTTTTAGGCTGTAAATGCATTCTATAAGAGGCTGACTGCTACAAAATGAATTTCTCAGACATAAGTTCTGCTGTACCGGTTTTAGGAAGAAATTCAAAAGTTGTAATCGCAAATAAAGTTATATAATATTTTTCATACCTGGACAACAAGCTTTCAGCAAAAAATGAATTATTACCCAGAACAAAAATGAGTCCCAAGTCCGGAAGTCACTTAAATGGGAGTGCAAAAACTTGTTTCCAAGTAAGTCAAAATTGGTTAATTAAATGTCATGTTCCCATAAATTTAAGGGCGTTGTATGGGAAGTTTTCCGGAACGAACTTCACATTTTATAGAAATTAGTAAGCCCTGATATAAAAAAGTGTAACTATTATTTTTAAGGTGTTAGGTATATTTTCATTTTATTGAATTGTACGATAATAAACATCTCTATCATTGGTGTCCTGAATGCTGCGATAGTTGTCGATCAGAGGCTTTTGTCGTGAGTCCTTGAGGTTCCAGAGCTTTGCGATCTGACGACGAGGGTAGTCCAAAACGTCGGGGAAAACAGTCCAAGTGACAGATTCGGCACAATCCGGGGTGGTCAGAGATCCTAGAGGAGGAAGTGTGAAACCAACGGTCTGTAAAGGATTTAATAATCTCACCATTGTATGTAAAAAACTCTCCGGTGACGATATTTCCCAAAAGTTGGCCGACAGTCAGTCTTCCGGTTATTGTAGCATTGGAGTTATACTGCACGATTCTGGGCAGCTGGTTGAATATCTTGTTCAGTCCGTAGTGCTGCGAGACCTGGCGATCCACTGCCCTCAACATCACCCCCAAGACAGCTATTCCATCGGGATTCTGAGTTGCCTCGCCCATAGTGCTATATATGGTGTTCTTATGGACAATGTGCATTTCCACGTCGTAACGCTGGAAGTTGATGGCATGTTCCGAACCCTTGGAGTCCCGCGATCCCCAATGGAAATGTACGCTCTGTGCCTCGAAATCTCCAGGCAGAAGACTGCCATTTATGGAGGGACGCTGACCTCCTCGTGTTAGTGGAATGACCATATTTGCTATCCAAAAACGAAGATAGTTAATCTCTAAAGAGGTAATTAAAAAGCTTCCCACCTGTGTGTCCATTATTGGTAATCACCAAGGGAGTTTGCAATGGCTGATCATAGTAGTTGAAACGCAGACGGGGAATGGACACTATCTTAGACTAATTAAACCACAAATTAGGATTCTCTTAATTATGATCTTAAACCGAAAACTTACATCTTCAAAAATCAAATCGATGGGCGACTGGTTCTGCCCAGTCTGGCATGTTCCCGTCCAATCATCACCCTGCTCATCGTAGTTATACTCGCCTGCAGATTGCTCATCCGCCCGATCCTGACTTATAGCAGTCAGATAGGCCTCAGGTATCTCTGTTTATTTATTCCAAAAACTATATTTAGCAAGGTAAAGAGTTAGATAACTCACCAATATAGGCAAAAGTGCATCCGCAGATGGCTAGAAGCAACCCAAAACTTAGGGAGAACATTTTCAGTGGAGACTGTTCACTGTTCCTGGAATTACTTTCAGATGCGTTCTCGTTGGAGATCCCAGCAAGACTGTGAGTTTCTCGCTTCCGATCAGGACCATTTATACTTGAAAGGCCGGAGGAAAAGTCCCATCATTTCTAAATGGGTGTGCATAAGAGGTTGATAAGCGCAATCAGCTTAGCTCAGCCCATGGGCGCAATTTCCATTCAAATTGCAAATGGGTTTACAGCTTTGCGGTTGCCAAACCAGCTTGATAATTGACTCTGACTCTGGCCAAGACACTGAACTCGTATCTAATGAATCCTGTTCTCCTCACACATTCTCTTACATTGTAGACCGATCGAGGAGTCCCTGATTGCTCTGAATCAGAGTAAAATACTGCAAAGAGGAGGGGTTCCATCGATTCACCTGAATCATTTCTATCGCAAGTTTCCAAACAAAGTGAATCAGTGCACTTTTTATCAACGCCCCGGGAGTGAGCTAACGACTTTAAGCTTGGGAAAGGTTTCGGTTCCAGTGACGGCGAAAAATATTTTATAGTTAATGTTCATTGCAATTGGAGAGTAATACGAGTAGCTATATTTCCTTGATTCCGCTTTGCATTTAAATTTAACGTATAAATTAATATCAAAATAAACTTATCATCTAAGGTTATGGCTTAATTGCCTGCCAAAGTATAGAAACCCGTCTAGATGAAAGGCAAACTTATTTAGCGCTTATCTTATAGTTCTGCCAAGACGTTGCCCTTACTGATCTTGGGTAACAAATGCGATTTCTCAGACATTGTCTTTGTTGACACTTTTTGCTTGCCTTTAGTTCAGATATATGCCTTGTAAAGGCTAGTATATATATTATTATATGGTTAATTCCTTCCCCCAATACTGAGCTAATGTCCAGATCTAAATTCTCATGAATTTCAACGAGAAACTCGAAGTTTTTTTTCGCTTTTCTATGACTATTTAATATTTCGAAGCCTAACAGCTGTGGTAACAACTTGAGCCAATCTCAAAGCAGCTGCAACCGACTTATAATTTGAGAACCTTCGTCATTGCATAATCTTTCAATCTACTTGTAGTTTGTTTTGAAATACGAAAATACAACTTCCCAGTCTTAGTTTAAAACATATACAGGTATAAAAAGTAATTGTCTTTATTAACTAATATTAATAACTGACTCAACGGGGTCCTTTCCTATGATATACAGTTCGCCCATTCAGATTTTGGACCTGCCTATAGTTTCTTAGTAGCTTGTGGTTCTCATGGTCTCGGATTCCATACAAAGGCAATAGCGACGGAAAGGGTACGGGCATGACCTGTGTGAAGACGGTCCAGGTGACAGCCTCCTGGCAAAGAGGAGTAGTCAGTGATCCGTGGTAGGTTAGGAAGTCATTGTGGTTGATGCTCCCGATTAACTGACCCAAACTAAATCCGGCGGGAATAGTCGTGTTCGCACGGTCCACCGTTACCTTCAGGGCTGCTTTAATAATCCGGGCTATGGCCGCAGATTTGTCAGTGTGCTTCTATGGAGAGATGATAAGCTTGTCGGTCACTCAGAGCAAAAGACTTAGTAGGAACACTACCTTAGTCATGCCTAGAAATACGCCGAGAACAGCAATTCCATTTGATTTCGTAACTGCATCCTCTGTACTATTGTACTTATTATTTCGATGGACAATATGCATTTCCCCGGCGTACTGCTTCCGGTTCAACGCATGTTCGGATCCGGCTTCTCTAGGGGCTCCCCAATGGAAGTGCAGACCAATGGCATCATATGCATTTTTCATCAGACCACCAGTGATGAAGGGCTTTTTGCCATTCACCGTATATGATATACTCATATAAACTGCAAATATTTGAAATTATCGTTTTTGGTAACATTAATGGCAAGCCAACATACGTGAGTGTCCATTATTGTAAATGTGGATTGGCCCCTTTAATTGTTGGTTGTAGTTTCCGAAAACGATCTTAGGAATATTCACGACGCGCGCCTGGCAGAAATTATTAAAAATATTCTTAACTTTGCTGCGTAAACTTACATTTTTGGTATTCAACGAAAGGGGGGATTGCATTTTCCCTGAGGAACACAGGTCGGTCCAGTCTTTCCCATGCTGCTTGTAATTCCATTCGGCACCTATGGGGTTTGAATTCAGATTAAGGTAAAAGCGAGTAACTAGCTAGTACTAATCATCTTACAACTGGTAAATGGATTCGAAATGCATATTTACCGAGACTAAGGAAGAGCTTTCAGCTCTTGAGTAACTTTTATCAGATCATTTTTATTACTTTATTCAAAGGTTCCTGCCACTAAATATTAGTTAGTTCACTTTTATCACCCCTAAAACTTTCCTTACTCCGTTCTGACACTCAATTACCATTTGATATATGTTGATACGCAACCAGAAGCAAAAGCTTGTGAAAAACATTCGCCAGCATTGTTGCCGCTCGGAGATGTGATTGTTTTGATTGCGAAATGAAAATTAAAATTAATTCCAGCTAACGCGTGTGTCTTTTGTCTCGCGTCGTTTTCGATTTTACATAATTATATATTATATATATTATCCGCAGCGAGTAGTGCGAGATTGGTTAACTTTACTGCTACTGTGACTGCGATCGTCGAACGACTGAAGTGGATCACCAATACGCCGACAACTTTTGAAGTTCAGGTGCAGAGTGCCAAGTCCAGCTGGATTGCTATCGCGTCGGATTGGATTTGGGAAAACAAGCAAGGGCGAACGGTAGCCGCAAGTACCAGTCTTAATGAAACACAGTTTACATTAAATAATTTATTTATTCTAAATAACAAAAATAAATATGAAACTTAAGCCTAGCTATAATACCTTCACTTCCCCAGGTAGGCGCCACTCAAGTCCTTCCCGACCCTGTAGAACACAGGTCGGCCATTGCGCGGTTGCAGATCCCGGAAGTTGTTTACGAGCCTGTGTCCCTCGGAGTCTCGCAGCTTCCAAAACTTCGACACCGATGAGTAGGGTACTGGCAGGACTTGAGAGAACACCATCCAGGTGACAGCCTCCTCGCACTGGGGCGTTGTCAGTGAACCCCGATAGGTGAAGAAGTCGCGGGGATTCACATTGCCAAGCATCTGGCCCAGACTCAGCCCTCCCGGAATAGTCGTTGTGGACTTATATTTCGTAACTCTGGGCACAGCGCTCATTACTTTGTTTAGGCCAGGAAACAGGCGATTGGGATTCTAAGGAAATATGTAAAATGTACATAAAATGAATACTTTCTTGTATTCAGTATTGATTTCTATAAAAACAAACTAAGCTGATTCATAGAAATTCCCATCTAACCATCTGACACGTTTTCTTGGTCACCTTTAGTCCAACGGTGTAGAATTTCATTTTGGCCGCACTTGATCGTTTTATCACGTCAGTTCATATATAAAAGTTCTAACAGAGCCCGTGATGTTTGGCACAGTAATTTTCAAGATTCCTAAACACATTTAATTACCTTTACAATTTTCAACATGACACCGATAACAGCCAATCCATCTTTCTTGTCTTTCGCCTCATCGATGTCTTTGTATTTAGCGTTTCGATGGACAATATGCATTTCCACGTCGAACCGCTGCTTGTTGATGGAGTGTTCCGATCCACGGGATTCGGGAGATCCCCAATGGAAGTGAAAGGCCTCGGCCACATATCGACCTTTCAGCAGACCGCCGGTTATGAAGGGTTTGTTGCCGTTGGCCGTTTCGGGAATCTCCGTGTGAACTGCCGGGTAATTAGTAGCTCTTCGTAAAAACCTCTTGCGAACTCAAAGAAGACGACCCACCTGTATGTCCATTATTAAGCAGGGTGAGTGGCCCCCTCAGCTTTACGTCATAGTTTCCGAACACGATCCGCGGCAAGGGGACGATGAGGGACTGCCAGAGAGCATGACAATATATTAGTTATTGAAATAAATTAGCCTGGTGCGCCGCTTCAATTTTCCACAACCATTACCTCTGGTAATGCGAAAAGTGGCGCTAAAAGAGTTTTCGATTGTCAAGGTGGGTGGAAGCTTTCGTCGGTTACATATGCCCATTTTTGGTTTCGCATTAGCCTAATATGAATGTTATAACCGAATTATATAATCTGATGGCAAATTGGGGCTATAATAGAGCCCATCATTGACAGGTTATCGAATTTCCTGGTTGTAATTTGAAAACTAAGTTCAGTTCCAGATTTAATAGGTCTATCCTATGGAAAAATGTTATTAATTCCTAGCAGATTTGGCTAAGCAAAACTAAAATCTTAATTGATGCGCATATAAATTAGGGCTGCCGGCTAAGTTCGCATAATTAATAGACATTTTTAATTTAACTGTTTGCTGTTTAACTTACAGAACATGATTATGTTGTTCTGGAATTTATATGGATTATTTAAATTAAAACCTACCTTTTGAACGTTAAGGGGAATGGGTGACTGTCTTTTCCCTGAGGAGCAAATGCCTCCCCAATTCAGGCCGTTCGTCTCGTAATTCCAATGCGACTCCTCTTTGACATCTGTAAGTTTGAAATTGAAGAAAACACAATGTCTGAGTCGTTTTCACTTTCTTTCAGCCAGCTAGCATCTGGTAATCCTATTAGCCAAGACCGTGAATAAATTCACTTCTGTTTTCATTCGACGGACTTATTCGACTCTCTCATTTCTGGAACCCAAACAAGGTATGGCAGAATGATTAATTACACTAGCTTACAAAAATAAATGGAACTAAAATGATTTCCAAATGTCGGTTTAGTTTTCTTCTTTAGTTAAAATGCCTCTTCTGAATAAGGTTTGTTGATTTTTAATCTCATTTAACAAGATATTACAAAATTCATTACAGAAATTTCTAATTTTGACCGAACAACAAGTAATTAATTTCAATATCGAAATTTGGCCAGTACATATCTGCATAATTAATGCTTTTTATTTCCCATTTCCCTGCCATTGAAGGCTAGGCAATGCACTTTTTATCACACTTCGAAGTTCTCACAAGACCTTAGATCGAAATTACCATTTGATGTATGCTGATAGGCAAGCGGCAGCAGTAGTAAAAGCTTGTGAAAAGCATTGGGCTGCATTGTTGCAGATCGCAGATGTGATTGTTCTGATTAAGACACTGTAACTATAATTGATTCCCGGTGACGCGCGTGTCTTTGTATTTTATCTCGCGACGGTTTCGATTCACATAACTTAACCGATGTGAGGGAGATATGCTAGCTTTATGGTGCTGCTGCGACTGTCAGCTTCGAACAACTGAAACGGCTCAGAAATACCCCCGCATCTTTTATAGTTTAGTGGGTCTATGCTATGCCCACGTCGGCTGGGCGTCTGGGGAGTTGGAGTGGAATCGGATCGGATCTGAATTCGAAACCTAAGTGGGGCGTGATTAGCGCCAAACGGTAGCAGCAAGTGCCAGTCTAATTGCAGCTGTTGGTTTTCGAAATGATAAATGATGGATCTGATGTATTGGTGTCTGCGCAATATAGACCATAGGAGCTAAGGAAAACCGTGTAATCGCTGGAAATGCGGAAAAGATCTTGCCAAAGTTGGTTGAACTCTTACCAATTCTATGCCTTGAACCGGTGAATGTGTTAATACTTCCAATTACTACAAGAAAACTCTTGATCTCAATAAGAACGTTAAACTTATTTCATTAGCAAACATTCATTATCAGATGTTAATATATAAAAGCAGATTTCGAAATATTAAATATTTTTATTGGCATTTTCATTATAAAGTATCCATCAAATTCCGATCTGCGGGAGTTAACACGTGTCAAAGTGTTAAATTCATTTCATAAATCAAATTTGCATAAGCCAAATCAAATTTCCGATTTTAATAAGCTTAGTCCCTGCTGCGACCCCTTCCAAATGCATCGAAAGAAAGTAGCCATGGCCATTAGCATTTGAATTGTTATCAATGGCAAATCTTATGCCCAAAAATTTGGCAAATATTCGAATTGAATCACTGGATCAGCCAGATTAGGCATGAGTTGTCCGACGGGTTTCGGCTACGTCATATCCAAAAGAGCAGGGAAATCCTCTGACCAGTTACAGCATAATAGTTTTTAACCAAAACTTCTTTGTCGAATGTTCCATAATTCCCTCACAGTGGGTGACTCACACAAGAGCGGCCAATTAGGCTGGACAATAACCACAAGCATTGGTAATAATGATGATAATATTGTCAATATAAATATATATGTAACCTTATTAATCAACGTTGATAATGTAACATTGTTTATGTTGGCCGGAACGGTTTCACTTTTCCTTTAAGCGAAGAAAGTGGCTTCATATTTTTAGGCTTCACATTTAAAGTGTATTTCATATTCTGTCACTAACAACTAAGTATTCATGTACACTCTTCAAAGATATCATATACGTTAAATGTAGAATGTAATCAAATTTTGATTAATCGTATGTACGCTTACAGGTCTAATCAATAGAAACGTAACAAGCACGCTGTTTCCGGGCAGTCAAACTGCATCTCAATCCTTTGTTTTGCCCCAGATCATAGTTCTGTGGCGAAGTATATGCGCCTGCTGGGTCAGAAGTCGCCCACTGCATGGGAAACAAACTCGAACTGCCGCTCCATGCTGTTCTCCGTTTCTAAGTCAAGTGCATCGTCGATGAAGTGCATCTCCACGTGCTCGCGGAAGGCATTGAAGGACACCTGGCTGGAGTATAGTTTGCCGCACATGGGGCAGGTCTTCTCCATAGCATCAGCTGCATCGGCCTTGATTTTTTCTTGAATTATATTTATCCTGGGCGGGGTTCCATTGTGACCATTATGCTGGTGCTCATAGTTTTTAAGTTCGCTGGATAGGCTGTCGTCTGTTTCAAGACTTTTGTCGGCCATCTCCGGCTTCTTGGTTGTTTTCTGGGCGCATTCTGGACACGGTTTTAGGGCTGTTGGATAATAAAAATGATTACAAGGGGTAAATTATAATTTACCAATAAATAATGATAAAATTACTAACCAATACGACTTTCAAGTAAAGTCAGAGCCGAACTCAGCTCCTGTTGCTGTTTCATGGCCTCCCGCCTCATCTCTTGCAGTCCATCCATGCATTTTTTGGCATCCACGTTGGCATCTGGTTGTTCACTGGTACTTTCTTCACATTTTTGAAGGTTGTAGGGGTAACCCAGTTCCTCGTTACTGGCACCAAAGTCATCCAAAGCTATTTCCTCCAGACTAAGGTCTTTTAAGCCATCAGAAAGCACCTTTTGGCGCAGGAGAGGATTGGGCGAGTGCTGTGTGAAGGTCTTGGAGCGCACCAGGTTTTGGTTTTGCTGGGCCCGGGCGTCTGGGGAGCTGGGCACTTGGTTTAACTGCTGATCCTTGGAGATCTGTGAAAGGTGGGACCAGAGTCGTCGGTTCTCGTTGGATACCATGCTAATGTGTTCTTCCAGCTGCTCCTTTTGGCGCTGCAGTTCAGAGACCTGTGTTCTGAGGGAGAGAACATCTCCGGTAACCCCGTTTGCAGGTAGAACACTTTCTGACCTGGCTGAGGCTTCCCTTAATCGCTGATTTTCCTCCTCCATGTTGGCTACGCGTCGCTGCAGCTGTATGCACCGCTCCTTTATGGTTTGCAGCGCAACTTGCAGTGCGTAGTTCATTTTGTCGCTGGAAGTGGAGCTTGTGTATCCGGAAGTGGACATGGAGTTAGCCAAGGGAGAGGCTTTTGCAGCGGCTGCATCCATTGCGAATTACTGAAGCTTCCAGTCAATTAGCATCAAAATATCCGGCAAATTGGACTACAAAATATGTATTTTTCTAAAATTTCGTTTGCTTTCTTATTTGTTGCGATCTCATTAGTATAACCGTGCGAGTTTTTGGAAAATTCCTGAAATGATACCGATAGTATTTTTTGTTCGGTGAGCATTCGTCTGTTAAGTCTAAGATAAAATTTAACAAACTCGAATCTGAAGTTTTCAATTGCTTCTCAATTCCATTGATGATAAATATTTATTGAATCGGTTTTTGTGTTATTATTTAAAACGATAGTTTCGTTTTCGCTAAACCTTAAGCGTAATTGAGTATATCTGTAATGTATTCTGCAGAGTGACCAGGTAACGTTATAAACAGCTGTTATTGTTTACGCGGCTTTGTTATCCAACACATTTTCCTATGCTTTGCGGCAAGAGTTTAGTTAATAATTTCTACAAATATAAGAGAAAAGTGTGGCAGAATGTAATTCCGATTATAAAGCGACACAATGCAACATACCACCCACCAAAAATCCTGTTCTTTGGAACCGATAACTTCTCCCTACCAAGTTTGCAAGCCCTGCACAGGAACTGCAGGTGAACATTTTCTAATTTTACCAATTAATTTATTATAATTTTATTTTCAATCCTCAGTGACCGCCTGGGTGTAGTTACATCCTTTAAAAGTCCGGCAAACTGTGTGAGAAGCTATGCAGAAAAGGAAAAACTCCCCTTAAAAAAGTGGCCCAATAGAACCATCTGATTGCTCCCAATTCGATCTGGGCGTAGTGGTTTCTTTTGGACACATGATACCTGCTAATATTATTAATGGATTTCCTAATGGAATGATCAATGTTCATGCTAGCCTTTTGCCCAAATGGCGGGGAGCTGCTCCTATCATGTATGCCATTATGAAAGGAGATGCCAGCACTGGGGTTTCCATCATGAAAATCGAACCACATCGTTTTGATATAGGAGCTGTAAGTTTATGGATAGCTAAACCATTTATGAAATTGTATTAAAACATAATGTTTTAGATTTTAGCTCAGCGGGAGGTGGTCATTAAACCTGATGTCTTCATGCCAGAATTGCACGCATCTTTGGCCTTGCTGGGAGCTGATTTATTAGTGGATACGGTTAATAACGTACAAGAAAGACTAAAGGAAGCCAAACTTCAAGACAATACAAATGCCAGCTATGGTAAATTTTTTTTTAAAAACTTAAGAACTCAACTCATTCAATCCTTTCTTTCAGCTCCCAAGATCACAAACAAGTTGACGGAGGTTGTGTGGTCAGAGCTCAGTGCCTTTGATATATACACCCGTTACAGAGCTTTGTTCGGGTACAAAAACCTTACAACCAGCTTCTTGGGCAAACAAGTGCAGTTGCTGGAGTTACGGATACCAGAAAGGGAACTCCTCGTACAAGAACCTGGTACTTTTAAGTATCAAAAGCAGAGGAAATCCCTGCTGATAGGTTGTGCACAGGACAGTCAGCTTGAAATTCTTCAGTTACGTGTGGAAGGAAGAAAACCGATGAATGCCCAGGACTTCAACAACGGATTCCTAAAAGGAGCAAGGTCCTTGAACTTTACACAAAATAAACTATCTGCAAATTGATAACAAAGGTAGTGGTTTAATGCACAATGAATGCTTAATATCTAGGCCAAGTCAGAGGGTTTGACTTCCTTGGTTTCAGACAGTGGCTGCGTGGACTTCTGGAGCAGATTTTTTGTGAACCACATGGGACGGGGCTTCTTCATCTCGACTATGCGTTTGTTTTTTAAATCATCTGAGGATTGTTCGGCTTTTTCGCCTTCATATAGAACAATCACTTCCTTATCTACGGGTTCAAGACCTAAAGGTGTCCTGGATTTGCGACTGCATGAGCTCCGTTTCCTTCAAAACTTTTTGGTAGCAGAAAGCTGTTAAAAAAATTTTTATAAGGATTGTTAATATATATTACTACAGGCGTACTTACGACAAAGGACACCCATTTCGTAGTCGTGACCACATTGCAAACAGGAACGGATGTTCCTCTTTTCCCTCAAGGGTTTCCAGTTGTATTCTGGATATCCAAATTTTCGTTTTAAGCGTTTTTCCACGGATCTCCTGTGTTTTGGAACAGCCCACAACATTCCGTCGCCAATTAAGTTCTTCAAACTGAATTCCTGCGAAGATTTCTGACTGTGCTCGTGCTGAAAGCCGGCCAATGCCAGGGCTGTGAAAATAAATGGTTAGTTATAGTAATTCCATCTTCGATTAGTACTTCTCACCTGGCGGGTGTCCTCCATATGGCAGGAACATGCGTTCCACGTTCCTTATAAAGTTTGTAATTGATAAAAACAAATTCCTAGACATCTTCGCCCCTTAATATGATTTACGTAAACGTGATCGGGTTGAGCGATAGACAACAGCTGAGCTATCGATAAGTCTAAGTTAAACATGAAAATAACGTAAGCGCCGCAACAATTTGTTTTGCGATTAATAAGTAGTCTTCACAGTATAGGCACTTTGTAACTAATAGAAATTAAAAAAGTAATCACAAAAAATATCTTAATTTTTTAACGGCAAGCTAGTTCATAAAAAAATATATCGGTCATTTACTATTAATTTCTTATTAAATTTTAGTAAGTAATCACATAATTTCCATTCAAGTGAAATAGTCGTCTAGCCTTACGTCGCCCATCTCGGCCTTTACGTTCAGCCGGCAGCCTTGCGTCATCGCGCACGTTGCAACCCTAAACAGCTGTTCGCAGCAGCTGGTCTGCACTGTTACGTCAAAATAAAGTAGTGAAAAGGTGCAAATTGCGTGCGAGTTAAATAAAAACTATTTCCCGAGCCGGAAAACGCGTTTTTGATAGCATTATTGAGTGGTCAAGTAGCTGCGGAACATGATGACGCCGGCAGGAGGTGGAAGGTAGTGGCTGCCCGGCCAAATGACCTTTGGAAGAACAGCTAGAATACGGTGATATCCCCGAAAATAGTGTGACCCACAGGTAAACAGGGGTCATCAATATAGCCCCCCACCTCCAGTGACTTCAAAACCGCGTGGTATATGATATCCGCCGAAATCCGCGTTCAAGTTCAAGCCGATCTTAGCTTCGTGTGCGATCGTTCTCACCTCTGTGGGGTAGTCGGATACTCACCTCACCTGACGGCGCGCACGCGCATCGATTCAAAAGTCCAAGAAAAGCGAAAACACTTCGCTGGAACTGCTGAAGCCAAACGCAAGCAAGCCGCGCTTCGCTGTCGCCTCGAAAATCGCCTGTAACTCAAACCCGATATCGCCTCGAAATCGCGCGCTTTTCGAATCCTGCGATCCTGCCAGAATATAAACAAAAACCTACTATAATGCTGTTCACCTGTTGAACTCTGTGACTGTGTCTCGATCAAGAAGCTTTAAGTCCTTCCCCCAAAAAAACCAAACAAATTAAAGCCTACTTAACAAAAATCTTAACAAATAAATCCCTTAAAATGGCCTGTTTGAGCACTTCCGGTCGCGTCGTGTGCGGTTCGCGTCGCCAGCAGACGCATAAGTTGCTCTATCAGTTATTCGGGTCCCGGCCAGGATATACAGCCCCATCCCAATCGACAGGATTCAGTCCACCCAGAGTTCAGCAGCAGGCCATGCGTCTCTGCCACGGATTAAGCTTCAGCATGGGCAGGGATTATGCCGATCTGCTGGTGAGTTCATTGTCGCAACAAATCTGCACATTGAGAAAAAGTGAATTGTGTGAAAATTAAAAAGGCTTAAAGAGTTTTCATTACCTCTTACTCCGTGGTTACCAATCAAATTTTGCAATTTAAAACTATTTTAAAATGATTATAGTAAACTTTTAAAAACATTTTTAACTAAATATTTTAAGCTATAAAATATTGAAACAGAATTAAACTTAAAAATTCTTGGATCCGCAGTTTTTAATTTTCCAAGTCAATGATTGTACATTAAATTTTGATTTAACGGTACTCAATAAAATGAAATAAAAAGTATTTGAAATTTATTTAGAGACTTGGTTTTTTCCTGTGCAGAGTGCATTGGCTGCGCTTGGAGCAAACCCAAGCCAACTCTTGGCCGCTAATGCGTCTGCGTGACTTTGGCTTTTGCTGTCCGCTTTTCTTTTCTTCGCTGCAAAGCCAAAAAGAAAATGAAAGTGAAATTGGTCGCTGGCCGTTGTTGGTTGGTTGTTGGCCATTGCTTTTGTGCAAGTAGCGTGAAAAACAACTTGTTGCGCCCACAGTCGCTGCAGATGCAGTTGCCTTCACAGTGTTGTTGTTGGCGGAAGCTGGCGCATTTATTTATTATTGTGCTTTGGCTTTTTTAGCATTTTGCCGAACGCCTCTGTTTTTCTCCGTTTCGTTTCCATGTGTTTTTCCCGCATTTTTGCAAGGTGAAGTTTTTCGTCTGCCTCTCTTTCTGGCCCGATAATTATGTCTCTTTCTGGTCTGTCTGCAGTTTGTCATTATTTTTATATCGTTGACAAGTCGCTAGTCTGTGGCGTTTTTCTTCCTTTTTTCTATGAGTTATGCAATTTCTCTAGTTGCATATTGTGTCTTGGTTTATTGCTCGTATTTATCAATATTTATCGCCCGCGTTGTTGATTTTCGCGCTATTTGCAGAGCCAATAAACAGCTGATTCGGGGCCAGTGCCCCCAAAACTGTGCTCTACTACGGCTACCAAACTGTGGCCTGTGTCGTATACGCAATATTTGAAGTGCTTTTCGACCAGTTCTGTTCTGAATTTGTCGAGCAAGCGGATTGATGTTTCCTTATCAGCTAGGGAAGTACTATCAGCGTTTTGTTATTTCATTTATTTTATTGCTTATTACTAATACAGTGCATACTCTTTAATCAGGAATGTTTTATTGCATTAAATGTTTGAGTTACTATAACGCGCGTCTACTGCGTTAAATATAGCGATTGGAATTTATGTAATCTTCTGCCATCTGGCATTCAAGTCGCATGAATGGCGCACTGAGTGCAACCAAAGGGTCGTAAATAACATAGCTCATTATATTTTAATGGAGTTTTTTATCCGTGCTAGGCAATATTTCTCCGGGAAACATCTCTAGGTTATGTTCTGAGAGCCTTTGTTGTCTGTTAAAAAACCCAGAAGGAACTGCAGCCCATTGTTTTGAAATTCAATTGGCTGGTTAAGCACTCGCCTTCGGCTTAATTGCTTACTTACTTACGCCTTGAGTAGGCATGTAAATTCATATGTATTGGCCACAATTAGTGCATCGACTTCTCACATTCGCTGCTTAGTTATTGTTTTATGGCACGCCATTTCAGCCAACCCATTTAGTCGGAGGTGGTGTTCAGGAGTACGGCTTTGATTTAATTGCTTTAGCATTGCGAATGCAATAAATTGAATGCACTTTTGCATTGGTTATTTGGCGGGCAGCCTTGGCAGGAATATTCGTATTTATTCGTATTTATATGGCCGCAGTTTGGTCAGTTTTGGGTTAAATATAAAAAGGTTAATTGCCCGTTAATTCGCTTTAATGCCCACTTCTGACACTCGTTAAGCAGACCTTGATTAAAAAGGTTGGCTACTGTCTCCTTAAAAACAAATTGTGTATTAGATGAATACATAAGCTGATATGAAATAAAATGAAAATATAAAACTCAAATGCAGTTTGCCACTAAACAAAGAGATATTGGAAAAAGTTAATCATTGTGTATGCAGTTGCTGTCATCGAGTTATTTATGCATTTCGGTTGTTTAAGACCTTTTCGTTGTTTCATTTGGAAGCCGAATAAAAATTCATTCAACGCCAAATTGGTTGTATGCCCAGCTCACATCCACTCAGCCAAATAGCCAAATAGCCGAGCAGCCAAACCGCCAAGCAGGCACACAGCCACAGAAAACCAGCACCTGGAAACTGATACGTTCATCTATCATAGGTAAACAATAAACAAAACGCAAATAGAAAGCGCACGTCGCAGCCAAAGCCAAAAACCAAAAACCAAAAAACCGAAAAAAACGCCAACTAATAATAGTCGGCAATAGCAGTCGTAGAAGAAATTCACTTTTAACGGTTTCTTTGACTTTCTTCTTCATTTCATTTGCCAAGCTGCCAAGCTGCCGAGCTCTCCATTGTTTTGGCCAAAAGAAACCGGCCAAAAAAATAAAAAGAAGTCCGAGTCTTTATCTATATGCGCCACACGAATTTGGCAAACAGCCGATTGGCCCGCTCTAAGTCTTCGTTATCTTAGCCTCGAATTAGTTTCCAAATCATTTTCTTATTTTCCTCCGCTTCCGCCTAAGAGCCCTCCTCCGTTTTCGGGTATTTATAAGATTTTCACTTTCATCGCAAATGCAAATGCGTGAAACAAGCCGAGCGTTTGCGTTCGGGCCAAGAGTTTTAACGCCAGCGTGTGAATTCGATGGGTTGATACTCCCGAGGTGGCGATTTTTCAATTAGATTAGAGAGTCTGTGAACAGTTAGATGACTTAACGGCGATGGATTGATTTCCGTCGATTTCTGTCAATTCTCCGCCTTTTTTACGTCTGTGCTTAATTTGAATGCGAGGGTTCGGGCCCGTGAAAGTGAAACTGAGTCTCAACCTGTTTTCATTGAATTTTTTAGAAATTTTGGGCACGAACTCAATACTCGATAAAATCATTTGTGAATTGGTATGTTGTATTAATATTGGACTTTAAATGTAGTCAAGTTATTGGAATTTTAATTATGCTTAATCCTCTCGTTTCAATTTATTCTCTCTGTAATAGAACTTTTGACCCTTTTTTAAGGCAAAGATTAATAACTTAGTAGGCTATTCACAAGTATTTCCCAATGGAAACCTCTCAAGCCACATTCCTTTAAATCGTATTTCACAATCAGTCATATTTCTCTTCGTTGACCTCTGGTGAGAAAGTCATCAACTCGGGCATAAATATGTAGGAAGAGCCAAACAAAAAGTAGCAGATATGCTAAAAGATACATCTGTCGCATGCACGAGATGGTCATATCGTAAATCTTTGTCTCTGTGGCTGTATCTTTATTTCTGCAAAACACTTTCACTGACCCAAGGTCCGAGTGGCCAGCTCTCCAGCCCTGCCAGAAGAAGACCAGAAAGCCGCTCCGAGTTCTCAAAATTCTTCAACCCATCCTTCCATCCATTATTTATGGTTAATGTGCACTTTGTGGCGGCTTAATTGGCTTTTCGGAAATTGGATGTGGGCATGTCTAAGCGGATTGGGATTGGGCTTGGGCTGACTTTCATTCAACCTGTCCCGTACACCTGCAATGGTCTCTTTGATCGCTCAAGTTTGGCTTTGGTATTTTTCGGCCCGTACTTGCTGACCCAATTCCAGAAAGACGCATGCGTTTTGGTGTGTTGTCCTAAACTGGTTTCGGGTTTGGTTTCGGTTTCGGCGGTTTTCGGCCTCACTGCCGCATTTCCCTCTCTTTCGCGCCAAGACTGTTAACTGTTAATGATTTCGGCGTTGTTTTCCTTAACAACAAATTTTCGGATTTCGATTTGAAAGCCGAAAAAGAAGCGCCGCCGCCTGCACAGAAAGAAATACTGATATGATGTGACGATCAATGATACACTCCCCATATTGATCTGATTATTAGCTTTATTTGCGGGATAAACAAGCTCTGGCCAGACCAACTACCAGACGTAGTAAACAAATTGAATGGGCAGGCAGCCTCTTTTTGGCATAAACATCTTATTGATATTTACACCATTTAAATATTAACTTTAAATATCAAATTTTCTTTCTGTGTGCGAAGGGAGCGGTGTTGGGCGGTGGAGCAAGTTTGGTTTGGATAGTTTTGTCCAAGTTGCATAACCCAGCCAAACCCAAGCCTGTCAGCCCCGCATTTCGTCAATGTCGCTCATTGGTCGTCTTTCCTACCTCTTGGGCGTTCGGTTAACATTTTTGATGTCAGTATCACTGATTATCATAAATTTGCTTATCTTCGGGCGGCGTTTGCATATGTTTCCCACACTGATTGCCTCTCTTGTCCGAAGTGTTTGCCCAGCATTCTGACTCCCTCCCAATCTGGGCTCTGCTATTTGGCCAAGGGTTTCTCCTAATTAACATTGGAATTTGGTTAAATGTTTTCCACATTTTACGATTTCGGGTTTCGAAATGTCTTGGCCAGAAATGAAAACGAAAAATTAGATTTGCATTTATTGCTGGCACGCGTCGCATTTGCAGTTGCATTTCGGAATTTGTTTTTTTCCTGTCTCCGCTTTTTATGTAATTTTTTGGGTTGATTTACACCCAAAGCCGCCAGTGCAGGATAAACTTGAATTTTCTGGTTTTCCACTACTAACTGGTTTCCAATTTGGCTGCAAAAACACTTTGCCTTTCCTTGGCGAACCTTAATTTTGGCTGCATTTTAGTGCTTTTGGCTTTGACAGATTGTTATAATTACCAACTGCTCACTGACACCTCCACAAATTATGGTGGCCAGCGAATATTTTTCGGCTATTAAATGTTTTTCCCAGGCCTTTCGGCCTTTTACAATCGCCAGCATGTCGAGGCGTTTAGAAACGCATTCGCCATTGCTTTGCCAGCGTTTAAAGTCGCCTCCACAGGCAAATATCACGCAGCCGCAGCGTTGGACAAGCACGCACTAATTCAATTGTAGATCGCCATTGCGCAACATCCAAAGTGACGGGGGAATTCCATGTGATTCGATTGCTGATACATGACTGCGGAAAATGGGCAGCTAAACTGGATCGGAAATCAAGTTGAAAGCAATTATAAATGAAAAGGCACTTCCAATGCTTCCACTTTCGGGATGGCAGCTCATTAGTTACAAAATGCAACAATGAGGGTATCTATATGGACAGGGCAATTAAATTTGAAAGCTGCCTCTTTACTTTTTAAACTATAAGATATATTCAAGCTAAGCAATGTAAAAACTTCTTCTTTGTGAAGTACGAAATATGCGTAAAATCCTGTTAACTTTGATAATTAGTCAGTGCTCTCCGGGATTCCCCACTTTGACGGGCTTTGTGGCCACTTAACTTTGGGTCTATGATTTGCAGAGCTCAATTGGTCAATCGATTGCAGTTGTCACAGTTTCTGATGAGCCTAGTTGCGATCGCAATGAAACCGTGACGCATTGTCGCATTCGCAATAGAGACATTAGCAAATAATGCCGACAGATTATACTACCCACTGGAGCTGCTGCAGTGCAGAGGGATTTTCAGAAGCGTTCTCAATGCCGCGACGAGCACTTTGTCAAATACAAATTGCCCAGTTTAGAGGCAAACACTCGGCCACTTTGGCATTCACACTCACTTGAGCTCACTTGAGTTGTTAACACGCATGTTAACCACTTGCCAGCGAACTTGGCTAATGAAGAAGCTCCCGCGGTTAAAATCGAACGGAGAAATTACAAAGCCAATCGCCATACCCCCGCGAGGCCCCTCTTTTTGGCCAGCAAAGTTTGGTTATGTCAGCCGTGGCAATACAACCGCAGCGATGACAAAAAGGGAAAGTAAGTCCAAAGCCTCGTCTTCGCGGCCCTCGGCTGCTTACTTTCTTGGCCATGTCGCTGTGTCCGCTTTTGGCCAATACCTTGCTTTTAGCCGCTTCCGCTACCAAAGCAAGGCCTGTCATGTTCGATCAAGGCGGCGGAATTTCTTTTTGCCCAGCAAGAAAGAAGCAATTAAAATTTTTGGCAAAGATTCGGTTGCCGCCGAGAAGGGTTTTGCTAAGACTTGCAAGGTCAGGAATTTTGGTAGCTTACCCATAAGGGATTTAATATTTAAAAGACATCTTACTATTGTCTATATTTCCTTGACTAATTGAAAGTGAAGTGTCAGTAACACTGGCCTTAGATGTCCTCAAAGTAAAATAATTAAATAATCGCATTTAGTTAGCAAATTAAGTGACAAATTACGGCCTTCCATACGATTATTTTTAGTAAATTTGAGTAGTTAACAACTTGAATGTTCTCTTCGCCACGCGGAGTAACCATAAATTCGTTGACTTGATTACTATAATTGAACAATTTTTAGCATGTTTAGCTTTTAAATAGCAGGTGTTAACAGTGTTTTGTACCCAAAACCGACCTCCGTAAAAATAGCAACATGCAAGGCAATATATATGAGCATATTGAATAAAAATGGCCAACTATGCCGCATACAAATTGCCAAAGAAACTGAGCGAATTCCGGGCCGAAGCAGAGCACAATGAGGAGGCTCCGGACAAAAGTGAGTCGTAAAGCAATCAATAACCAATGCAAAATGTTGCAACATCCCCGTTTTGTTGGGCTTTCAATCAAAACAGACATCAATCAGTGCGAGCTTGGCCTGGCACTCGAAAATGGTTAAATACTTTCAGCCGTTAATTGTCTTCATCTTCACCTGGCAACTCCGAGTGGGTTTTGGGTCTTGGGTATTGGTCTGAATTGGATGGCATCTGGAGGGGATTATGTCGTGGGAGCGCCTTCGGGCGCTTTTGGCACTTGTCTTGGCGATATTTGCACACTCCGCTAAATGCTGCATTGGCTTTGATCACTGCGCCCATTTTGTGCAATTTTTCCGCAATTAAATTAATGACTCCGAAAACGCGCGTATTTAAATGAAAAGTGGCAGAGGCGCCGCCGGGCACTAAGCAAATAAAAGTAATTTATTTGCCGCATTGTTGCCGAAGAGATCATTATTATTGTTTCCTTTTGAATCGATGTGAAAGTTGGCTTGCCAATTGCTGCGGCTCCTCTTTTGTGGCATTGCATGTGGGCCAAAAGGAGGTTAAACTGGATATCTTCGAGTGTTGGATTGCGGCAGGCTAATTGCGGTTTAACCTTATCAACCGATGCGAGATAATCTCGAAACCTGAACTTGCAATCGAGAGTGGCTAGATTTACATATGACCGAAGTTACAATGTTTATAATATAATAATGAGTATTGAGGAGTTATTTCGTATCATCAGTAATAACATCGATTTAGAGACTGTCAAACTGTATTGCCAGCTGGGGTAGTCATGACTTCTCTAGATGCTTCGCTTCGTACTTCCTTCCACGATTACGCAATACACAATATAAAGTGAGTCGAAATCCTCGGTTCGTCTTCAGCAGCCAAGTGCAACGAAAGAGGCAACTTCCTATGTGTTTTAACTTTGAGTGCCGCTGATTTTGGCTTTGTGCACGCAACAAACTCGCAAAACTCAGCCGAAGATTTGCATAGTGAAAATCAGCGAAGACCCAGATCCTATGGCCGCCCAGAATGAAGCGTGGATCATTGACCTGGCTTTATAATGAGCATTTGATCCATAACACTGCCAAGTGGCCGTCGGCAAGCAGTTCATTGGTTTAGAGACACTTAAAATCCGTTCGGCTTTCGTGGGCACCTGTAAACACCGTTTAACAGTGCTTAAAAGTCACTCAACGTATGCGGCCAACTCGAAATAGCCACAATTAAATGCATTTCTGCACGTTCCACACAGAGAAATGGAAGTGGCTGTTGTGGTTGTGTCTCTTTATTTCTTACTTTTGGCCTTTGCGAATATTATCAACTAATTTTAATTTGGCGCACATATTGAAAACGAAAGTTACCGCGACTCGAATTTAATTGGATTTCTTCCGGCTGCTGTTGTAAGTTGTGATGGCGATTGTGATGCGTCGATTTTGTAATAAGGCCCCGATCGGCTCGCTTTCTACTCGCCAAAAGCTAAGCCCATTCCGATGTTTATGACACATATTAAATATGAAACTGGGTCATTACAAGCTCTTTTCAATGGTCAATAATTTGTTTGGGCATTTTACGATGCTGTGGGCCCCTGAAACCCGAAACCGAACCAGTTTTCCATCCGAAAACCCACACGTGTAGTCCCAGAGATGACGCTGATGATGATGATGCTGCAGAAGACTGCTGCTGCCGCTGAAGATCGTTTGCCAAGGGCGGTAAGTGATGGTCATTGGCCGAAGTCCCGATGCCATGGCTCCAAGTGGGTCATCGCGTAATCGGCAATCGACAATCGACAATCACACCCAACCCAAGCACCCAAATGACCAAATATTTGATAGTGTAAAAGTGGTTGCCTCCGCTCGCTGTCAGCTGGCAACATGGAATTTACATGTTATCATGGCAGCTTGTGTGCGGCTCTTATTGACAGACTGAGTGGCTGACTGGCTGATTGGTTGACTGCCCGACTAGCTGACAGGCTGCACAAGAAGCAAACCAATGCAAACATTGCATAATGGCTTATAAATGTTTTTGAAAAGAAAATCAATTCAAAGGCAGTCCACCGGAACAAATTGATTCAAATTGATATTGAACCCCCTTTATTCCTGTGAGGAAAATTAAATCACTTTTTTGGTGGCAACTTAGCAGCGCGTGTTGCTCTCTTTTGTTTGGCTAACAAAAGGACTTGTGGCTTTAGCAATCCAAACTCTTTGGCGACAAGGTCAAGAGTCGCGCGAGGGCGTCGACAATCGACTTCAATTAGTTGGCCATTTACGGCGGTTACAGCCCAAAGCTGCTGCCGCTGCAATTTTCCAGTTATTAATTTTTCGGCAAACTGGAAGCAAAAACACGCCGGCGGGCAAGGCAAAACATGTTAGTCGTGGCAAACGGCAATTGAAAGTTGTTAAGTGACTTGTCCGCTCCTTCATTATTCACACTTTGTTAGTAATTGCAGCATTTACCCGAAATAACGCCAACGTTCTATTATTTTTCTAACTTGCAGCCAACCACCCACAAATGCTCCCAGACGAATATGAGGCAGCACAGCTCGGTCGGCACACAACAGCCGGCTGGTCCTGTGAGGGACTTCCAGATCGATCCTTACATCATACTCGACGACGACCTCAAGTACTTCTACGACGATGTGAGATATGTAAGTAGAAAAGGAATTTGCTAATATCAATCTAATTTAAGAAAGTGATGGGAACGTCATTCATTAGATGGTTTTTTGCTCAATCTCAACAGGGGATTTTTTATCTCTCTGATTAATACACAAATATTTGCTAATTTAGACCAAATTCTAGCGTTTAACCAAAACAACAATAAGTGGGCCTCACTAATTTTCCTACCTTCATCTGCTTCTTCTAGCTGCTGAAGTCGGGGACATCCCAGCCAGAGCTGGACACCATCGCCAGCTATTACTTCGATGGCCAGGGAAAGGCGCTGCGACCCATGGTTACCATGCTGATGGCCAAGGCCATAAACTATCACCTGAACAACGAGTCACAGTGAGTTTATAGGGGATTAATCAGCGGGATTAAAGAGCAAGGAAATTAATAAGGCAATCCGTGTTTTTTAGAGTCAATTTGTTGTTTTAATTTCAAGCTCTTAAAAGCAATATAGCAGTCATAAAAGTAAACTTAATCGTATTATTTTTTTTTATTATGAAACAGATCATAAACTTGGCATCTTAATCTTACACGAAAGTCTATATAATACCATAAATAAGTTAATTAAATCTTTCTAATGCTTAAAATCCTAAAGATCAATATATTTTCCCTCTGTGTAGACTAGTGTAAATGATTAGCACGGCTTTGCGAAATGTGCGCATTTCGGGCAAATTGAAGCAGCATACTCGAACACCTGCGAGTATGTAGGTGTAGTGTGTTCGACCAAATCCTAAATCATATTTTCCTATCGCCTTGACAGCCAATTAGTACACAAACAGCGACAGATCGCCCTCTTCTCGGAGATGGTACACTCGGCCAGCTTGGTGCACGACGATGTCATCGATCAGTCGGACTTTCGACGCGGCAAGCCCAGCGTGAATGCTCTTTGGAACCATAAAAAGGTAAAGATCCGATCCAGTATATGTGGCATCATCGGTGCCACCGGTGTTTGCCAAAGCCAAAGCCAAACAAACCAAGCCAAACACGCGCCCAGAGCTGATCGGCAACCAAAACAGCGAAACAGCAATCATTCAGATCCCAAAGTCTGACTTTGACATCAATTTGTTGCGTATTTCGATTCGAAGTGTTTATTGACTTTGTCAACATGTAAATTGCATCATTTGAAAGGCCTCAAATCGACTGGCCATGCCTCTTCATCGGATTTAATAATAGATCCCAAAATACCTCAAAGCTGCAGTCTCCCTTTCGACACGTCTTCAAATTAAAATGCATAAATTAATCCAATCCAATCTTCACAAGAAGCGGTAATTCCTTGTCTTTGATTGCATCGCCCCTGGCGTTAGTCATATGTCGGTTAAGTTTCTGTTTTTACACCATCTTGCTGTTGGCTGTTAACTGGGTTGCAACATATAACTGTACTCCGGCGATTGTGTTGGCGGATCTTTTGTTATGGCCCTTCGTTTCTGACCATGTCTCATCGCTTTTGCAGGTCACAATGGCTGGTGATTACATCTTATCGATCGCCTCGATTATGATAGCTCGACTGCGCAGCGATGATGTGACGATCGTGCTGAGTCAGGTAAGATAACTTATGCTTGCAGGGATGTGACTAATAAATAAGCCAAGTTCAGAACCCCAAATCGAGATAATCGGTTTTAGAGTTATTGTTCTAAGATTACTATTATATAAGTTTGAGAGTTATTACCCCTTTGATCATCTTACTGAAATAACTTTTCTGCCTAAACCTCATCTTGGAGTTTTTTGCACTCACCACCGAAAACAAACAGCCGTAGAACTTACCAAGTACCTCTCACATTTTATGCTGCTAGTTAATTGCCGAGGCAAACAAAAGTATTACCTAAGTATTTGGGAAAGGCTGCCACCACAAAAAGCCCCGCATTCAGAGGAAATATCTCTGTACATTAGAACAAACCGAGAGGTGATAGTATTTGAGAAAGTACGTAATCAGATCGGGTGCCAAATTTCACACGATTGCTGGGCAAACACGAGGGAACCTTTGTCTTAAAATTATGAAAGTTGCTCGTTCCGGCTGTAGGGAAACCGAAAACCAGTTGCCTGTTTTAATGGGCCTGAAAACTTCCTGCGTCCCTGGAAGTTCAGTTCCCCAAGGTTTGCCCTTCGCCAGAGTTCGTGAAACTTTAGAGCGGCATTCACTTTTCATGAGTCGGAAGTTATGCATCCGTGTCCTTGAGAGTCCCACAGGTAAGACTGAGGAAACGACATTCCGCAGAAATATATCATCGCTCTTCGCCATGCCCTGAACGTAGTTTCTATAAATTTCAAATTAGTCACACCTGCCAATTTCACTTTCGGTGGCTATGAAGAGTGAAACTAGATCTGTTGCCCTGGAAACCGAGACCAAGGTGGCTCCGAGTCTCAATCTCTCTTCAAATCCACAGCTTCCCTGCATATTTACACAATCGAGCGGCGGGCCAAGTTAATAGCCAAAGCAAACACAATAAACTTGCCTACGTTTTTGGGTTACACATTCGGCGTTTTCTCAATTCGCGAAAAACATGCGTAACACCTGAGGATTGGCCTGAAGATGGCCTAAGGTGCGGCCTAGACACTTATCCGCCGCTATTTGTTTATTTCATTACCCCGATCTGGGCGATATCATGCTCGTGTATCCATCGCATAATGTGGCTCATTTGCATTCCAAACACTTTGACCCCGCCGAAATGAAACTTTCTTTGCGATCATGAGGTCATTCGTCTTGAAACTAGTTCTAAGCCAAACAGCCCCAACTGGTCTCCACTACTTATTCAAATTTCTCTGAGCTTGGCTTGCTCTACCTTACACATTCTTCAAAATTACTTAGAAAAGAAAAGAAAGGGGTTATCTCTCATTCGGTAGATTCCCTTCTTTAAGGCCTTCTTGAGTTTCGGAACTATCTAGTGCCTTAGGTCCGATTACCAATTAATTGTTGTATTGGTTTTAAATTTCTAGAACTACGTAGTTTTTTAATAGTTTATCCTACTATTCAGCTAGGAAATCAAAACACAAAAGAAACCAGAATCCATTTGTTCAGATCTTTGCATTCATCAAACTCATTTTGTCTTTCATTTATAGACGACTTTTGCCTGTTTCTCTAATCTACGACAATCTTCGGCATATATTTGTCAGATTTATCATATTAAATATGCCGCGCACGTGTCTGAATAAAATCAGCGGTTTCTAAGACGTTGGATGGCATTAATAAAATGGGTAGAATGTCCGCCTGCCTTTCAATCAAGTAAATTTATGACTATCTCTGACTTTTGGGCCAATCCAGGCAGTTTAGACTTTTTACGCCCTTGGAAAGGCCCAGACATCATTAGACAGTTCATACGGGACATATTAATTGCTGAGTCTAGAAGCTACACCTATTTATATATACCGGATTCCCCTTGTCGGAAGTTTGCAATTCAAAAAGAAAATTCCCCAATAAGTGCCTTGCCAAGTTGTTTCCAGGCTGAGCCATAATATTTTTGTACGAAGCTGCACTCGATTCCGCTGCCTGCAGCATTTGGTCTCGTTTTGCTGCTTAAAAGGCGGCATTGTGTTAATTTTTATGGCTCCAAATGCACTTGTTGGCCAGTTTGTTGGGTTGTTAGAGCTCACGCACTTGTAGCTGGCTTTTTGTCAGTGTTAATTAACATTGAAAGTCCAGCAGTGGCCAGAGGAATTCGGCCAGAAACTATTGGCCAGTTATGGCCGCCTCACCTTGAGCTCCTTGGAAACCGCCATTTTTCAGCGCCCACGATTGTTTGCCAAAGATTTTGACGACTGGCTGTGAGTTTCTTGGCCGAATCAATGAAAATGCCTATTTGAAGGCGAATCGAAGGGCGTGCCAAACAATCGGTGGGCAAACAGAAGCGGCGATAGCCAAAATACCTAACTTCTTCTAGCGATCTCAATGAAATCTTGTTTACCAGATTTATTTCAGCCAAGCGGAAGTTACACACTCGAGCGGATCGAGGGATTAATACACAGAAACTAAAATTGATTTGAGTGGTATTTTGGGATTAGCAATATCCGCCTGTGAATGTTATAGTAGTAAAGTTTTACCTGGGTAGAGGAGACATTACACTGCAAATTGGGCAATGATCCATTCATCTCGGAGGGGAAAACAAAGGCCGAGAACAATCGAAGCCATAACCATAACCCCAGACATTTATGGTGACATATTTACGACGCATTGTCCGTAATCTCTTGCAGATCTTGACCGATTTGGTCCAAGGCGAGTTCATGCAGCTGGGCTCAAGGGAAACGGAGAACGAGCGCTTCGCCCATTATCTGACCAAGACATACAGGAAGACCGCATCGCTGATTGCCAATGCACTGAAGGCGGTGAGTATTCATTATCATCATGCAATCATAAGCAGTTGGCACTTATTTAGCTGATTGGAGCCGCTTAATTCGGCAATTAGTTTGCACGCAGTCTCGCGACATTGTTCCCAATCCCCGTCAATTTCAACTGACTTTGAACCCTCTATTCCTCCGGTTCTCCTGCAGACCGCTGTGATTGCCCAGGCTGATGACAACGTGGCCGAGGTGGCCTTCCAGTATGGACGCAACATTGGCTTGGCCTTTCAGCTGGTCGACGACATGCTGGACTTTGTCTCCTCCACCGAGCAGATGGGCAAGCCGACGGCGGCGGATCTGAAACTGGGCCTGGCCACCGCCCCCGTTCTCTTTGCATGCGAGAAGGTGAGTACGGAGGGTGGGTAACAAATTGATATCGTTTGATGTTTCCGTATTGGCTTGCCAATTAATAAAAGAATGAAATGTACACAGAGAGAAAATGAAGGCACGATCTGTTCTTTTATCACAAATCAATAAGAAAGTGTTTAAAAGTATGCTATACAAATATTATTTACGTTTTGGGATAATGCATACTCTTAGAAATCAAAACATTTTGGACACCACACTTCGCGTTGTTTTCTCTCTGTGTATCAATATGCTAGATTGAGATGTCTCTTTGTCCAGATTTCTGTTTGCTTTGCATCCGAAGTAGCTCGCAGCCGTCGGAACGATGATGAATTCATGGTGCCGACGGTGAAGGTGTGATGATGTCATGTGGGTGGGTGGTTGGCTAGATGCACAGATGCCCCAATGGGCCTGCAACTCAATCGCCAGCGATTACCAATGCCCATTTGCTATGCATTCCGCGAGCTGCGCACGCGTGCAGTGCGTTTAAAGACGTTCCATAGCTGTGAAACTTGCATAATTTAAATGGCTTTTCCTTATGTTTTAGTACCCCGAGCTGAACCCCATGGTGATGAGGCGCTTCAGCGAGCCCGGCGATGTGGAGCGGGCCTTCGAGCTGGTGCACAAGTCACACGGTCTGGAGCAGACCCGATTCCTGGCCAAGAAGCACTGCAACGAGGCGATACGGCTGGCCCAGGAGCTCACGGAGTCGCCCTATCAGAAGGGCCTCCAGGTGGTCGCCGATTTAGTCATCAACCGCATGAAGTAGAGCCGAGTCCATGCACCTGCACCCTAACATAAACCATACACGTAATGCAATAATAATAGAGTTATGTAGGCCACACTCGATGTTTCGATTAAGTTCGGCTCAGCCACGGGCTGACTTGTAAACAAGAATTATTATTTAGTTTTTAGGCATTTGTTGTTGACACTGTAAATAATTGCATAAAGAAACCCAATCAACACACACTAAACGGCCACGTTCGCTGTACATAACTACGAGATGTTCAATGAATTTTTAACAAATTTTATATGCAATGTTTTTCGAAGGATTTATTAATATATATACGACATGGAGATCGAAATACGAGCAGAGCCAACCAAGCAACAATAAGAAAACGGGAAAATTGTACAAATATTTCTTCAAAATAAAAGAAATTAAACGGGTTGCCCGCCCAGCCGAGCAACAATGAGGAACTACCATTAGAGGGAAAATGTTTATTAGTCAATGCAACAAAGAAGCGAGTGTGTAAAGCGATATTTATAATACGAAGCACGGAGAACACAAACGGCTTATTTTAAATTAAAATCTTGATTTAGGGCATTTCATGCCTAAATGGTTCAATGGTCTTTGCCTGCACTCTTTTCCAAGTCCTTCCGACCGCACAAATTGCTTTTTCAAACCGAAAGCCCGTAGTTTAGCTGGATTAATAAAACATTTTGAACCATTCGCGCATGAAATGCATATTATAATATGTTCTGTAAGAAATGTAACGAGGATTGTACGTGAAACAATGCTGCCCAGTCTTAATTTTAATCCTTCCTTCTCCGCCTCTAATGCAATAGTAAATTATAAGAAACCTAACACAAAATCGAACAGAAAGCCCCATTTCGGAATGCCTAAAAAACTCTTCTTAGCCTAAGTTTTTATTTTTATTTATAAACACAACCTCAATTAAGTCAGTCAGCGAAGTTTGTTTTTGTGTATCGTTTTGGAAGAAAAACACCATTGGGCTCCTTTACAGCCCGGTCTACACTGAGAAGAAGAGAATGCGAACTAGACAGAGCAAATTGCTAGGCCTGGCCAGTTCATCGATTCAAATGGGTGCTGAAGACGATTTCCCCACATGTTAAAATAATGATAAAGATGTTGATATTGATACTTGTAATTACGATATTTGTATGCTTAAAGAGATGAATAAAAATTCGATTTTGTAAAACAAAAGGAGCCCCGCTTAAGTCCTTCCACACATCCTTGACAGTAGAGTGTTTCCCGTAACCATGCAACATATCAACTAACCCGACGACCCAGTGAAATATTTTTGGACATGGCCAAAGTACTTTATGTTGCGACGGGCATGGCTGATACCGGAATTGGGGCAAACAAATAAATTTCGTGGTATACCACACGGGGCGTATGAGCAACCTGAGCTGCTTGGGCTTGCGGAAGGTTTTCATTTTAAAACATCAACAAGTTTTGGGCCTAATTGCACGCAATGCTGCAGCAGACTTAACTTTCCGTTTTATTAAAACAAAACACCAGATCACGAATCAGGTTAAGTCAAGGCAGCCGTGGCATCATTTTCTAGGCTGTATAAAGTATATATATTTTATGTCCAGGCAGACGAGCTAAGTGGAGCAGGCTAACATCGTGTCTAACTGGCAAAATATTTAAATAGCCAAACCAAATTAGCTGAGGTTTCGATATCCTTCGACTTGTCTTCAAGGACAGACGACCGAAGTGTGCCTTAACCTAGGTTATAAATAGTCGGGCGTGCTGCCTAGACAACCGACCCATCATCCGTGGCCCCTTAGTGCCTGGCACGGATCCTGCCAGCCAATTCGGCGGTTAAACGGTTTGGCCAGGACACGAGACCGATTCAGTTACGCGGCGTTTGCTGAACGCAGCGCTACTTCCGTTCCCCATATTTCTGGATAATTGAGATACACCCGTATAAGATATAGACAAAGAGTTCTCAGCCATGACGACCAGTGATGAGATGGGCATGGGAGGCAACTTCTGCCACGACCACATCCAACATCCCCTGATGTGGTGCGATGAGAAGAAGCGTCTCGTGGAACGCAAGAATGCAGAGGAGAGTCTTCGGATGTGGCGGCGCAGGAAAGCGGAGGAATGTGCTCGCAAGGAGAAGGACAAACAGGAGGTGGGTAACAGTGCGTATGTGATATGTTGCTGAAGGTTGTTGATCAAGAAAGGTATGTGGTTCATAGGAAAACTATATTATGCTTTCAGAACCCATCTCATGTTAGCTCTGTAAACTGACCTTTGATTTTCTAAGAGAACCCCTGACAAATTTAAGTTTAACTGAGATCAAGAAGTCAGAACTTAAAAGTCTCTATGTACAAGATTCCCATAAAAGTTTTTGAAAAATAACCTGTGACAATCAAAAGCCATCTCGAACCTTCACCCACGCGATAGTTCCGACTTTTGCTAAGTTCAAAGACCTCGCCCAAGCAACATGTAAGGCATCCGCCCTCACGGATTTGGTTCAACAAACCCTTTGACAATTTCGACTTCGGTAATCAAATCACCTCTCTCTCGGCTAAATGCCCAACTAAATGCCAGTTGAGCACTCCTACGAGCCCTTGCGTGACTGGAATCCTGGCTGATTATTTGGCTACCTATCACAACCTGCAGCTGTGAGAAAGCGCCAGCCGAAATGTGGGTGAAAAAAATCAGTGAATTGCAAATCGCGGTTCGCTGCAACTATAACAACAACCTACAAACAAAGTTCCTGGGCCAGGGCAGCGGGGATCCAAGGGAGTTTGCCAATTTCCGTAAACAAACATCGCCACACTCCGCGGAGTGACACGGCGCGGTGGGTTGAGGCAGTCTGGAGCCCATAAATAGGCTGCCACGAAATCGATAGACATAACTCGGTGTTGTAATCACCCAGAGACAGTATCTAACTAGCAGAGCAGGGATTGAGTACATAAATATGTATATTCTCAACTTATAAGAAGAATTATGATCTAGGTTAAAGCTAGCAGAAGTATTAAAAATATGTAGTACTTAATTTATTAAAGGTGCTATAAAAAATTGTAGATGCTCAAAGTATTTATGAAGGTGTCGAAAAGTATGCTACGATATATGTATTTTAAGCTCACAGAGAGTTCTGCGTGTATTACTCTGGAGAAATTAGCATTAAACTGACTTTCAAATCATCGAAACTAATTACTTACCCCATTACTATAACCAGTACTACGACCTGTTTCACCAACATTGTCCTTGGGGTCGACCTGGCGGTGGTGCTCCCAACGTAGAGGTTCGCCGCAAGGACATTACAGCCGTGGGTCTCCACTCCACACCCACTGTGGTAAGCATTCGTTTCACCCAAAATGATATTGGGCTCTACAATCTACAATGATTATCCCATATCGCACAGACCACTGCCCACCGGATGAATCTACTTCAGCCGTGTCGCTACAACGACTTCTTCTCGATGCAAAAGAAGTGCCACAACAATCCACTGGCCGCCTACCATCACCACCATCACCATGCCCCACCTCCTCCGCCCCCGGGTGGGCGATTGGGCCACGCCCACTCCGTTCACCACCTGCAGGAAAGCGGCCCGAGGAGCAGTACTGTAACGATTTGTGAGCGGGAGATTCCCCATAAGCCTGGAGCGGGCGTTGGCGTAAATCTGGCCAAGAATGCCAACGGTGAGAGTCTGCACATCCAGCTGAAAGAGCATCCTTCAATGTCGTTTCGCAATAAAGGCCACGTGGATATAGAATTGCGATACAAGCCATCGCCCCCGTGCAAGGGCAAGCCACTTCTGGACAAGATTGTGGTCAGCGAAAGTGAGCAGCGTTGTCCTTTGCAGGAGAAGCTGGCCTCGCAGAAAAAGCGCCTGCAGGCCAAACTAGAAAAGCCGGTGAGCGGCACTTGCTACGCCCTCTGGAGCATATTTTTACTAATCTCCTCTTATCTGACATCTTTTTCAGCCCTGCAAGGAACCCTGGGGAAAGGCAGGTCCGGGAGGCAAGCCCTGGCGGAGTCCCAAAGAAGTTGGCAACACATTTATGAAGTCACTGGTAAGCTAAGTTAACTTTACAAAGTTAATATATGGCCTTAAAAATCACCAATGCTTCTTAGGGTTGGACGAACAAGGAGATGCTGAAGGAGTTGGATCAGGACAACCCAGTAACTCCGGCGGAGAAGAACACCTTCCGCAAATCGCGGCCAGGAAAGCCTCCAAAACCGCAGCGCTGCTGTGAGATGTGCACCTGCAACTGTCCCGCCATGCAGAAAAGTCCTCCGAAGCCGTCGCCGCTCTCGCTGCCCATTCCGCCGGGAAAGAAGTGTCCAGGTCCGCCAGTTCCACCGCCCGCAAAGGTCCTGCATCACCTGAAGCCACAGGACTGTGGCAACAAGGCCATCAAACTGTGCCCCCGAATGGCCCCAAGAGGACCATGTCCTGGAAGCCCGAGTACCGCCACTCCGGAAGTCAGTACCGCCGGAGGCAATGGAGGTACTTATGGCGAGGGCGGCGGCGTAGAGCTGGTTCCCCTTCTGGCCAGAAGGCGCGGCATGCACCGACCCATCAGCCTTTCCAGCACGGATGTGACCAAGAGGACGCCGTCGCACGATAGGTACGCATCCAAGCACAAGCATCCACCAAAGAACTGTCAGCTGACCACCACCAAGATCAAGTGCATCAACAGCATCATCAAGAACATCAGCCACATGAAGCGGTTGCCCAAGAATCTGAACTGCAAGCTGCAGTGTTGCAGTTGCGATTGCCCCACGGCCGTGGCCACGGGCTGCTGCCTCAAGCGGCTCACCCTGCACATTCGCCAGGCTTAGATACCATGTCCCCTTAGTCCTGATCCTCCCCTGCATTCATAGTCATTCCTCTCCCGACCCCTTTCCGTTTCTCATTTGCTTGCTCTGCGCTGAATATCGAAAATGAAAATCCGCTTGCCCCCTCTTTTTATGCATTGTAATCTTCCGCCCTGTTAATGGTTTCTCTAATCCCCCACTTCTCCTCGGCTCATCCAGCAAGAAAATATCCATTGTAATACAAGTGAAAGTATAGCAACCAAAAGAGCAAACCAAATACCAATCTCACCAAAACCAAAACTGCAACAGCAAAAAACCAAAATCATAATACCAATCTTCTATGTATCCCCGTGCAAAACGAATCGAACTGAAAATCGCTCTGAAATTCGAAAACCGAAAAACTGAAAATCGAAATGATAAAATGAAACTAAAATATTGCCGCCCACCAATTGACCGACCACCAGGATTCAAACGGCCGCCGACATGCGTTATCTGCACGACCTGAATGTCCAGATATCCCAGAACCGCCGATCCGTCTCCGTTTCGAAGCAAATGGACAGGGATCTGTGCAACCAGCACTTCGACACCTTCGAAACGTTCTGGGGCAGACCAGGACATGGAGCCCGGGGCGATAAGACCAACAAGTTAAAGCTGGACAATCTGCTCTACGGCGCCAGCGAGTCGGCCTAAGGCCTTGGGAACCTGGATTAATAAGGACACCCTAAGGACATTCGCTCACCTGTTCACTGGCTCGTAGTTTGTGTGCTTCAAGTCATCTGCTCAGAAATCAATCGATGCCAAGACCCTGCCGAGTAAACTACATTTACCAGTTTATGTGACCCAAAATAGGAAAAGAAAATATTACAAGGGGCTGATATGGATATTTCCGAGGCTTTCCATTGTCAGAAATATTTATATCCGCCCATTCAAAATTTTCCCCATCTATGTACAAATTTTGCCAACTTACTTCTAGTAAGCTGACCAAAGTTTTGAAAGGGTCAAGGGTTACAAAATTAAAGAGAAAAAGAAAGATAGTCAAGTTAGTCAGTTGAAATCAGTTAAAGGTTAGGCGCAATCTGAAACCATCTATTTGCCAGCTAAAATCAGTTTAGGTATAGTTTTATAAATACTCAAAATAAACTGTAATTAAGATAGTGAATCTGTTTGCTCTTTAAAGTATTGGTAGATTTGTGTTTATCTGAGCTCGTGAGACGTTTAATTTAAAAAGAAATAAACAATTCAAGGGTGTAATTTAAGTTTGTATAGATGTAAGTAAACTAATACCTTGTAAATACAATAAAATAAATTGTGCAATAAAAATCTATTATAATAATCAAAGAAATTAGGCTCCTTCACTAGATAAAGTGCATTAATGTCAATATCAAACAAAACATTTGTGGCCAGTCCTCATCCAACTATTTTAGCAAGGAACAGTACCCACAAAACTGTAAGTTCGAAAATTGCCGACTGATTTGTTTTCGAAATGTTTATCAATATAAAATGTACTTTATTTTAATAAATTTCGATTGCTATTTTGAAAGTTTAAAAGATGTCGGCATATCCGCTTCAAATCATAAAAATGTCAGTTCCCAAACCAAATAAATGCTTCCTTCACTTGATTGTTTTTAAAGGACATTTTTATTATACAGTTGTTTATGTAGTACGTAATAGATCACATAAAGCAAAAAGAGAATATTTTACTACATTGTTTGTTGTTGTGGATGATAATGTGTTTGTTGTGTCTTATGAGGATGTGTCAAGAATCCCTTTCGGGGCAGTAGTCCCACCTCCTCGGGGTTCTTGTTGATGTGGATGTCGAAGATGATTTATAATTAGACTTCATTTAATTCTCTACGTATTATTACGATTTTAGTAAATTACAATTACAATACATTATATAGTATATAATATAGTTATATATATTATTCATTTAGATTTTTATTAATTTTTGTGGATTTTGTGATTTTTTATTTAAAAGTTATTTCCGTTTTATTTATTTTTTTGTGTGTGGTTTTGTTTTTCGTTAATTTTACATACATATATTAAATATATTTACGAACATAACAGCAGTCTTATATAAGATGACATACTCATTTTATTGTTTTCATTAGAGGGTTTTGAGTTCATTATCCATGTTGAAAGTTAGAATGCGAGGGATCGGACAGGGGATGCTGCTTATGTCCATCCCCTGGCTGACTACTCGATGGGCTTCGGGGGACCGAAGACTGTTTCCGTTTCTATATAAAAGTTGTTTGGCTAAACTAGGGCGGTCCATTCGGAGTCGCTTAAGCGTGAGGACTTAAAGATATTGTATTTAGATATAAGTTTGCATCGATAGCTTAGTATTATATCTATTAGGGACGCTGAACTATTAGTTTAGTTGTGATTAATTTTTAAGACGCTGGGCGTCTGCGAAATGCGCTCTGAAAAAGTTTGTTTTGTTTTTTGTTTTGGCGGCTGACTAAATTGTTGAAGGTATACTTGATGTAAATATCGTATCTTAAAAATTTCATTTGTTTTTGTTCTGTTTGAATGCTTAAGGAACCCGATTCTGCTAGGATAGGAAGTTCGATCGAATTTACAATTTAGAGGCATGCAATGAAATACAATCATCGAGAGTATGCACAAATATATTTTCGTATTCATATCGTATATTTTGTATTTTGTATTTTGTATTTTTGTTTTTGTTTTTGTTTTAGGGACTTTACTTTTAGGGTCGTTTGAACACTATAAATAAACAGTTACAATACATGCACGGACACACACTCACACAGCTACAGATGTATTCTCTGTGGTATAAATAATAGCGTAATTTATAATTAAAATACTATAACTACTGTAGTTATTGTGGCTCCTAAGTGGAAACGCCTCCTGGCTTCCCCTAAATTTTTAGCTAACTATTTTATGTTTGAAATATTCGACATTTATCAATTTTGCATCTCCGTTCTTTCGCTCGGCTCGCTCGAAGTTGCCTTGGCAAGTTGGCGACCTATAATTTTCCTAATTCAAGTGGATCACAGGAGAACGCTTACAGTTTCCCTGCTCCACTCTCCTCCCTCAATAAACTGCGGAGCTCTTTTGGACAATTTGTATGATTTTTGAATAAAATGGTTGAAACAACTGGCTGGGGGAACCCCCTTTAAAAGATGATTTCATTGAAATTGTACAGGGGTAAGTAGCTTCTAAAGTTATATATATATATAGGTTCCGGAAATTCCGCCAACCAGTCGATCAGAAAGGTCTGGTTGTTATGCGTATATAAAATCAAAATTTAATTTAACTACAATAATGACTAGTTGAAGAACATTCTCCAAATGTATTTTCTAAAATTTTGTGTTGTGTATTATTCTTTTTTTCGAATTTTATGTTTTGTTTCGTTTTTTTTTCCATTTTCAAATTATCTAAAGCTGTTTTAGAGAAGCTTTTCTAAGCAGGCATGCTTAACATGGTTGAGATTAGTTTTGATGTTTCTTTTTGTGTGCTTTTGGGTGAATTTTTCACAATTGCGAAATGCATGGAATTTGTTTTGTTTTTTTTTTTTTTTTGTTTGTTTTTTGCATTTTGTGTTATTACGTTTGGAAGCCAATGTAAACTGTTGCTTCGTGTTGCCTTGTCTTGGAAAACTTCTCTAAGGATGTTAGGGCGGCGCCCAGCTCCCTCACTTCTTTAATCCCTCCTCCTTAAACTGCCGCAGCTTCTGCTTCCTTCCCATCTCTGCCTTATTGAGGAATCCTCTTTCTCCGCCTCTCGTCCCGTTTGTTAATCAGTTAGTTACTACTTCATCACAGCCAACTCTCTTGCTTTTCAGCGGCGTCCAGCGTTTGCGCCTCTCTCCTTCCTCACCTCATCCGATCTGACGATCAGTTGATCGTTTTCTTGAAGAGGTTTTGGTGAATGTGCTCGTTTTGCAGCGCGCACATTTGGCCCACAGCAACCGCCCGCAAGCCGCCGCCTCCTCCTGATCCTCCAGAAATGCCCACATCCGACTGGTGTCCCAAGCTTGTGGCCACGCCATCGCCACCCGATGAACTGGACACTGTTTTGCCGGCCCTAAAGTTCAAGAAGAACTTCTCCTTCATGGGCAACCCCGCGTACTTGTGCTCAATGAAGTTGGGCGAGATCTGCATGGGCAGGGAGTTTCCGGTGGTGGCTGGCTTCGCTGCAGCGGTCACTATGGACCTCTTTGCAACGGGCAGGACCATTGTCGGCGGCTTGCTGGAGTCGCTGCTACTGTGGTTGCTGTTCGGATTGCTGAGGTTGCTGTTGTTTGAGCAGGAGTAAGAGGTTTCTGCAATAGGTAGAGAGAAAAGGAAAAGAAGTAACGAAAAACATAAAATAAAATGAAAACAAAACAAACGAAACGAAAAGAAAGAATACCCGAATTTGGACAGAGGTGTGGATTTTGTAAGAACTAAGGAATAAATTAAGAATATTGCACGAAGTCGAGTGTCGTCTTAGGCTAATGAGCAGACTTTAGATATCCGAGTAGATGTGTGGGTGTGTTTATATATATATATATATATATCGTATAATTAAATTCAATTTGCTAGAGCTTAGAACATAAATAATACTTGGTTTTAGTCGAATACGAATAGTCACTAAAGCTAAAGCCGAGATTAAATAAGTTTTAAGTGGTAATGCTAACAATATTTAAAGTGATCTGTTGGAAATGAATTTGAAATTCGCATTTTCTGCGTATTTATTACAATTGTTGCTCGTGCTTCGTCTGTTGTGTTTTTTTATAGCCTAATTAAATTAAGAGGAGATCAGCAGTTGTAAACAGTTTAATACAAGCATGATAGTCACACATACAGTTAGGGTGATTAAAATTCTCTCTTTAAATCTTTAAATACAGAATTAAATATTGCACAATCAATGCGATTTGTGGGGTGCTTCCTTTAGTTCTATGTTACACTCGATATTAATTCATTGGGCTGAGGGTCTGAACTAAAACAAGTAAGCAGTCTACGAAATGTTTCCAAATGGGTGTTTTGGTGAGTGAGTGGGTCTGCCCCCTAAGATCGGCATTCCGACGAGTCTAGAATGTCTTTCGTATGCGGAGGAACTAGTCAATGTGGTGCCTTGGGTGGTTCCAGCGTCAATTTTCGGTGCATCAGAAGCTGCTTGAGTATAGGCTACGTCTCTTCGTTGACGGCGCCAGCGCCCACAACTTCAATGCCCGCTACTGTTGCTCCTCCTATTTCCTCTTTGCAATCTGTGATGCTGGCAATCGCTGCAGCCACGCTCTCCGAAATCCCATCGCTCTGACCCTCATCCGTGTCCATGGGTTCTATCAACTCCAGCTTGCCCTTCTTCATCAGCTGCTGCTGTTGCTGCTGCGGCGTGGGTGAGCTGCTCTTGCTGCTGTTCCCGCTAATGCTGCTCGTGGGACTGATGGGCAGAACGTGGTGTTGCTGTTGCACCTGCTGCTGTTGCTGCTGGTGTTGCTGTTGTTGCTGCTGCACCTGTTGCAGCAACTGATTCGGCTCCTGTAGCAGCAGTATATTGGTCTTCTTGGCCAACGAGGCCACCAGTGCCTGCTGCTGTTGGCTACTACCATTTGTGGTGGTGAAGGTCAGCGTTTGAGTGTTTTTGGTGGGTGAGGTGGCCGGCGTGAGAATGCCCAAGTTGACCAAATTGGGCAGCGGCTTGCTGCCATTGAGCACAGTTTGACCATTGGCTGTTGTCTTGTTGTGCGACTGCTGCTGTTGCTGCTGCACAATGTCCATAGAGGAGCCACCGTTGGCCACATTAGTGGCCAGCTTGAGTATCTTGCTGGCTGTGGCATTGGCAGCCATTAGATTGCTAACCGACTTGGCTGTCGGTGTGTTGTTGGCTTTAATGGATACTAAACCGAGTGTGCTGCGCATTAAATTGTTGTTGCTGTTACCTGTTGCAGTGTTTTGATGGAGTTGCTGCTGCTGCTGTGGTTGCTGGGTAGGAAGATTAGTCAGGGTGACCACATTCCCGGCGCTGAGCTGCTGCAGAACATTCCCATTGCCGGTGAGAATGGCAGTGTTGCTGGTGTTGCTACCATTGTTGCCATTGTTGTTGTTGTTTCCATTGGACAGACTGCTGCTGCCTCCGTGACAACTGCTGGCGCTACTCGACATGTTGCTGATGCTCGAAGGGCTCAAAGAGCCCAACGACTGCGACGGCGAATTGCTGCGCTGAATGACGGGCGGCGGGTTCGGATTGGTGGAGCTGTTGCTGATGCCCACAGGCGTAGCAGACGAACTGCCGCCATCGCCGATAGCCAATGCATTGGCTAGTTGGGCATTCAGCACGCTATCCGGCTGCGAGTTGTGGGTGTGCAGAGCGTGGTTCTTCAGGCCCTGGGCCGTCTTGTAGCTTTTGCCGCAATGACACTTGTAACCTTTGCGAACTCTGTGAAAAAGATACGAAACTATCAGCTTCCAGTTTACCAATCAGTTGGTCAGACTATCTTTACCTTCCATCCTTTTTGTGGCCATTCTTTGAATGGTACTTGATGCCGTTCACGTTCTTGTAACGCTTTTTGCATCCCGGAACAGGGCAGGCGAATGGTTTCTCATTGCCGGGCGTGCCATTGTTTCCGCCACCGGAATGCCTATCGAAATTAATCAAAATTAGTTGGTTGTTAATGATGAATCGTCAGTTAATTTGTCGTTAATAACCCATTATAAGCCCACATTATAAGTATCAACGAACCTGCTGCCATAGCGCATGATAAACTCGGAGCTGAACTCCTCGGTGGTCCAGGAGTCGTTGCTATCCTCCGACTCCGTGACCACCATTTCGTCCTCGTCCATTTCGCTGCCTAAATTTACGATAAACAGAGAGTTAGGGATATCGTATGAAATACATTAAAGGCTAACTAACCCGTGGGCGTGGTGCTACGATTTGACGAGGACATACTGTAGCTGTGGTGCTTAATGGCCAGCTTTCGCTTGAGCTCCACGTTGCCATTCCCATGGCCAGCGGAATTGGATCCGCTATTGCTGGTCGGTGGGGCGGTTGTGTTGCTGGCCAGGAACGAGCCCGCTTCCTTGCGGTTCTCCTCGGTGATGAAGCGCAGGACGTAGCTCAAGGGCAGGCAGGCAGGCTGGGCCTGCTCCTTTTGTTCGACCACCTTTGGGTCATAGTCTGCAAGGAATAAAGGCCTGTTATTATACATTCTATTTAAAAGGTTCTGCTTTTTAATCGCCCATTAGAGAATCACAATAAACACATTCAAAATCAAAACAACTCACCATTGTAATGTTTTGAATAAAACTGGTAATAATTAGGAACCCTGCTAGAAAGTTACCAAACCGGGATAACCTAATTAGAAATTCCCTTTCGAGTCGGTATCGGCATCCGAACCGGAATGCTGGCAGTCAGAACAGAAACCTGCATCCGAAATTCGTCGTCAACCGCTGGGTTTGCTCTGGAACAAGTTCACAGACATTCAAGAGACCCACAGCCCGGGCAATTTATTATTAAAATGTCGAAATAAGTAAATAGCGAGAGTGCACGTACGGGGAATGGTATGGCGACGAATTTAGTGCGCCTGCTGACGCATTTTCCGAACTGTTAATAGGGGGACAGAATGGGGTTCGAAGGGGGACTACAGCAGAGCACCAGGAGGAGCACATGGTCCGGTCTTTAGCGTGGGTACGTTATCTTATCGCCAGAACAAGCATAAGCCCAAAGCTTGCTTAATCAGCGAGTGCATAATAACAGGTGCCTCTCCTCATAGTCTCCCCTTTTGCGTCTTTATTTACTTTTCGCTCCATGTGTGCGAGCAACCTAACCTCGACGAGCACGCTTTATTTCCCAATTGAATCGTTTTGGTGCGTAACTGTGTCAGCCGAGCCATTCATCATCTTCGCCACCGGGCACCCTGTGCATTCGTCACTTGATTGTCGTTGGAGTTAACGGGGAGCTGCTAAACGATAAAATAACATCCCCGATCAGCTGCCGATCTCAGAGATTGATTGCCCACTGCAGTTTGTAGAGAGCAAGCTAATCAGTCGCTTATTGATATTGGGCGAAGCTTTAACCTTCACGTGACCGCCAGCTCTGCAGCTCTCCAACTCTAATGGACTTTTATCAAACTATTTAGTTATATTAAAACAGAAACATTACTGAACGATTAAGGTCCAAAGTCCCAATCAGAAAGCCCAATTCACATTTTATTTTGTTCCTACCTTCTTCAGCATCTGATGACCAATTTCATGATTGGGAAGCAGTTGGCAAACTGCATTTTAGCTGACTATCACCCACACGTCAACAGTTCGATAAGGTTGCACTTTAATAGCTTCGATTCGCATTGGTGTGTCAACGAAAAACATATGCCGCAAATTGACTATCATTCGAGACATATGCTTTCATCTAGCAACTCCCCCGCGTAGCTATTTTGCCCCTTATCAGGGCGAAATGCGATTAAAAACATTTGCGGCAATGATTGCGGCGATGTCTACGTGCCGGGCAATCGATTGATGACACATACGGACACACGGACACGCCATATGTGCGTAATAATTCGGCGTACTTTAGGTAACAAGTCAGCCAGTATCAATCGCCTTGAACATTCGCAACTTGAAACTGCAACTACATATATAAAAACACTTATTTAAGATGACGAAATCGATGTGCCACGCCCCTTATCCTCTTGAGAACACGGCGTCATTTGTCAACGGTCAAATCAGTTCGGGTTTTTTTCATTTTTGCTCCGCCTTTAATATTGTTATTATTATTCTCTTGCTGATAACCCCAGACATTCACGACTTCTCTGTAGGTGACACTTGCCTCTTGCCTCGGTGGTTGTGTGTTTATCAAATCGAGTATTTTACAAACAACTTTTAAACAAATAGCATCTATGTGGATATACACAGGCAAACCCACATGTGTATGCGCGGCGTATATCGTACGTTTTTCGTTTTTCGCATTTCAGAAACAAAATAAACGCAGATCCCTCTCTCTTTTGCACTTCTGTGACTCATGCACTTGTTGCAGAATTTTTAAAAAGATAACAATTGTTGTTTTCGCTCGAACATGCGGTTTTGGTTTGTTTTCATTGCGGCAGCTGTCTCGAAACTTTCCAATAGCTATGAAGAGCATTTCGTTTGAAATTCGATAAACGCGAGTCGTTGACTTCAGTTAAATAATGTTGACACTGCAATGGCAGGGGCATTTAGCAAGGAAATATATTTTAAGCCCTTTTATATCTCTAAAATTCCATGCAATTGTAGGTGAACTTTTTCTGATGTAATTCATCCTTTAGGTAACCTTGTTTGAAGTCGGGCGGCAGCTAATCTTTACTCACGGCTAGCAACCGAAGAAATTTCTATATTCAGTTCTATACGATCTCAAACGAGAAATAATACATTTACATTTGGGAAAACCCCTTTATCTAAGGACATAAAGGAATTCAAATGAAACCCCCACGAAATTATATGATAATCCTAGGATTTTCATGGTACCCGTCCTCAATTTGTAAAATCCCCTGATTTATCTGGTAAATCCTAGGATTCATCTGGGAAATTCTAGTGCAGTACTCATTTGGTAAGATTGCTTTTAGAATAATCATAAGAATACTATTTAGTTAGTTATGACAAAAATATAAAATAAATTATAAATCTTTCAGCTATACTTTAGACTAAGCCTCTTATACCATCGTTTACTAGTTCCCCAAGTAAACTAATGATTCTTTTCGACAGGTACACAGGTACTTTTCGGGCACATTTACTGGGTGGGTTAACTGCTTGGTATCGCATTTCACAGCTGGTTATCGAAATGCGAGTGCAGTGGAGACAAGCGTGCCGCAAACACACTCGCAAATAACCAGCCCGGGCATTTTCGGGACACAACAGGTGCCTGGCAACTGTGAAAAGGACAAACCTGAAGGTCTCGCCCGCTTTTTGCGTTGGCATGACAACCGAACCAAACCGAATCAAAACGAATCGACAACGCCCAGCGAGTCCTGATAACAGGCATACATCCATCCATCCATATATTACATTCCATCCAGAGAGCCCACGCATCGAATGTCCTTCGAGATAATGAAATGATGGGCATTTATAAGCCCCATAACAGAACGACACAGCTCGCTCACGTAATGGATACGCAATGGAAATGGGGGATGCGGGTTTTCGGCGTTTCGGGGTATTTGATATCTGGGCCTCGGCGTTTTTGGGGGTGGCAGTTGCCAAGTGGGCGTATGTTCGAGCCTGGGCTTTATGTAATGCCCCGGGACGCAAAAGGGGGTGGTGGTTAGGTGGAAAGCCTGCCCGGGCAGCCATTTTATATATGTATGTGCGTTCCTGTGTGAGTGTGTGTGTTGACCGTTATCACACAGCAGTGGCAACAACAAAACAGCTGCCAACGTAACTAAGCGAGTCAGCTGAGCAACCCCTCTGCTTTCGCTCTCCAACCCCTCTAATTTTGAGTGTGTGCGTGTGGTGTGTGAGAGAGCCTGTTTATACACAGAAAGAAAAGGTAAATGTAACCTGTTTTAATCGTTCATTAGTTACATATTGTCTACCTGATACCTTACCAGATGCTAAATGCTTTAAAGTATTGTGTTTTTAATAAAGCTAAAAATTGAATTATTTAGGCGTGGAGTACAGTAGTACAGTAAAAACAGTCTATTATCTTTCATTTTTTCCAGTGTAAGACGCACGGCATGTTGGAAATAAATAAAGCCCGTTAATGGTTAACCCACCCCCAATCCCCTGTTCTCGTAATATGGCAACACTACTGAGCTTAACTCTATTGATTTTCCCCCTCGAAAACCCATTCCCTCCCCGCCTGTGCACCTTAAGACACTAAAATTAGAAATTGTTTATTTCAGCCGGTAAAAGTCCACATAAACACACACCCTGGAAATGATTAATTGGAAGCTCACGGGAGTCACGTGGACGGGAAAGTACAAGTATCGATTGTGATTGTGCGTGGGTGGAAAGTGGGGGGAAATGGAGCGCAACTCCAACTCCCAACTCCGATTACCGGATGCGGATACACCTGCCGCCTTGAAAACGATGCCAGAACCAGAAAAACCCAAGCCAAGCCATGCGGACAGGTCAAAAAAAGGGCGCTCAACTCGCCGGTTTCCACTACAAAAACAACTAGATGCTGTGCTGGCCTTCCAAACACACTCAACCATACGCACACAGTACACACACACAGTATGTGTGAATGTTGAATGGATCACCGGCTTTTTGCTTTTGTTTTGCTTGTACTGCCTTCTCGCTCGCACTCGCACTTTCCAGGCAGCACACCGATCACCGAATGCTGTACGCGCCTGGAAAACTGGGCGTGTGTGTAGAGTGCATCTGTGTGCGTGGGCACAGGTAGCTACTTCCAGCATCGATTTTGCCATTAAAAGTGCAATAAATGATAAATACAAACTGCAATTCATGTTATAAAAAACACCATTCGATGCACCACGAAGCAACTTGCTTGAACACACACACACACACACGTGCTCGCACACCTTTGCCCTGCTTTAATTTTTATTTATGCCGCGACGAGTAAATAAAATAAACAAAACACACCGAGAACATCACGCGACGGTCAAATGATAGCGATATTTGCGATATTTACGATTTTAGAACCCAGAGACCCGTCTCACCTATATGGGTGTCCTCGATGTGGGAAATCAGATCGCTCAAGCTCGGAAATGTGATGCCGCAGCCATTGTACTTGCAGACGTTGATCATGAAAACGGCCATAATATATTATATTATCATATATGTATATATATATATCACGGATCCCGAGGCGAACGAATGTGGCGAGTTATGTAAAAAAACAGCAACTAAATCGGGCTGGTCAGTGTGGCCAGGTCAACAGTGCGCCGAGAATGCCATTTTCCAGGGCTGCACTTTCTGTTTAGCGACGGCTCTCAACCTCTTCCAATATACCGTGGTGACTTTTGGGGTTATGTGCTGCTTGTTCGAGCGAATACTGTTTGTTGGTAATGATGCGATAGTTGATCGCTATTCAGCAGGCGGACATGTTTGTATAGTTTTTGTCAAAACTCTGTTTTTACTAAAATTTAGCTTCTTCCACCGTGTATTTCCGTTGCCGTTGCCCGGTGTGGTGTGTTTCGGTCCTCTAGCGTTTCCCCACACACACACACATTCATGCGTAAGTGCTGTTATGCAATTGAGGGCTGCAACATTTTAGGGGGCGTAACTGGGATTAACCGATTTCGAAATGAAACCAATATTCAGAGTACTCACAGCATTATGAGCTTCGATTGAGTAACTTTCGCAGTTGCGTGAAGTTAAAACATAATTTAAACCGACGTGACGTAGACACAAACACCGACGTCGAACGACGCGTTATGCTGCGTTTGTGGTGGTGTGCGTGACTGTGGGGAGTTCGCTAGCGGCCAGGGCTGCAGTAATGTGTTAATTGACCAATCGATTTAATTTATAATTTGCTTGTTTAATTCTGTTTGGAAAAGAACACTTCTTTTAATTCGAATCCGTCGTAAAGTCTTATTTGTTTTAATTTAGTTCAATTATTACTCCAGCAGTTAGCACTCTCACAAGAAATTAAAAATTACAGCTCTTGTGTCGTATCTGTAGCCCATTTTCTAAGTTTTTTGTATCTTATGTTTTTATATATATTATTGTACTTTCTAGACTTTACGATACAATAAAATATTAATGATTCAGATAAATTTGGGCATTAAACGATTTTTTAAGGATTTATTTTTTAAGCGGATAATAATATGAAAATATATAATTATACTTGGCGCATATGTTTGAATATCCCAGTATCACATACCTGTATTATTTCGGTTATATTACAACTCAAATTTAATTATAGAAAATTTATTAAACAATTAATGAAAAGTTTAGTAGTTTACTATTATTTGCTGCTATTTTCATTTGACGAGATACGAATATCATTATAATTTTAGAATTTAACATGTAAAATATAACGAGAACAAAATCAAGCCGAATCATATTTAGAATTGTTAAAACAGAATGAAATTCTTATTGTTTTTGAAGTATGGATACAAATTATGAAATAATGGCTGGAGAGTCCCATACATATTAAGATGTATTGCTACCGATAGTTCCATGATTTAATTTTCTTTTTTGGATCAGCCACCAAATATTTTCATGGGCTGGAACACTGCTAATATTTATTCGTGTCGGTTTTTGGATTGTGGCCATGCTAGAAATAAGATGTTAGTATTTTTAACTTCGGAAAACCTATCCAATGGCCATATTTATTTCCTTCTAAAATCAGCTGATTTTGTTCTAGATTACGTGCAAACTGGGTTGTGCCACTGCTAAACTTATAGGATTTCCTTAAAATGGTTTGTGTCACCAGTATAGTTTCTAGTATATTTTCTAATATTTAAAAGCATAGTTGGTTTTTTTCTCACCACTCTGTTGCTGCCACACGTGCACCCCCCAAAAGTCAGCGAGATTGTCAAATTCGTTTTACTGTTGTGAAGGGTTTGTTCGAAGTGAGTTGATTTTTCCGAAGTCTTCCGACTCGCTCGGAGGAGCACCCCCCTTATCAGCGCCCCTGCCCTGTTGGGTAACAGCCGTGAAAACCCCTCATAATGCCAGAATACGCGGAAAAACCTACTGCCAGTGATAAACGAGTGCATTTTCGCAAAATGCAATGCCAAACGTGTTTAAATTGTAATTTGTCGCCATCTTGCGGCACACACACACGCATGTGCCTACCAGGTTTTCAGTGGTGTGCGTGTGTCGCTGGTCGTTGCGTCACTGAAAAAGTCGGGAAAAACTGCAGATTTTTAAAGGAAAAGGCATTTAAGAAATTTCAATCATAACCAAGAGAGGACCGATCTGATATTTTAGTGAAAATCTGGTGCGAGGGAAGATTTTTCGCTCGTTACGTAACTGTGCTTAGGCGGCGGCGTGGGATATTTTATGATATAGTCTTGAGATCAGCCTGAACTAACCGATATATCTCGTCTATATCTTTTGCAGAGCCGTGCGCTAGCTTCAATTTCGTCGTAAATCAAACAAAAAAAAGGAAAATCAACCGAAAATGTTCGTGTCGACAGTCTCTCGCATTGCCCCCGTTGCCAGGAGCGCAGTAAGTATCTAAATTTTCTTGTCAAATTGTGCGAGATATAGTTGTTAGGCCGCAAAAGATTACATAATTATCGGAAAAGTGCATTGATTTTCCCCGATCCAAGAATTTGAATGCCGCCTTGGCGTGGTGAACTTCCAATGGCCGCGGTGAGAAAACACAGACGGCACACAGTTGCATAACTTTGAGGTTATGTGTGCGCTCAGTGGAAGTGTATCATTAAAGGTGAATAAATGAAATGATAGTAATATCTGTGCAATTAAATCCGAACAGTTTACATGTGGTATCAAAGAAATAAGAAAAACTAGACCTCATTGTATAACACATAGTGAAAGCATTTGGTTGGTGCGGCTATTTGAGGTTAGAACCGGCGAAAGCTTTCCAGTGCTCTTGTTAACAAAGAGAGCGCGGGCGCGGGATGTCAAATTGGCAATATTTAACATTGTTTATAATATTATATATGATAATTCCTTACTAAATCGGACGATTGACTACATATGTAGGGGAACCAACAAAAGAACAACAAATACTGTGCCAAAGTGCCAGTCTCGTTGAAATATTACTTAACGATTGCATAACTTGGCATTAGCCCATTACAACAGAGCAATGAACTTGTGCGGCACTCGAGGGTTAAGAAGTAGTATATTTGCAAAGATCTTTCTATATGTGATTTTTAAGTGACTTAGCAATGATGCGAAGGTTCCTCAAGTAGTAATTACTTTTATAACTTTTATAACTTAATCTTGTCAAATCAAACCTTTGTAAACATGTGTGTTTACCTTTTTGGGTATCAATTTAAACTTATTGAAATGCACAAGAGTTTGCTGATGATGAAATAATAAGAAAATTGGTATGCTTTATTTATCATATGTATCACTGCATTAAATGTACTATTAGCGTAATCGCTTTGTGCAGCTTTTAAAATACTTATTTATCAACATAGTATAACGCTTATCTCTGACCGGAAACTTTATCTCAAGCAATGATCACAACGGGCCATACTGTTCCTTATATAATCAACTAATATATCTCCCATTTCAGCTCCTCGCCAACTCCAAGCAGTACCTGCGACCATTGAGCAGCGCCGTCATCAGCCAGAGCCAGACTTTGGCCGCTCAGAACACAACCCCCGTTGCATTGCTGCCACAGATCAGGTCATTCCAGACCTCGCCAGTCACGCGTGACATTGACTCGGCCGCCAAATTCATTGGTGCTGGTGCCGCAACAGTCGGTGTCGCTGGATCCGGTTCGTATTGGCTTCGTTGGGTCTCTTAACTATTAGTTTCACAAACCATCACAAACAAAAAGGGGAATCCCCAGGCACCTTTTCCACTTTCTCCTTCAGTCAGTTGCAAACTAGCATCTGGGGCTCACACAACGGGTATCTGATTACTCTACAAACCATAGCCCCGGGAAGGTCTGAGAATTGGCCAAGCTTGCTGTTTGTTGCGGCTTCATTTTCTAGCAGGAAACCTGTGTGATTGCAGGGCGAAAGTACCAGAAATCCTGTCATCAGGTGTTGCCGTCGCCTTCGGGTGACCGCCGCCTGGTCGACATTGAAACCTTTCGTGGCCAGCGTTTTTAGTGCGATGTGCTTGCTACCTTTCGGTAGAACTCAATTCAGACTAATCTGTGACTGACTACCAGAAGAAAATATAGAAAAAGGTGTCGGGAATTGAAATTTGAGTTTATGCTCGGAGTATTGACTTATGTAGCTTCTCAGCTAGCTGTCATGTTATAGAACCAGCATAAACTCAACCTAAACTTGGGTTCTCATTCGAAGGTCATAACTCATTCCCATTTCAAACTGACTAAACTAATGCTTTGATTTCTTTTCTCTCTTTTTCCTTCTATTGACCAACAACGAACCAATACAACAGGTGCTGGTATCGGAACAGTATTCGGTTCCCTCATCATCGGCTACGCCAGGAACCCATCGCTGAAACAGCAGCTGTTCTCCTACGCCATTCTGGGCTTCGCCCTGTCTGAGGCCATGGGTCTGTTCTGTTTGATGATGGCCTTCCTGCTGCTGTTCGCTTTCTAAGCGCTCCTGCACATCGATTGCTCGTCCTTGTTTCCTGCAATCGGACGTGTGTGCAAGTCGCATGCGAACGAGAATAGCAACCAAACAACACTTCAAACAAACAACAACCAGAACAAGCAACACCTATGTTCGTTTTCGATTATTAATGATAAAATGATTGATTGATAGCAACAAGAACATCCTGTACCACTATCTAATTATAAATACCAACAACCAACATAATACATGTAATTTTGTTTTTAAAAAACATGCAAAGGAGGAGAAGACCACATCTACTTTAAGTTGACAACCGAAATATCAGGAGGAAGGATTGGATTGGATTGGATTAGCCCAGACCATAAAAATTAAAATTAGATTTTAATTGAAGCAAGCTTCCGGCTCACTGAAAACCCAACTAAATCCTCAGATCAAGTCCAGCCATCCTTCTGCTCTCCAAATCTTCTGCAAATGACCTCCATGTCCGCCTCCAAGGCTCTCTCTCTCCCCGGAAGTTCTTGGACGTCGAAACGCAAAAATATCCAGCGGCAGGCATGCATGGAGATCCTTTCTACATATAAGATCGTGGAGAGTGTCGGAATGGCTGGTCGGAAATCCGATGGACTTTTGGGCTCAACGACTTTTTCGATTTTATTGTGGCGTGTACTGAAAATCCACATTGTTTTCAAGTATTTTGTATTCGAAAAAAATCAGTTTCCTTAATGTAAACGCTGTTTTTGTTTATTGCCACTTAATATTTATTATGGAACATGTACTAAAAGTAGTTGCATACGTATAGAGCCGAAGAGCGTATCTGAAAAAGAAATAAAGGAAAAATGAATGTGTAAAGGAAGGACCCTTTTTGTTTTTTCTTGATTAATATACTTTTTTTGGTTTAAAGTTAATCTTTTTTGGAGTTGAACCTGCTTTGAAAATTCAAATGTTGTGCCCAAAATGCAACCCTGTTTACTTAATACAGAAATCACCCTGTGACTATCACGGGTTATCGGAAGAAATCATCCTATTTGAATTTCAGGTTATGACATAATTTCTTTGCGATAACGAGACACCTATCGGCTGGAGGCTGTCATCTCTATTGCGTCCCTATGCAAATCGGTAATCGATATCAAGAGATGCCCCACACGTGTGTCCCTGTTTGTTTATATTTTGGTGCTTCTCAATTTGGATTTTTACCAATATAAATGGACTTTGCCAAGAAAATACTCGGAAAATACGGCTGGAAAGAAGGCGATGGCCTGGGGAAACACAACACCGGAATCGCAGCTCCTTTAAAAGCCAGTTTGAAATTCGATAATGCGGGATTGGGAGTGGATCGCGCCCAGGAATTCAACGATCATTGGTGGGAACGCTGCTTTAACGAGGCTGCCAGCAATGTTGACGTCCAGATTCAGCAGGATGGTCAAGTGTCAACCTCCCGGAAGAAAGGTACGGATGCGGTAGAGATTTCTACGAGCGGATTTTCGGCGCGGAAACTTAAAAAAGCCAAGGAACAACATGCCAGTGATGGAAAAGCCACCTACGACAACTTCCTGCAGACTTCGCTGCTAACCCAAGACGGTGGCGAAGTGGAGACCTCTGAACGCATTAAAGTGGAGGACATTGAAGTTGCCAAGGTGACTGTACTCACAGATGAGGAGCTCTTCAAAGCCTGCGGAGGAAGGACTGCTCACAAAGGAGCCCGTCATGGGCTTAAGCTAAGCGGGAAAATCGCCCGCTTGGAACAGCAGGAGCGCGAGATGTTGGAAAAACTTCAGGGCAAACTGAAGACTGATTCTCAGTCAGTTTCTGTCCAGAAAAGCAACCAGAAATGGGAGCCAGCTGAAGATGACAGTACGGAGCAGCCTGAAAAAAGGAAAAAAAAGAAAAAGCCTAAAACAGAGGAGTCATTTGAGGATGCAGCGGTTGACCAACGGGAAGAGTCGTTAAAAACCAAGAAGAAAAAGAGGGACAAATCTGAAAAGACGGGAGAGAATTCCCAAGATGTTACAGAAACCCAAGAGGAACCTGTAAAGTCAAAAAAGAAGAAGGATAAAAGAGCCGAAAAGCTACAAGATGTGTTTGAGGCAACAGAAGCAACGCAAGATAATAAATCCGCGGAACCACTTAAACCCAAAAAGAAACGAAAAACAGAGGAATTAAACGGGGAATTTGAAGAGCCCACAAAAACAAAAAAGAAGAAAAAGAGCAAGGAAGAGTAGCAATAGGAGTAGAAAAGGTATAGTGTAGTACATAATTAACAATGAGCGTTAACACAATGTATTTTATAAAAACCCCATCCTTAGGTTTTTGTAATGTAGATGACCACTTTTACAATGTATAATTCAGTTTGATCCTTGTAAATAACTAAAATACGAATAAACTTTCAAATATAATCCATGCATTGTAAATATAATCCATCCAGTGTAAGTTTTACAATGAAACCAGAGGGGTGCACATAAAATTGTATGTATTTATGGTTCTAAAAAATCTATACAGGATTAGGGGCGCTTTAAAACTAAAGTTTGGTCACTTAAGATAGTCGGAAATTTTTACTTTTTGCCCTTGGCCTTAATACGCCGTGATTTTCCCAACCTTTTATTGACTGAGGCGCCCGCTTTCACGCCCCGCTGGCGCCTTGAGGACTTATCGCCATCCAATCCGGCGGAAGATGACTTTGTGTTCCTTTTAAGGCCCTTCTTTTTGCCGCCAAAGCCGAACTTCTTGTTGCGCTTTTTGCGATTCTCGGCAGACTGCTTCTGCTTCGACTCAAGAGCTTTGGCATCCTCAAGGAAGTCCAGGTTCTTCAGCTTGCCCTTCCGGAACTTCTTCAGTTTGTCCAACATGTCCTTCTTCTCGGCCTCGCGTTGGACTTTAGTTTGCTTGGCCAGCATCTTACCCATTTTGCGCTGCTCACGGATCTGCTTGATGCGCTCAGACTTGGCCTGTCCCTGTTGTTTGGCCATTAGATTGGCGCGCACCTTTTGCATGTGTTCGTCGGATTTGGCCATCTCAGCGAAGTAGTCATCAGGACGGCGTGTCTTGATGCCCAGCTCGTGAAGGCGCGGAATAGCTTCAAGGACGGCACTTTGCGCCTGTCGATGGAAGAGCATTTCTCTCTTGAAATCGTTCAGCACGGGATCCTCCTCGGGACGGATATAGGGCAACTTGGCATTGCCTTTGAAGAGATTAGCACGTTTCTGTTCATGCTTCTCCAGCTGGACAGCGAGTTCCGGGGCTAATGGAGCTAGTGTGTTGATCATGTCCAGACGTTCCAGCCACGGAAGTTGCAGCTTGATAGCCTCTGTTTTAGCGAGCAGCTTGGTCTGGTAAGAATGCTCATTAATCGATCGAAACAACAGGTATCTGGTGTTGGTTACTCACCACATCGTTTACTTTATCTCTTTGCCCATTAAACTCCACATTAAGACCTGGTTTTAAGTCGCCTCTTTCAAAAGCCGCTTGCAGCTGGACAATTAAGTATACGTTTGGTTGTAAAATATGTTAAATTAGCTGGTTTTCGACTTACCTCGGCATCTGAATTATCGCCCGAGTCGTAGCCCGAGCCACTGTCCTCCATTTCAAAGTCAGACATGCTTAAATTAGCTAAATTAAATCCAAATAAAAGAAAACAATTTCAACACGTGCGGGGCTCAGTGCTACCAGGTTACCAAACGGTGTAATATGCCAAGTCCATGGTATTTTAAAACTGTGTTGCATGGTATGTTTAATATGTGTCTGGTATTTTTTAGGAAACACTTTCGCTTGCTTCGCTTTTCAAACAAGGCCGCTTTTTTTTCGCGTTTTGTATGCGAATAATATTTAAAAATGTCTGCATCTGCTAATTTAGCGAATGTTTATGCGGAGCTATTGCGCCGATGTGGCGAGTCCTACACAATCACATATGGAGCTCCGCCGACTTATTTGGTGAGCACCGTTGGATCCGCAGAGGCTGGTAAAAAGGTAGTGCTGGTCTTTAAGGAGGATCGTAGTGGAGCACTGACCAGGATACGAACCACGCCCATTAAAAAATCTACGAAAACGGAGGGTGCTACGGATTTGGATCTCACGGGAAGTCCTTTGAAGGACGACTGTTTGGTAGACGCCATAGCCGACTTGTCCATTGACCTTCAGCTGGAGCACTCCAATCCCTGGAAATTGGAGGAGGAGTACCAAAAAGGAATCCCTGTGGATAAGGCGAGGTCCATTCTATGCTCCGAATTCCTACAGCAGGCTGAAGGTCTCGGTTCCGTGTGGTTCTTATGCGATGGCAGCGATCAAGGACAAACTCAGCTGCTCCAGTATGAGTTTAACCCTACTCACTTCTCCAGGGGAATTCTTAACTACGAAGGAGTACTTCCGGCTTACATGGTTACCTCGCAATCTTTGGTGCGTCAACATGGTAAAGCTCCCGAGGAAACTGTGATCGAAAACTGTTACCAGGTGAATTCGCACATGAAGCTGCGTTGTTCATGGACCTCCAGTGCTGCTCTTCCCCTCCTGGTGAACCTGAATGACTGCGAGGTGGCTTTAAATCACACTTTCCGGGTGGGAGAGTGCAGTCCCTTGACCCAGGACTTTATGAACCAGCTGCGCATCCTGGTCTACATACGCGAGGACATCGTCTCCTACCATAAGGATGTCAGACAAGGCGTCTCCAGGGATCCCATCTATCGATGTGGCAGTGGCGTCGACATGGACGAGCTGCGAGAGTCTATTAACCAGACCATGACGGATGTCTCTGGCTTTATAGGGCGCTATAGCATTTCCAATGCTGAGTTAGACATCGAGGATGTGGTGCAGAGGGCCAAGGTGCGCCGGCTCACAGATCTTACTGACAAATTGTGGGAGCTGCTGAAGTGTTGCCACTCCTACAAGGACCTTAAGATGGCCTTCAACATGTTGTTTCAATGCGCAGCTCGTTGCAACATAGTAGTATGTATATCTGGCTTATAAAAGGAAAATATTGTTATTTAATATCATGAAACCCTTAGAACACTCCGACCAACAAAAATCGACTGGCCAAGATTATCACCGAGCTGGCTAATCGTCGACTGGCCATGCCGTGCTTGAGCGGCGCCGAGCCCTTGGAACTCCTGCTGGAGATTGGCATGGAGAAGCTGTACAAGGACTACGAGTTCATCTACACGGAGAGCAAGATGTGCAGCACCAATCTGCTTAGGGAGGACTCGTGTGAAGCAGCAAATGACGATAGCTCCCCGCAGAATCTGCCCCAGCTGCGAAAATCCCTGCATAATGCGGTCAGGGGGGATCCGACGCCAGGAGCAGGAATGCGAAAGACTCTGCTGCACCATCATGGCGCCGTCAAGGTGGGGAATGCGAAATATTCCGGTGACGATGATGATGCGGGGTTTAAAAACAGTCATTTCGACGAGCATGAGAGCACGGAACGGGTTTCCAAGTTATTTCAGATCCACTGTACTTTGGAGCACCTGCTGATGATGCACATCCACTTGAACCTATCCAATGGTAAGAAAGAAAATAAAGCAAGTTTCTTAAGTCTAATTTCTTATTATGGACGTCTGGCAGTTTACAACGATGTCTGTTCTGAACTGCTGAAGAAGCGCCCTAAATTAATAGAATCAATTGATGATCAGTTGAGCGATGTGATGGACATCCGCCTCTCCGCCCACTATGTCAGAGACCATTTGGATGGCAAAGATCCCTACTCTCGACACATAACCATGCGTTCTTTCAACAAGTTCCGTGAACTGAAGACTGCTTTCTATTTCAATTCGGAGAACATTTATCCTCCGAACGTGGCTCAGTGTTTCCAGTGCGACGGTAAGTTTGCATTGCAATTTCATTAACCGGTATAGTTGTAGCCACATATTTGCCTTTGCAGACAAGGAAATGGTCAAGGAGCGTACTTATCATTCTTGGCTATATCGGAAGATTCGATCACTGAAGTGAAGTAGGCCTGTTAGTAATATAAAATTGTAAATTTTTCTTTTTCATAATCTTTTAAGAACATTTTAGAGTAGCATGAATTTTTAACAGGGGCCTGCATTAGTATTTTTAAGGCTTGTAAATTTGAGCAAGGATTACTCTTAAATTGCTTATCCTTGTCTGCTGATAAAATTGTTATAAACTATAAATAAACCTACACAATGTAATATGTTCCCAACTGTATTCATGCAAACCTCTTTTGTTCCCAAATTCAATTGGTTGAGCTTGTTGTACACGCTTCTCAACGCGTTTTCACGAACCCCCAAAAAAGGCAGTAGTGCACACCGAAATCATGTTAAACGAATTCGTACAAGTTTTAAGCCGACCCAGAGGCTGTTGCCGTTGCATTGGAAATCTTGAAAACCTGGCCGAAATCCGCTTCCGCCCTGCTCGCACTTTTATCGCCGTGTTTTTGCTGGCCATATTCTAAACAAAGGCCAGAATGCACAAGCATTTGGCCATTTCTCCGGTGAAGTAATGCTGCAAATGAGGCGAGAAGAGCGTGTGCCCAATGGTAAAGGCGCCATCGAGCATTCCCGATATGTTACAATCCAATTAGCCGGTTGCGCCAGTTGGCCAACTTGAATACTTGGCCCGTTGCCGATTGATTTGCATTTTGTCAGACGTGCGTGGAACGCGCAGCGGTTCGGACGTGTTTTTTCCAGCCCTGTTCCCCTGAAAAACGAACGGAAATTCAAACAAGGATTGTAACGCGAGTGTCCTGGGCAGGGAATATAACCACTGCGAGCTGGAAATCAAGTTTTTCGGAAAGTTGACTAAGTGAACAGTGGAAGATTGCAGTGTAAATTCGATTAAGTTCATTGTAATAGCCAATTATCGCGAGTGCCTAATCCAATTACCAGCAAAATGGTGTGTATTGGCCAACAAAATGGTCTGATGTCCTGCCAAACAAATTTAAACAGCTAATAGGACATTCGATAATCTGTGCTAGTAGCCCTTCAAGTGCTCAACTCTTGCGGCTGGCAAGAAACCCTAGCCGGCTGACGGATTCAAATCCTGTGAAACTAGAGATACCCCTTTTGGTCTAGTCACCCCTGAACTTATCCTCGCAAACTTTCCTAGACATTGCAGTTAATCTCTTTGGCAAAAATCGTCGGCGATTTTTCAACTCACTTCGAGAAAGTATAAACTCCTGACAGGCTTAAGAAGCCAAGTTAAAGCTGCAAAGTTTTATGTCCCGAGATGGACTCCGTTGGCATTTCTATAATATTTATGAGGACAATTATTAACCTAGAGTTTCCCTTGTTTTTAAGCAATAAACTTGGATAAAACTGTAAATTATATTTTTTTTACAGAATTAATTGTTCTTTAAAGTTCCATTTGAAAGCATCCTTTATCTTGAAATCCTTCTTATCTGTAGGGACTCGAGTTCTTCTTTAAGTTCGGCTATGCCTTTCTGACAATAACCCTCATGATCATGATCTGGATGTCGCTGGCCCGTGCCTCGATGTTCGCCCGTGAAATGGAGGAGACGCACTACCCGCCATGCACCTACAACGTTATGTGCACTTGTTCGAAATCCTCCACGGATCTGGGGATAGTGCACTGCAAGAACGTTCCGTTTCCGGCTCTGCCGCGCATGGTAAACCAGTCCAAGGTGAGTCAATTTTAAAAGGATTAGCATTTTTGTGCTTAAAATTTGTGGAAAGATATTATCATAGTTTTAATGAAGTGCTTTGTGAATTAATTAGATTATACGCAGGGTGAATTAAAAAATCTTAGGCCATTTAAAAATTGTAGAGAAGAGAATATAAGAAGTTTTTAAAAGCACATCAACATTACCTCTTACGGTTCAGGTGTTCATGCTGCACATGGAGAACACGGGTCTTCGCGAGATTGAGCCCTACTTTCTGCAGTCCACGGGCATGTACCGTCTAAAGATATCCGGAAACCATCTCACCGAAATCCCAGATGATGCCTTTACCGGCCTGGAGCGATCGCTGTGGGAGTTGATCCTGCCGCAGAATGACCTGGTGGAGATCCCTTCCAAGTCCCTCAGGCACCTGCAGAAGCTACGTCATCTGGATCTTGGCTACAACCACATAACGCACATCCAGCACGACTCGTTCCGCGGACTGGAGGACTCGCTGCAGACGCTAATCCTGCGCGAGAACTGCATCTCGCAGCTGCAGTCGCACAGTTTCACCGGACTTTTGATTCTGGAGACCCTCGACCTGAGTGGGAATAACCTGTTTGAGATAGATTCAAATGTTTTCGTTGATGGAATGCCTCGGCTAACCCGCCTTTTGCTTACGGATAACATACTCTCGGAGATTCCATATGACGCCTTGGGCCCACTAAAGAGCCTTCGCACCTTGGACATCTCCCATAACGTGATCTGGTCGCTCAGTGGCAACGAAACCTACGAAATCAAGGCCAGCACCAAGCTCAATCTGGACAATCTGCACTTGGAGTACAATCATATTGAGCTGCTGCCCCCTAACTCGTTCAAGTATTTCGACACCGTCAATCGCACTTTCTTCGACGGCAATCCTATTCACACACTGAGGGTATGTTTTCTGTTACTTAAAAAAAATATATAAACCCAAAAAACTCATAACTACTTTATGTATACTCGTATATGTATTCTTTACATAACAGGAAGATGCATTTAAGCCCGCTCGAATCAGAGAGATCTACATGCGGTATTGCGGACTGACAAACATTTCGCCTGTGGCCTTTGACAGCCTAGTGAACAGCCTCCAGATCCTGGACTTGTCTGGAAACAATCTCACGAAGCTGCATCACAAACTCTTCAACAATTTCGATGTCTTGAGGTGAGTCGAGCACCTGCACTCCGTTTCACTCAGTGTCTACCCTTATTCCACTTGCATTGTGTATTGGGGGAACTAATCGGATTGTCGGCAGCCTCTAGGGCTTCTCCGGTTCCTAAGTTCGTATGTGGGCTAAGTGGGTGACCCTATTTAAAAGAATTCGAGGAAGAGGGAAAAGCCGCGCAACCAGGCAATCATGCAAAAACAGTCGGCACTGGGGAAAAGCTTAAAACCAGAATGAGATGTGTAGTTATAGAATGCAGAAATCGATTCCTCTTGGTTAATATTTTATATTGTATACTTATATGTATTAATATTACCTTTTATAAAAATAACAGGGTCATCAGCATGCGGGACAACAAGATCAAGATCCAGAAGCCAACGGAGACCTTCAATGCGGTGCACTACACTCTGCTGAAACTGGATCTGAGCGGAGACCGAAATGACCCCACCAATCTGCAGACTCTTCGCAAGTAAGTGACCCCAGTGCACTGAGACACTTCCTGCTCCCCACACACCCTTCACCCCAGAACCACTCTTGTATTTATTTACAAAAAGTATGACCAGAATGCGGAATATGCGATCGCTGTCGATATCTCGTCTGGGCTCCTCCTCCGTGGGACCTGAGGACTTCAAGGACTTTGGCGTGGAGCTGGAGGATCTGCAGATCACCAGGGCTAGTCTTTCCGGGATTCAATCACATGCCTTTAAGCATGTCAGAGGACTAAAGAGGCTGGACTTTAGCGAGAACGGAATATCCAGCATTGAAAATGATGCCTTCCACGAGGTATTTCAGGGATCTGTTAATATTTTTATAGGACTTTTATAATACTATCTATATTCTTTGTAGATTGGTCACTCTTTGATATCTTTGAAGATGTCCCATGGTTACTCGGGAAGTGCTTTACCAGCCGAACCCCTCAGGCACTTGACTTCCCTTCAGGAGCTGGACTTCAGCAATAACCACATCAGCAGCATGAGTGACACCAGTTTCCACTTCCTGAAGAATTTGCGTCTGCTGGAACTTCACGACAACAGGATCGAACAGGTCTTGAAGGGCACCTTCCAGGGCGATATCCACTCAAAGCTGGAAGAGATCTCGCTGCGCTTCAACCACCTGACCTCCGTTTCCCAGCACACGTTCTTTGATCTGGAGGCTTTGAGAAAACTGCAACTGGATGACAACAAGATTGACAAGATCGAGCGAAGAGCCTTCATGAACCTAGATGAACTGGAGTATCTCAGTTTGAGGGGCAACAAGATGAACAACCTGGCAGACGAGTCCTTCCAGAACCTACCCAAATTGGAGATCCTGGACATGGCCTTTAATCAGCTGCCCAACTTTAACTTTGACTACTTCGACCAAGTGGGCACGCTGTCTAATTTGAATGTGAATGTGAGCCACAACCAAATCAGGCAGTTGATGTATAACTCCTCATGGAGTGGGCGAAATGAACATGGTATGGCCTTCTCAACTATTTCATGTCAGGAGGTTAAAGGTTTTTAAGATTTTTCTTTTTCAGGCGCCATGTACCATTCAAACATCAAGATATTGGATCTTTCTCACAACAATATATCCATTATCCACCCTGGATACTTCCGACCTGCTGAGATTTCACTGACACACTTGCATCTGGGCTACAATTCCCTGATGGTCTGTGGATATTAACAGGCTGTCTTAAAATCAAATTATAGACTTCTTTGTTTTCCCTTTTTAGAACACAACTCGTGATGTCTTTGGCAACATGCCCCACTTGCAATGGCTGGACCTCAGCTACAATTGGATCCACGAACTGGACTTTGATGCCTTCAAGAACACCAGACAGCTGCAGCTGGTTTACTTCGGTCACAACTATCTGAGTGATATCCCGCAGGATATATTTAAACCCGTCCAGGGTCTGCGCATCGTTGACTTCTCGCACAATCACCTGAGGGGCCTGCCCGACAATCTTTTCTATAATGGCGGAATGGAAAAGTAAGTTGCAAGTTCGAAGTATTTTAACCAGTAATTATACACTCCTTAATCTTAAAGATTGGATGTTTCGCACAACATGATGTTGAAGATTCCCTCCTCATCGCTATCCAGTTTGGCTGCGTTGACCCTCTGTGAACTGCACTTGTCCAACAACTTTATCTCCACTATTCACAGCATGGATTTGTCCAACAAGTTCAGAGTAAGTAATTAGAAAGAGATATTTTGTTATAGTAAAATAATAAATAAAATCACTATCATAGTCCCTCCGCTATTTGGACATCTCTTACAACTATTTGCTGCGAATTGACGACGCCGTTTTCGCTACCATGCCCAAACTGGCAGTTCTGGATCTCTCCCACAATCGGGATTTGAAGGTGATGGACAAGTCGTTTATGGGTCTGGAAAACTCGCTGATTAAACTTGGTCTGGAGAACGTCTCACTGAGCACTGTTCCTGAAATCCGCCTGAAGTATTTGCGAGAGTTCCGTTTGGGCTACAACGAGCTTCCCTCGATCCCTCAGGAATTGGCCCACAATATGAGTAATCTGCGTATGCTCGACCTTTCAAACAATGACTTGACTAATGTTCCGCTGATGACCCAATCTCTGCCACATCTAAGGTTTGCAAAATCTACAGCGGGGAACTTTAACTAATTGGTATTTCTTTTTCATAACAGACGACTGATGCTCTCTGGCAATCCTATAACTTCGCTGAACAACAACAGTTTCGATGGCGTGAACGAGGATCTTGAGATGCTGGATATATCCAATTTCCGTTTGCACTATTTCGAGTATGGCTGCCTTGACTCGCTGCCCCATCTGAGATCTCTTAAGCTCACTGCCTATTCCCACCTGGAACACTTCAACATTCCGCATCTGCTTCGCCATCACTATAATATCCGTCAGTTATGGATCGAAGCTCCGCAGCCCTTCACGCGTATTGTAAAGAAGGGATCCGGACCCACTCAGGAAATGCAGACCCTTCAGTTGGGCAATCCCACCGACCTTCAGCGCGAAATGGAAGGCCACCTGCCTTCCAAATAAAAAAAAAAAATAAATAATATTTAAAAAAAAAAAAAAAATGCTTGTTTGACCTAATTATTGTTAATATCTACGATTTCAAGTGGTCCTTTATAAAGCAATTCAGCTAAGCCTGAATGAACGTATTTTAAGGGTAAGTATTAATTTAATTTGTAAATCATTTCCTTTTTTATTTTTAAATATGTATTTATTTTATTTCAGGGCATGCGATCACCATATCTCTACATGCAATTGTTCAATACCTCCATGCAAGCTTTGCCCCCGAACTTCTTTAAATATCTGGGACGAGTTCGGAACATATCGCTGGACATTCGTTATCACAATAGGAACCTGAAGAAGATTCCCAACCCGAACACGGGAGCTGTGCCATACCTGCCCAACAGTGTGTTCCTCACCGACTTAAAGATGTCTCACACGGATCTCAATTGCGACTGCGACCTGGGGTATGGTTTTGACTTATCTATGTTATCCTTTCTTGCTGATTTGATTCCATTTTGTAGATGGGTGGAGTTCTGGCAACGCAAGAGGCGCCAGTACATTTGCTCTTCCCAAACCTGGACCGATACCGTCTTCCGCACTTTCATGAACTCACCCTGCCAGGTGTACGGAAGGCATAACTGCGATGATCACGATGATGACCTAAGGGAGACACGTTGTGAAAACAAGGGAGGCCAACAGCTAATGGAGGTGGGTAAACAAGCTTTTCCAAGGGTGTAAATATCTAACCGACATGTCTCCTTGAAAGGCCCTCAAATTCGACCTGGAGTGCGGTTGGGATAATGCAAATTGCCGGGAGGCCGCCTTCGTAGTAGTGATGGTGTGTGTGGCCATGGTCTTCTGGATGTGACTTCTGCACTTTGCATATAAGACGTCCACCGACTTTTATAGCATTCTAGAGCAAGTCTACGGCAGGCAGGTCATATAAGCCCTGTCGTCTAGAGTTTAAGCGTGATGATGAGACTTTGGCCACTTTGATACCTTTTGCAGTTAGTTGTTTCTCTTCCGACAACCTTCTCTCACCGATCCGCTGGTCCTTGGTAACGCCTTATATGTAGTATTCCTCACCTCATTCCTCACTCACTCCATTCTTCACCTCGCCTCACTGTCTATCTCCATGTATGTATATTTTTGTAGGCCTTACTTTTAACAGTATCTTATCCAATTATCTAATAACCCCGCCTGACCTTCTCTGTACTTCTCTTATAAGTTAGGTCACTGCGCTGCTTAAACAATTCCAAAATGAAAGTCTGTAAAATGTTTCATAAACATATAATAAATATTTACGGTAGGTTAAGTTCGCTTTACCGTCTCCAACTTTATTTGGGCCTTGCTTTGGGACATTATGATTTTTATGACTCTGAGAGAAAAAGTACTTGCTACAACAAGTTATGTTCACAATTGCCGGACCAGGCTGGTCCAGAAACGAACAATTAAAAACTTTTCGCTTAAAGTTTCTCCCTCTCCGGTCCGGCTTTTCCATACGATAAATTGATGTGTAAAGCGGGAAGCGTTCTCCCCATTTTTTCATTTTCTTTCCTTTTTTATGGCTCTTTTAAGGGCATTTGTGAAGAATTTTGTGGAGAATTTTTGCAACTCACAAAAAGGGAGGCATTTAGGATTACTCAATAAATTGCTGCCTTCAGCAGACGTTTAAGTGTAACTATTAAAATATATTTTAATTTATATATATGTTAAAAATATATTAACTGATGTTTAAAGTTTTTTTTCCTCGACAAGAGTATTTAAGCAGCCGCCCCTTCAAAAGTCTTGTTTTCTTGCTTTTTACACACATATTTTTGGCAGTTTTATTGAGCTAGAGTACTTTGTGATATATGGACAGGCTGAGCATGGCTGAGGGCGGCGCACTAAAGTTCAAATGGGGCAGCAACAATCTCATCAACTTCCCGTTTATGCACTTTTCCGATTCCGGTGGCGGGGGTGGGTGCCTCGCTGCGACCGCAGTAGTGGAGCTGGAAAGGGCGGCAAACAAGAGGAAAATCGGTTGGTGGTGGAAAGTGTCTGGAGCTCTTTCTGTGGCCGCCACTGGCTGGCAGACTTTTTACCTGTTGGCCAATTAAATTTTCAAAACGTGGGCGCACAAAAGTCCAGGCGCCCATATTGCGATGCTCTTCCTGGCTCCAAACGAAAGCTGCACAGAGAGAAAAAATGTATGTGAATAAATCGTTAGATTGAAGCCTCAGTACGTTATTCAGGAGCAAAAACCAAAAATGAATCCGTCTTAATATAAGGACTAAAATAAAGAGCAATGCAAATGTAATCACTGCTGTATTTTTCCCAGTGTAAAAGGAAACGATGGTGTATACTGTACCGGCCAGCTGTGCGGCTAAAGTTTACGATGTGGACTTACACTGCACATTGCCGTATTGGGCCAACTGGGCCTGGAGCTCTTGGATGGGGAAAGGACATAGGGACTCCAGGCGCAGGATGGCCGTGTCGTAGGCCTGCCGTTTCTCGCGTTCCTCGGCGAGATTGTAGTAGTGCTTTCCACTGCACAGGATGACCTTGCGAACTTGCTCCGGCTTCGCGGTAGAATCACCTATTGGAGGAGGAAGTGAGCAGAATTTAATGAAGAAAACATAAATAAAGTACGTTGAAAAGAACAATTTTGTTGTGTTAACCGACTCTAGGATACTTAGTACTCATTCTTTGGGTTAAAAAGAAGGAATGAATTCTGATTATTTTTGTGCCTTAGGCAGAGTTTCAAATTCTATTTAACTAAGTTTATTTTCCTTTTTTCTGACCATTAATAAAGATTTTAAACATTAAGTAGTAGGTAGTAGTTTTAACATCAGATGCGGTTTCCTCTATAAAAATAAATGGAAAGCATCACAAAATGAACTGTAAAGTTTTCGTTGAAAGCTGAAATTTGCTTAAATTTCCTTTTAAATTATTATTAAAGTTTTAAACAGCAATTACATGTTTTGTAAAATTCATATTGCTGAGTTTACTTTTACGTACATGAGAAACCTATTCTCACTGACGAAATGTGTTTTGAATTGGTTTCTAATATATATTCTCCCTATAAGTAGATAATTTCTGATCCCCCATAGCATCCTTGTGTTCCTTGAGTGCTGCAAAGGAAAACAGAGTTCATTACTCACCCAAAACATTGTGGAATAGCGTGCCCGTCTGGAAGTCCTCGTGCGAGGATGTGGCCGCAGGAAGACGGAGAAGCGTTTTGGGGGCCACCACCACCAGCGGTTTGCGGAAGTTCCTTGCCAGTTGGCGACGCAGGACGTGATAGTATTGGGCAGGAGTGGTGGGGTTGACGATGTGAACATTGACGGAATCGCCATCGGCGGATGTTTCCTTGGAGTCACAGAGCTGCAGGAAGCGCTCGATGCGACAGGAACTGTGCTCCGATGCAGCGCCATCGTATCCGTGGGGCAGTAGCATCACCAAGGCATTGGACTCCATCCATTTGGCTGGGTAAGAAACTCTTTAATAATAGGGAGAATGAAATATTAGCCACTTACTCTCTCCCGAAACAATGAAGGTGTCAATGATAATCTGAGCTCCGTTGGCGAAATCCCCGAACTGCGCCTCCCAAATGACCAAGTTGTTAGGATTGTCAATGGCCATGCCGTACTCGAATCCCAGAACCGCCTCCTCCGACAAAATACTGTGAGCCAACTCCAGTTTTCCGCCGTTACCGCCCTCCATGCTGTTTAAGGGAATGAACATCTCGTTGGTCTGTTGATCCACCAACATGGCATGGCGATGGGAGAAGGTTCCCCGACCCACATCCTCGCCACTAATCCTTACATTATGCCCTTGGTACATAAGACTACCTATGGCCAAGGCCTCAGCAGTGGACCAATCGATCTTGGCCCCGTTTTCCAGCTTCTTCAGGCGGGCATTGACATGGGTTTTCAGCAGGTGAGGGTGTATGTTCTACGCAAAGGATAATATTGGATGTAAAATATTATGCTTGAAATTTACAAACTTACAAAGTCTTGAGGGAAAGTCACACTCTGCTGGCCTATATAATGCAGAAGGGAATAATCCAAACCAGTATCCCAATAAGTGAGCTCCTTGGAAGGTGCCAGCTGGAGGTCCTTCCACTGCTTTTCAAAGTAAGAAGGCGGAGGTTGGTATGTAGGAGCCAGGGCCAGTTCCTCGCCCAGATACTTCATGTACTCGTCTTTCATTTCCTTGGCCTGTGACTCCGGGAGAACCTGCTCCTTGGCTAGTTGCTGGGCGTATAAGTCTGGCACCGACTGTCGTTGATGGACAATCTTGTAGACCAAAGGATTGGTAAAGGTGGGATCGTCTAATTCGTTGTGACCCCATCTCCTGAAGCAGTTAAGATCAATGAAGATGTCCTTGCGGAACTCCCTTTGATATCTGAAAGCCAGATTTGTAATTCTGGCCAGAGCTTCAGGATCATCGCCATTGACATGGAACACAGGAGCCTGAATGGATTTGGCCAAATCCGAGGTGTAGGCAGTGGATCGTCCTCGATCTCCGGGCGTGGTGAATCCCACTTGATTGTTGACAATCAAGTGCAGGCTTCCTCCTACTTCAAAGTGAGGAACATAGGCCATGTTGAGGCACTCCTGGTTTATTCCCTGGCCGGCAAATGCAGCATCTCCATGAAGGATTACATTGAGCACGTGTTGGCCGAAAGGCTGACTACCAGTTCCAAAGGCTCCCTCACCTCTTGCTTGCTGTTTGGATCGCGTTTTCCCCATGGCTACAGGATTGGCAGCCTGCAAACGAGGAGCGGAGGAAAAGGATGCCAAAATCGGGAATCAAATTTCAAAGTTTGACGTGAGTCGGCTTACCTCTAGATGCGAGGGATTGCGCACCATGCTGAAGTTCAGGTTCTTGCCCAGTATTTCCAGCTGCTCGGAAACATCTGTGTGCGATTCGGTTCAGGTTTGATTAAATTAAGCATACGCCATGTGTGCTTAGGCTAGCAAGACCGCTTTACGCACACCCACTCATGATGGTATGCAAAGATTTTTTGTATCAACAGTAGCCTAGGCAATACCCAGTTACTTGAAGGTATTATATTTATTTTGAAACAAAAAACTTCGAAAATATATTTCAATACAAATTTTAAAACTCATAATTTACTTTACTCAGCTTCTTAAACTTCTGTAGAACTAAGTGAAATGTTTTTTTAAATCCTTTTGGGTATTTTAATGTGCTAACGAAGATCCCTCATAACCCGAATACCCTGTAATCCCCGTATAAAAGCCCGCCAAATTCTCCGGCAAAGTTTCACTTACGGAAATGACTTATGACGTCGGACATGGCCTCGATGTCTTCGGGAAACTCGGATGCGCCGCTGAGCTTGCGGAAAACTTTCGCCGGCCGCATGTTGAGGAGAGCCGCCTGCAGCGGAGTCCTTCCTCGATGGGGCATCGCCAGGACCACGTGCTCGATGTTCGCTGTCATTCCATTGTATAATTTTTTATCGTTGTCGTCGTTTCCGTTGTTTTTTGGGGTTGCATGCGAGAAGGAAAAGTTTTGGGAAAAGCAGATTAGGGTTAAGTAAGCGTGCCGTGATATGTGAGCCTGTAGGGATGGAATTTTGGTGGGTGGCTATAATTCAGGTGGGCTGGGTGAATTCTCCCCAGCAGAATCGCCTTCTCTGAGGACTGTCACGGGACAAACTTTGGCGCCTTGAAATGGGTACGCGACTTCGCGATGCGCTAATCGCGTTTGAAAAGCGGGCAACACGCACGGATTCGGGTAAATCAGACCATCCGTGGACTTAAAAAAATATGCGATGGAAAAAAAAAATATGAGCGGAAAAATATTAGATCTAGTTTGAATGATTTTACTGGGACTATAACTATTCTCTTTAAACATGTTTGATTGAATGTTTCTTCCGATCTCCCATGTTTTAATTATGAATTGTATGGAAAGAAATATCCCCAAGATCCAATTTTAAATTACAAAATTTAAATGTCTATATGGAAAACTGACCTTGGACGCTGTCACGGAGCAGTTGCCAGAAGAAGGCCAACATGGACTCGGCTCCTTCGCCTCCGTACCTTTTGACTGTGGGAAACTTGAGTGCCATGAAATTGTCCCAGGCCTGCGACTTAATTAACAGCTCGGCGATTTCGCAACGCTCGCTGTTTTCCAGCTTGTGCTGGTCCAGCGTCTCAAAGTTCTTGGCCAGCCACTCGCGTTCCTCGATGTCCTGCGAAAGTAGAGTAGCAGGATCAGCACAGCATATTTATGGGAGGGGACGCACTTAGGAAAAAGTATGAACATTCTTATAGTTCTTTAAAAAAACATAATAATGGATAATAAATATTGATTTATCTATATCTATCTATATATAGTTTAGGTTTATCCGAGAGGCTTATTTTCATGTAATTATATTTTCTATCCTGTAACTCTGTTTTTTTCTGACTGATGGAATGGCGGGGCCACTTACCTCGACATAGGAGAACTCGGCGCTGGCTGAACGGCCGCAGTAAATGTCTTTGAGCAGCTGCTCCAGCTGGGCGACGTTGTGGGCCACCTGCGGACCACTTAAGAGGCCAGCGGTGCGCACCGTCTCCTGTGTCTGCAGTCCATAAAATGCGGGACTTAATTCCTGCAGCTCCTCCTTGCTGTCCAGTGGCCACGAAAATTCACAAGACAAATACACGGCCAGGACATTACAAAGGAGCAAGAAAGGAAAAATAAAATATGACATTTGCCAGAATGGATTTGGAATGGGAAAGGAGAGCCGGAGCTAAAGAAGGTGCCTCTACCTCGTCCTGATGCTGATGGGATTTACGGCTGCCAATTTGTGTCCGTGCTGGCGAAAGGCCTCCACAAAACGATAGACGTTGCCCTGCGAATTCCTGGAAGCCCGCACATCCTCGGCCACTGAAACACATGCGTAAACAATATAAATATCGCCCCACGTTATAAATTATTTAAAAAGGATTCACGTGCACAGCGCCCATTGCCACATTGTGCGGCCTTTGAATTTATTGGCCTTTTACTTTTACGATATTTATTCTTTGCTTTTTACGCCCCGCTTCATTTTGATGGACTAGCGTTCCAGGTATCTGAACTTTCGAATCCTATTTGCTTCGCAAATATTTGATACTCGATATGAATTCGAATGGAAAAGGCCAAAAATAGTTACCAAAAAGATCAATTTTAAGCTGCGGATATTTATAACCAATAAATAAAAGTGATTAAAATTGATTTAGAACAACGGAAACTTTAATATTATGAGAAGCTTTTTTATACATTTTTTAAGATTGAAAGTGAAATCACTTTTAAAGAGTATTTAATGTTTGCTCTTCAGAGAAAACCCCACAATTTCGCGATACATATGAGAAACGAAGATGGTTGTTTTTATTGGTTTTTGGGCCATTTTATTCTCTGGTTGGGCCATTGACAACTCGTTGGCTGCTTAGGTGTTTACGTGCTAAAGTGTTATCCTGCTTAGAGGATTTATTTGCGATGACGCATATCACTCGATTACAGGGCGCCCTGAGGAAGGCAGGACCATGGGACAGAACGTGGGTCATCGACAGCTGGCATTCGCCGGTTGGACCCGCATTAAACCGGAGATCTCCTCAAAAATATATGCAATTTCTCGACAGCATTTCGGTGATAAATCAATTTAATGTTAAAGAGTAGGGTGCCTCGACAGGAGCACAGGGCGTATGATGAATTGTATTTGCGGCGACAACATTTCAACTTGAGCGTGTAAATATTATTGGAGCATAGCGGCGCGTCCTTTGCCAAAGGATAATGGTTGCCCAGACAGAGATGCAACCGAAGGACGAAGAGCAAACAAGTTGGTGGGTCGAGCGGGGCTTTTCCTACCTCGTGCCATGAGAATTACACTGAGAAAAGTGTTTGACAGTAGGTAGGTTGAATGGAATTAGTCTGAGATTATAAATTAGAATTTTTGTTTTCCAAGTTTAAAAAATATATCAATTTGAAATAGTTTAACACTTGAAAAATCTCTTCAGATCCATGTATAGACTGATTTTGCTCAGTGCAGCATTTTAGGCTGCTGATGTCATATGGTCAAGCGTTAAAGGCTTTCTGTGCTGGCCAGTCAAAGGCTCCCGGCAGACTACAGTCGGTGTCCCGAGTTCCAACGACCAACTGGTGACTGCTGACTGGTGTCTGCTGGCTCTGGTGTCGATAAGCCCCAATTGTGTACGCAACGGATGCAGGACAAGCACAAAGGAGCTCCCGGTTTGGGTCCTTTGTTTGCCATGCTTTGATATTTAGCCGGGCTCCTTTCAGGCTCCCTGCCGTGCATTTTGTGGATAGATATAGTATCTCTGCACTGGACACCCGCCTCTCCTCGCTTAATTAGTGCAGTTCACGGGGGGTCTCCCACAATCTCTTGCTTCTAATTATAAATTCCGGGCACTGGCTACACCATATATTCTGAGTTTATCAGATTTCAGAGTGAAAACATGTGATAAGCCGAGAACTTGAAGATTAGCTTGGGTAGGTAACAGGAAAGAAGGCAGCATTAAAGCCATAAAAAATATTCCACTAGCCAACAGGAGTTGTATTTTGTCAATAGTCCCGCAGACAAAAACAATGAGTTGATATATTTCTGCTGAAGCAATGAAATTGGTTCTGCTTATGAAATAAACTAAGCCCGAATATGCACTACGATTACTGAGTATGCCAATGATATATCTTCTTCGAACAGGTTGCCTCGAACATGTTCGGATTGCAGCCTGAAGTTACAAACCAGAGATTGAGTTTGACTTTGCTTCTGGTTTGCGAGTTTACCCACAGTAATTTGCTTTTGATCTTTTGTTCGGGCTGTTGTTTCATTGGAGTTGTTGTGGGGATTGTTGTTGGTCAGCTGCTTGGATTCCACTGATAAATAGCCGGGTGGAGAACTCTACACACAGGCACACACACAATGTCACTGCACAGAAAACTTCAGTGGTTTTCTTTTTGCTTGGGTACGTTTCCACTGCTCATTTATTTGTTTGATCCCGAAACACTCTTATCGATGCGATGGTTATCTCGACGGATGATGTTTTTATTGAAGTCTTGGCAACACTTGGCCACTTTTTGCTTCTGGATTAACCCTACCTTGGAACTCGCGCTGGGCTATCGGCTTGTAGCCCCAAACGCCCTTTTCGCTGTGATAGCATCGCGATAGTGGGCGTGGCAGTTTAATGACTTTCGCCTCCGAGTGCGCAAAGTAACTCAGCATTCTGATGGATTAAAAACTGGGCGTATTTGCCGGATAACCTGATAAACGCGAATGCGGATTGGCGGTCTGTTCCCGTCGCCGTTCGACCCAGAACTAAAATATATTTAATTTTGTTTGGAGTCCGAGACCCCCTGAGGGACTTTCAGAATTGATAAGCGGGAAGAGAACCGAAGAGTGTCTGCGAACAAATTTTTGCTCTCTTTGTTAACAGTTGTATTGCCTACTTTTGGGATGTCCACATAATAAGCGATCACTGTTAATTAACAGATTGTTGACCCTGTTAATTAACAGAATTGCTGTACACATGTCTGAGATGATAATGACACCGAAACACGGCCATAGGGTGTTGGTATTTCGAAATGGTTTCTTATCAGACACCTAAAGCTGATAATGGAACAGGTTCGCTGGCCACTAATTGATAGTTTTAGTTGGCGGTAAAAACGAGGTGAATTTTATCCAATAAATTAGTCATCACATACGAAACTATCAAAAAGTTAATGTGTGAAGTAAAGAATTTTTGGTAAAGTCTCGAATTTTGTAACTATTTAATATAGACTATTAGCTATGCAGAGTTTATCCCACAACATTTTATTAAGCTCCAATCTTAGTTTTCAATCAAAGTTATTTTTACCATCCTTAGTTTTTAATCAACGTTATTTTTACCAGGAGCATAAATTTATCTTACCACATTGGCCACACAAAAAAGTTTGGTCATGAAAACGCTAGGCCTGTATTTGATTTCTTTTACAGGCGGCTTACTTTATCTGTTAAATTTCTGGGTTTCTCCTTTCTATTTATTTCTTCATTACTGACGGCCATCGCACTTTCATGGGCTAATGAAATCAATCCGTAGGCTTTTTTTTGATGCCGGCTGTCATTCCTACAACTTAAGCTGCATTGAAATTGCCGTTTTGATTGTTGGTAATGGGTCATTGTCTATAATTAAACCGGAAGTATACTCACACAAGGAGCAAATATATTCCACATTCATGTGTAGGTTTTACAGTCCATTCAGCTTTTCACAAAATGGCCGCGTCATGAGTGTGATTAACTGTAATGGAAATGAATCACGAATCGGCAAGAGACCAAGTCAACAGAGAGGAATATACTGCCCGGGTACTTCGAATGTGAGAGTAAACAAACAAGTTGGGGAATCTAGAGCAGAGGAAAGAGAGTTGGCCCTCCAAAAAAGCGGGGCGAAATAGAGATGGAATGTGTTATCGGTGCGTAATGCCCCAATGATTAGATATGGCCAACTTTATCTGGGCGATAAGGCAATGTTTCACAATCGAGTAGACGGCGACAGGTGAACAGAGTTTTGGCAACGCCCCGATCGGATCGTTAGAGTTAACTTTACTCAGTCTTAGCTGAGCGGCTCGCTGCAACGAACGTGTTTTTCTGCCTGGTAATTGAAATTATTTAAGAATTGGTGACAAGTGATAAGAAAACTGATAAGCTTTTGCCTTAACTGATGATGTCATCAAGTGAAAATTGTTAAAAACGAGGAAAACCACGGAAAATCGTGTTCAAACAGTGAAAGACTTAAAATAAAACTTAGTGATATGTAAAATTAAAACCTAACTGAAGCCTTTGTGTCTTTCTTTTAGCAGTGAAACGAAAAAACGAATTACCAATTAAGTGATAAATCGAAACCAAGTGAAAATGCGCTTCAAACTTTTTATGGTTTGTGCGCTGGCCTGCGGCTTTATGGCCTATGTCCTGGCCAACGAGAATATATCGACGGAGGAGGTGGAGGATCCGATTGTGAATGAATTTCCAGAACCGGTGAAGGTGGCTAAGCCAAAAACTCAGGCGGAATTTGTGGAGGTTCCAAAGGCCACGCCCGTGGTCAAAAAAGTGGAAGAGGAAAAACCGAAAACCAAACCCCTGGCCCTTCAGAAACCCACTCTGATTCCCGTGGTCCATGTCACCAGTCGGGGGACAGATGACGTCCTGACCGTCGCCGGATTGAAGCCAGAGAAAATGTTCGGAGCCCTCATAATGCCAAATGACTATTTGGGGGAGCTGTCGGACGTGGACAGCAGCGGCTACAATTGGGGTGAGTTGAATCCGTTGTCCCTGGGCTGATTCAGTTCCACCCCATTACTCATACGCCGCGTTGACTATCTTATCAGAACAGCTCAGTGGGTTTCAGTTTGGTTTAGTTACCAATATTTGCTCGATAACCTGCGCGGTTCGGGCGTTCAGGTGTTGTAAGCTCTTCTCTCCTCTCTTCCTCTCTCTCTGCTTTTTCCGATAAGATAATGCCCGGGGTTGAGGCATTAAAAAGCTAACGGTTTTCTTGTTTTCCACTTCGGCAAACAAAACAAGTGCGTGGTGGGGCGGAGTGGTATATATATATGTATGTCGCTGTGGACACAAGGGGATACAGTCTTGCGTGATTCAGTTTACAACCTCAGGTAGTGTCTGTGTTTTGCAATTGTGCTCAGGCAACTCTGTTTTATCAGTCGTCCAGGACTGATATATTGGCTATTCGAATTGGAATTCTTTCTCGTGTTAGTCAGCGCTCTTCGATTGACTTTGTGATAAAAAAAAGGATTGGTTGGAGAGCTTTGGCAAAATCTGAAATAGAATCTAACGTGATGACTCACGACTTACACACTTAGTTCAGGAATAATTTGAGACCTTATGTCTATATAGATAACGATGATTTACTAGATCTCTTGATTTAAATCATTTTTACCAAACTTTTGAATATAGCTTATTGTTTTCTCCTTTCGAATAATAAATCTCATATTGATTGCTTCAGATATTTTATATTTGAGTTGTCTTTAAAAGCTTAGGCTAACTTAAGTTAAAGTAAATTCTATCCCTGGGATACAAATAAAGGGTTTTGGGATGTCTGAGCTCAGGCACTCATCGAGATGCGCTGCTCGTACTCTGCGATGCGCAATCTCACAGGAACCACCAGGCTTAGGTCCTCCATGATGGCGTGGTTCTGGGCTCGCACAGAGGTGCTCTGTCTCAAAATGGTGGCCCTGGACTTGTCCATCGAAGGTTTGCGGCGCAGGGAGCACTTGCGCTGGCTTCCACCCATTCCGGGTACCAGGGGCACGGCAAAGTGGGAGGCGGTGGCCGCCAGTCTCTTGGGCTTGGGTGGTGGCACTTGACTGGCCACCGAGCCACTGAGACTGTGGTTGCTGCCCAGGAAACTGTTGGAGGTGCTGCTGTTGGCGGTGGTCGCAACGTGCTGCGGACGGCTGGAACGCAACATTGCTATGAAGCGATTGTTGGTGGAGCTAGTTTGAGGCAGCATTTTGTTGAAACCCGACTCAAAGGTGTTTGTCAGCTTGTTGAAGAAGTTGATTTTGTCGGTGACCGTGCGTTCCTGATGCTCCGGTTGCGGGGGTTCCTGTTGCAGTGGTTCGTGTTTCTCCTGTTGCTCTGCGGCTTGTGGTTTCTCCTGGCCATTATTTCGCTTGGACATTTCCAGTACCTTCTCCCTCAGCTCCATGGACCAGCGTTTTTGGGCCGTGTGCAATTTAGGTCGCAGTGGGGAAATGCCATTACCGGGCTCCGTTTTGGCCAATTCCACGGCCAGTCGGGTGGTAAAGCGCGGCTTTGGCGTAGAGGTGATGGTTGGCTGGGTTGACATGTCGTCAATGTCCATTTCCAGTTCGCTGACAAACGAGGAGGAGGAGCGGGAGGCCGGACTGCCGAAGCTCGGTGACGAGGGGCTCAGCTTGTAGTTGTAGAACTGGAAGTTGAAAGTGCTGATGCTCATGTTGACGGTTGAACGATGAATGTGATGCTGTTGCCAGGAAAGCATACCTTATATAGGTTGGTTTCTAGGAACTACCTGCAACAGTTTTAGTGCAGCCCCGCCAGCTGGTCAGGGATTTTCAGGTAGCCCAGCTTAACTTGACTTGATTCCGGGAAACTACCTAAGGCGACTACCTAAGCCGCAAGAGTAAAAAAGGAAAATGTGCCAAGGAAGAGGTTGTCCGATAATTGCAACCCGAACACGCGAGTTTTGCGTGTTTTCCGCGCACCAATTTTACACAAATCTTTTGCAAAAGACAGCCTGCTAATCCGCGCACTTTTATAAGGTCCTTCCAAAAAGGATTAGCGAGGGTACTGATTCATAAATAGCTTAGGGACTTAAAAACGCGACAGATGTTCATGGTTTCTGGAAGGAGTTCTCCGGGTTTATGGCCCACTCCTCGCTGTTGACGTTTCATTAGCTGGCTCATTACAATCAAAATCAATGCAATTAATGGCCAATAATTCACTCGACACTCGGCAATTGACAGCTGGCAAAACAGACGCGGAAAATAAGAGGAGAGAGGGGAAGTGAAAAGCGAAATTAAAAATCGAGCATACATCTGCAATTTCCATTTACTCAAAGCGAAATACGCAATTAAACGGCGATAGAATGGGAAAATTACTATGCAAAAAGGTGAAAGGAGGTGTCGGGATCTTAATAGGGTTCATAATTAATTGATGGAATTATTAATGAGGCTTAAAGGATAACTAGGGAAGAGTTCTCTTTGAAATAGCAACGCATTTAAATATTAAAAAGTGAGCTCTAGGGCTTGTTAATCGCAATTCCTGCAAAAAGCAACATAGTTTAAAAGGAGTCTTATAGTTATTGGTTCTTTTCAAACACAATCTAAGTAAAAGAGTTGATAAATGAATGTTGGAGTTTGTAGCAAAAGAAAAGTTTCTGAAAACATCTAGTTAGACTGCTAATTGATTTATGGAATCACACGGTTAGAGCCAAACTTCAAAATGGTTACTTTATTCTTGGAAACTGCATTGGATATCCTCACCGCCTTTGGTGCAACCTCAGCTCCAGAGGGATGCCAGAAATATTTTGAAATCTTTGTCAGGACTTCACCACGAAAACTTCGCCAGCAATTTAAGTTTCTGGCCAGCGTGAGGAGCAATATCCTTAAGCGGATCCCGGGTTCTTCCATGGACTCTTGTTTCAGTGTCCATTGGGAACGTCAGCTTTGCACTTAATCAGCTTAAATTGCTTTAAAAGGCCAGCGGTGAAAGGAAATTAGGAGAAAGAGGCCAAGAGAGGAAGAAAGTAGGAAGGCAGCCAAGTTGGCAGGACAGAAATGAATATTAACTGTGACCTTTAATGCCCAAGTACCCGGAACGGGAGCTGCAAGGATGCGGGCGGCAAAGTTGCAGACGGAAAATGCAAAAAAGCCAGACAAAGTTTTCTTTTCACTTTATGCCTTGCAACGCTGCAAGTGCAAGGGATAATATTGTGGAATTGAAAAAGTAATCTCCCGGGATTAGGTGTGAAATTATAATGATAGGCCAGAGCTCTCCTCTCTAAGCTATTTGTCTTTTCCTCTACCTTTTCGCAGATCCCAATAACAATGTTGCCCCACCAACCACCTATTCGGTGGCAGCCGGGGGATATACCATAACGGCCGCCCGGTTGGCAGAGCTCAGGAGTACCTTCATGTACTGGTACTTCGACAAGGACATGTACGGAGGACGTGGCGACTACCAGTTCGACATCCACGCCTCCATGACACAGCTGCACAAGAATCTTAACTTCCAACTGCCTTTCTACGGATTTCGATTCAACTACACAAGGGTAAGGTTTTATTCAGCATTCTTTTTACCAACTGAGTAAAATAATCTCATACTAACTTTATCCTCCTCTTAAACAGCTCTCCCTCAACGGCTACTTGGAGTTCTCGGATCCACCAGAGTATCTCACCTATCCCCTGGTATTCCCGATCAAGGAATGGCCCGCAAAGAGGGATCCCTCCTTCATGGGCATCTTTTTCAGCAAGTGCAGAGTCGGTCGCATTTATCCATCGGACATTGACCAGCGGACGCCCGGCGTTTACTTCCGGTAAGGCAATGCATCTCCTATCTCAATCTATTTCCGCATCCTTCGCCCCCCGCTCGCATTTCCGGTTCGTTTGTATTTATTTGCTAACCATATTTATTTGCCTTTGTTTCTCTGGCATTTGCATATTCAAAATCAGCACACAGCACGCGCCAAACAAAAGTATTTATACGTACATATTCGTGCTACGTGCGGCTGTCGCCATTTACAGAAAACTAACACACTACCACAGAATAGCACGAGTGTGTGCGTGTCCCATTCTCCACTTCCGGTGGCCCCGATTCCCATGTCTGCGTATATGTGTGTGTTTTTTGGCCTGCATTTATGCATATGGCCTTCCAAAAGGTATGATTTATTTGACACTAAATTTGTTCTTTATTAATGCAGGGGATTAAAATGCGAATGAATATGAATTCGTTGCACCTTTTGTAGCAATTTAATATATATTAAAGTTGCCGGCCTAAGCACCTTCTGTTTAACCTTTTAAATTGGTTTGAGGTTCATTTTAAAGAGAATATTTCTATCCGCCTTGATGAGGCTTTAGGCCCCCTCCATCACTGTTAGTGTTTCGTTGCTGGTTACAGTCACTTATTGCAACAGAAATGTTGGATTATTTCCATGGTGGCCACCTGTGCAGTTGGTACTTCGTAATATTTCCGAGATCCCATGGTGCTATCAGCCCGCAGATTTCCAGCTCCATTATGTTCCTGCTGATTTCAGCATGCATTTGTGCGTGAATTCATTTCGTCCTTATGCATTGTGAAGGACTTTAGAGAAAAGAGCATAGCATTCATTCAACCCGTTTTCGTCTGAACGAAACAATGGCATTTCGAGTGATGGAACTGCAAGTCCAGGCAGGACTCTCTCTGCGACCGATTCTACTTTAATTATATTCAGTTGGCCTGCACTCTTCTGTGAACTTTTCGAGGACAATGTTTAAATTTATACAAACATGAAATTCCATTATTTTTTTTGGCCTTCCCCTGGCTAATTATGCAAATGAATGCCAGTGGGGGCTGAAAGTTATTTGTGGTGTATTTATATGGCTTACCCCGAGGCAGTAGTGTAAAAAACCCCGTCCTTTCACATTCCGTAATCGCACTCACAAAAAAGCAGCCACTCAAAAATGCATTAATTAGTTAAAGCAACTTTCATCTTAAATTGCTCTTTGGTTATCCCGTAGTTTCGAGCTATTTGGAGCATGAATTATGGCTCCTCGCCTTACTTTTCATGGGTTTCAAGAAGCAAGGATAAAAAATACCAACAAGGACAGCATAAATTACTACAAAGTCCCACAGAATGACAAGTCAGTTTAGGGATGTATGCATGCTGGAAAGTGTATGGAAAGTCTGCAAAAAACCTAGTCGAAAAATTACAAAAGTGGTTTAATCAATCTGACAGAATTATGAATGGCCAAAAGCATTGCAAGACAAATGTTTTCCCATTGAATTGTTTTCCGGCACTTTCTTTTTTCCATTCACTGGGCTGTTGTCAACACTTGTGTCGCCGGCTGACAAATTGCCACACCAGAGCAATTAACATCCTGCGACGAGCACAAGGACCACGGCCACGAGTGCGTGTGCCATCCAATGCATTTTTATAGGTTCTACACAGTCCGACAATATGTCAAACTTGCTCCGCATAACTCGTTCAATGGCGGAGTCCATGGCATTTAATTGTCTTCGCCTCGTGTACAGCACCATCAGGGGAGCCGAACTTTGATGTCTGCACTGGGGAAAACGTATATGTAATGTAAATTTAATCTGTTTAATAATCAAGAGAGGAATCATTTACTGTGCTACTTTTCCTATCGATTCCCAAGGGATACTTTTTAAAGCAAAATTCAAATTATGAATAATAGTTTTTATCAGTGCATCTGTGAGTGGGCGTGCAGGGGTATTCAGGAATGGGGAGTGTCTGAAGCTGTGACTGGAATTTAATTTAAATAACTTTGCATGGCACTGGAGATAAAGAAGCCAAGCAGAGCGAATGGCGAAATGTGAGCGATGTAAAATTGTCGGCCACCCACACAATAGCACCGCCCATTGACCCACCCCTCTTCGACATCGTTCTATATGTCGGACCATACTTATTTCGCATCAATTTAATTACACACTCGCACTTAGCGCTCAGCGCTGGATTAGCTGAAAGTGCAGGGCATTGCGCATACGCCGCGTGGGTCGCCGTCCACTTTGAGCATTAAATTCATTATGAGCGCACGTTTAATTACACACACAAACGTTTAGCCGCGTCGGGTGGCGAATAAAAACTTAATGTCGTTTGTTCGCGATTTTTTTCCTTTTGTTAAACGCTTCAAACTTTGTCAGCGCAAGAATTTCGATGTGTGTGGGTTTTTTTTTGGGCAAGTGTGGAAATTTCTGAGAGCGTTTAATTGTTGTTTGGCAAGGGCAGCTTCAAACGGAATCCTAATTGCCGACCTGCGTTGGCGCAATTAAAACATTTTCGCCTGCTCTGCGGCCTTTGAGTCAAAGGTGCATTAGCAAACGATGGAGAGAAGTGCATTAAAATGTGCAAAGGGCATTCCTTCAAAGAAATGCTTTATTTTTAAAATTCATATAATATTTTTTTGGAATTTCATTGTAAACTTCAAGACTTCTGGAAATGGAAAGTTTTCAATGAACCTTTAACAAGGTACTCTTTGCAGAGCACCATGCCGACATTTTCCTTAAAATTTATAGGAAAGTGGCATAGCACTTCAAGTCCTTCCCCCAAGTTCCTTGAACGTGTTTTTGGCAAAAAGTTTTTCTTTATAACCGAGGCGCCATAATAATGCCGCTTCATTATTCCCTTTTGCCAATCATAACAAGAACTTCCCCAATCCTTTGGCCCCCCAAAGCCCATCCTTCGTCCTTGGCTGGGCCATTTGCAAGTCTCTGTTTGCATTTACTGGTGAGAGCGCTTTCTGGGAGCTGTTTTCTGCAGCTTACATGCAATTTTCGCCATTTTCTTTAAGTACGGCCATTGTTTCACTTTCATTTACACCCCGAGATGGAATTGGGCCACACGGCAAAAGGCGAAGACTGAGACATGGCTGAAATGGTGGATAAACGGGGCTAAAAAGGATGAGGGAACGGGGCTCAAATATTTCCATGCAAAGCGGCGAAAAGGCATTTTAACCTACAAATGCAGACAAAACTGTGGCAGCGCCCGAATGTATGCAATAAAGTACATAATGGCGCAGTTCAAGAACTGGCCTGGGATGGAAAATGGGGGAATCGGGTGGAAAGCGGTAGGCGGCGGGTGGAAAACCAGCAAGGAGCTCGACTTATGTACGAGCTTCTGAGTTTCTATTACTTTTTTGCGACTCTCTCTATGTCGGCACTGCGAGAAAAACCCAATGCTGAGCCACCACACAATAATTCATTTAGTATGACTTTTGTCAGAAGAAAAATTGACTAGAAATAATTAACACTCTCGTTGATCTTATGTTTTAAAAGTTTATGTTTAGTGAGAACATCATTTACTTGCCCACAAAGAACTTTTCTGCGAGTGCCTGTGTAAATGTGTGTGGCTTTTTGGCTTACTTACACGTAAAAGTCTACGAGTCTGCGACTGTTTTTGGCTGCTGCGCGCGCATTTCTAGGCTGAGTGACAATTCGCATTTTTTTAGCCCGAATGTCAATTGCAGACTTTTGAAGTTTTTGCTCAGGGCAAGCACAAATGATAAACTATGTGAGTGTGGGTTTTTGTGTGTGCGGTTATCTCTGAGCGGCTTCTTCTTCTTTTGGCCATGGCATGCGGTTTTTTGCTGGCTGCCAACAAACGTTCTCTATTTTTTATGCTTGTCGAGGAAGGAAAGTGTAATTTTGTAATTTATTTCCATTGCCATCTGCTGCCAGTTATAATTTATGTGCCCTCAAAAATTGAAAAGCACATAAGCACTGGCGGCAATTTAATGCATGTTGTATGATAATGGCTGCATTATGAGTTTTTATTGCGGATCGTTGAAGTGTTAATAAATAAGCAGAGCAGAGCGGGGCGAGTACCACTCCACCACTCATGTTTGTTTGCAATTGCCGATGCCGATGCCGATGCCGAGCTCTGTGTGTATGTTTCATTTATCACTAACAAACGCCGGGGCAAAATCAATAAAATGTTACCGGGAAAATGCAAATAGAAAATGGCCCACATTCATCTTTGTTTGCCACACACACACACAGATGCTGGAGCATAACGAGTTTTTCGATTTCAATTGTTATATACGAGTATGTGGACTGGCTGGCAGTGCCCTAAATGAATGTCCTTGTCAAAGCGGCTGGGAATTAGTTTACATTTGTGGATGCTCTGGAGCCGAAGACTTTATTGGGTTTTATGAAATGCCATAAACTAACGTTTTTAGTAGTTTTCAAAGTAAAAAGCTTTCTACAGAGCCTAATTGGGTGCTTACAATTCAATTAATGGTCTTGTACTTTTCTTTAATGTTACTCCTTATTGTTTATGTTGCTGACACATTGTTATACATTCAGCAAATACAGCTCTAGACCATAAAATAAATCTAGTTTCGATTGCAGCTTGATACTTCATGGCAACAATCTGTTTTCCCTCTTAATTTAAAATTCAATTTGAATATTTTCAATTATTTATTTCCACTTCGAATTCGGTCGAATGCTCTATTAGCAAACTCGCACCACCCCCAGGTTTGAATTTTTAGTTCGATTTGCGGCCAGCATCTGGACATGTTTGTATTGAGCCGAACGGTTCATTTGATAAGCCTCTTATGCCAACCAAGAGCTTTGGCAGTCCTCAATTGTTCACCTCGATGCCAGAGCAATTGTCCGGCAATGCAAACTCGCTTAGGTTCTGCGACTTAACTGAATCAGAGGCGGATGCAGTGTAATAAAAATCCACCAGGCAAATCGGCTTAAGATTTATTCGTCTGGTTTCGAAATGGATTGGAATGGCTGTTGTCTAAGCATTTTGCATGAATCCCGGGTGTAATTTAGTCAAACTGGCTTAAAGAAATTTATGACGCAGCAAACACGGGGAACCGAACAAACAGTTTGAAATGCCGCATGAATGTGGACCTCGCGGCGTATGCGTAATGAATAATTAAAGCATATAAATCATACGCCACGTAGCCGCGCTGGCGTCGCCAATGTGTCGGCCATCGATACGAACACCACTCCCTCAAAAAAAAAAAAATGAAATGAAAAAACACACTTGAAAGTGCTCACGAGAGCGTAAAATAAATAAAATGTTTATGAAAATATGCCCAGCAGGGAAAGTAATGAGGAAGCGCGCAAATCAGAAATCTCGCCGCCTGCTCCCTGATTTATATGCCGAACATCAAATCCATTTATCATCGGCCAGACGCCAAACCGAAATTTGTCTTGCATCCGATTTGTTTTCTCATTTTCGCATCAGCCACATGCGTCTCAGTAGTCTCAGTCCCCAACTGATGGAAAATTCATTCTATTTGCAGAGTGGAACGTGATCTGATGGGACGTACCGACCGATTTGGAGTGGAAGTGAGGGAACGGACCATGTGGGACATCCGGGAAGGAGTCGTGGGAGCTGATACCTTTATTCCCAAGCACGTGGTGATCGCCACCTGGAAGAATGTCTCATTCGCTGGCGGTATCGATAACTCCCTCTACACGGTAAGTGGTCTCTTCCTTTATGGTCTCCTCTTAATATTTTATATAGAATATCTATTAAAACTATATATGTTTACTCCACAGACAAACACTTTCCAAATGATCCTGGCTACCGACGAGGTCTACACCTATATCATCTTCAACTATGCCGTTCTGAACTGGCTCTCGCATACTGAGGCCGGAGGTGATACGACAAAGGGCGAGGGCGGTGTCCCTGCATACGTAAGTGGTCAAACTCCCCCGTTTTTTAGTCCTTTCACTTTTTGTCGGTTGGCACTCAATTAAACAGTTGACTCCAAGGGAAAACTTGCTAACTGAATGGGAGTGAAGAGGTTTGTTTTCCCCTCTAGCTCTTCAGCATTCAGCCTTGGCATGTTTGCTATGCTGATTTGTTCGGCAATCAAAAGGGAAGAAAGAAATTGCAAGCAAAGTTTCTGCTGATTCACACATTGGAATGTCTTAATATGCATAAAGTTTGCCTCTTAAAGGGCTTAAACAGATACCAGAACATCTAACAGAATGCCAAGAACTTTAATTTTGCCAAATATCTTCAAGAATCGCTCATCAAGTATACAATTATCATCAGCATAAATCGTTTGCGTTTGAGTTCGAGTCCTCTTCAGCCTGCAGCCACTTGCAGTAATTAAACGCACAATTTAAACTTTTGCTAAGCCCGAAACATAATTGCGAACTTTGTGAACAGTTAATTAAGTGTGCTGAGATCCAAACGCATGTATTTAATTGCACTGTGGCCTCCAAATATCCATTTCCACTCACATAAGAACTCTGCTCCCCCTTTTCAGGTCGGCTTCAATGCCGGCAATGGAACTCAGGCCTACGAGTACAATCCCTACAGCCAGAACATGGTTATTCGGGACCTGGCCAACAGAGGATGGGCCAATGGGTTCCCGGGTCGTCACATTTTCCGCGTGGACGAGCAGATTCTAATTGGCTCCTGCAACAAGGATATCGGTAAGTTTGGCTTGTAAAAATATATTGATTTCAGGGATTTTGATAACAGTTATCAAGCCTTCATTTTAATATTTGTATATTTTTCATTCTCCCAGATGCTGCCCTGCTACCTTTGACATTTGCGCCCGAATCTGGTAATATGCTTGGTGGCCAGGTAGTCAACATCACAGGACCCTGTTTCGATCCTCTGATCCGGGTGACCTGCCACTTCGACACGGAGTCCGTGCTGGGAACCTATGTGGACCGAAACCGAGTGATTTGTGTTCAGCCCTACCTGAAGGCCGAGGGCTACATCCGCTTCCAGATCTCTGTGGGCACTCAGAGGTACAAGTGGCGTGGACAGTACTTCGTGGAGACCCCTGCTGCCGCCACCGAGAAGATCTTCTTTGCCACCGATGATGTGCACAAAAAGAACCCCAGCGAGATCCGCATCACCTGGAACCAATACAATTTGACCTCGAATGCCAATGCCAACGTAATGATCTCGCTGTGGGGCTACAGGGAGACCAAGATTGAGCCACAGCTGGAGTACATCGATGTGATCGAAGCCTCCTACTCGAATACCGGCAGCTATGTGATCACGCCCTCGAACTACCTCAACCGGAACAACATAAACCGAGACATGCAGTTCGGTTTCCTCCAGATCAACCTCACCCAGCCGGACCAGTACTCAGGATTGGCCATCAGTCCGTAAGTACAGAAAATATTGATGGGAAACTAAATCTTTTTACTCAGTTATATAAACTCAAAGCTAAAGTAACTCAGCGTTTTATGGCTTGCTTAACTTTAATGATTTTTTTAGTCAGTTAAAGCTGCAGTGGTATCTAAAGTGGAACCTAGAATCCCTCCCAGATTCCTTTGTTATTGTGGTTTAATTGATTCTCGGTTGTCTCAATGTGTCATCTCAGTGCCGAGTGCTTGACGCTCTGATGGTCTATCCTTGTTTTTATTCAATTTGTCGGGCAATTTCAATGACAATGAAAACGGGCTGAATGTACTCCGGCTCCTCCAGAGCCACTAGATACATCCCCAACCCTTCGGCTGCACTCAACTTGCCCTGGCTCGGCTTGGCTGAAGATTGCTTATTATGACAGCCTGTAATTGCGAGACATTCTCGGAGCTAATCAATAATGGAAATGTGTTTTTAATGACCTAGGCCAGTGGTAATCGCTGCCATGTTTGCTCGCCAGTCCTCAGTCTCCTGCATCTAAGCCTTTTCCATCACGTCCTGCAATTATTTTGCACTTAAACCTCACTCATCTTCCGAACCATAAACATTGTGGGCCTAAAATACGAGTTTGTATTTAGTAAGATGCCCAGTTTGACGACTACGAATTTTCGAGGGGTTATTCAGAAGCTCAGGTCTACACAGGGAGAAATTATAACTTGTCCTGGTTGTGGGCTTATCACAAGATAAAATTCATTTTTATAAGTTCCCCATGAGTTTACTTTTTGTAATATATATTTTTGTCAAACTAATATCATTTTGATATAGGCCATAAATTATACAAGAATCTTCCCTTTTCTCCTCGCTGTGCCTTCTCCCTTAAGACGCAATATAAAACCATTTCTTTCTTTTTGGTTTACGGCACCTTTGGGTGTCGTTAGCCGGCCCAAAGTGACGGGTGGGCCGAAATAAATTGTTAGCATTGTTTCAACATTTAATTTCCATTTGATGGCCGAGTAATTGTGAGAACTTAATGAAAAATATTTCCATGGCAGCGTGAGGCGCGAATTGGCATTGAATGCTAACTAGGCAACGGCTAATGGCAATCTCGTGTTGCCCGTCAAAAAGAGAAGGTTAAATCGCGTGGCTTGCTTATTAGCTGGCATTCTGCAACCTGCACGAATGTCAAAGGTAGATGAATGTCATCTTTCGCCCGCCTCTCTTGAAGTTAATCTTTAGCACACATTATCACAATGCATTTTCCCATTTACCCATTTCCAGGATCCTGTGGTCCCGCCCGATTCCATTGGCCTGGTATATGGCACCCCAATGGGAGAAGCAGCATGGCAAGCGGTGGGCGAGAGCTCTCTGCGATAATTGGATTCGTACCGACAGATTCCTCAGGTAAGGCTCAACAAATATGCATTTGCATTGGCCCCGCTAATTAAAAGCAACCAAAACGCCGATGGGGATTGGAGAAATGGTTGCCATGCGGGCGTGGGCATCCTTCCCCAGTTAATTAGTAGAGGATTGCTATAAAGGGACTTCCCAGCTAAAAAAGCATGCCTTTCCTTTCACAGGAACTTTGCCGCCGACCTTCCTCTTTGCCCTTGCACTTTGGACCAGGCTGTCCTGGACAAAGGACGCTTCCGCCCGGATCGGGAGTGCGACAAGGACTCGAACCCCAGCTGCCTGAGGCATCGTGGAGCCATCCACTGCGTGGTCAGTGGAACGCCAGTGTAAGTAGATAGTTAAATGAAATATTGAAAAATATTAAAAGAAGTACTTTAGCAAGTTTGTTACATCTGAATACCCTTTCTTCTCTTCAGCGCCCAAGGAGCCGAGCAGCAGTGCTGCTACGATCGTTATGGCTTCCTGATGCTGACCTATGATCAGATGTGGGGATCTCGTCCCCGTCGCGTGCACAACCTGGGAAAGATGCCCTGGAACGAGGCCAGCAAGGTGCCCTCGCTGTCTATGTGGTTCCACGACATGCGTCCCTTCTATTCCTGCTGCTACTGGCAGGAGGAGCAAGCCGTGGGCTGCGAAACCTACCGGTTCGAGCGTCGTCCTTCGCAGGATTGTGTGGCCTATCAGGCACCAGGAATTGCTGGCGTTTTCGGGGATCCCCACTTCGTGACCTTCGACGGAACGGCTTATACCTTCAATGGACTGGGAGAGTTTGTCTTGGCACGCAGCGTGGATGAGAGTAACAAGTTCGAGGTCCAAGGAAGATTTGAGCAGCTGCCAAACAATTACTACGGAGAGGTGAAGGCTACCCAGTTGACGGCGGTGGCCATGAGAGGCAATACCACCACAACGATTGAGGTCCGTCTGCGTCCTCTGCATGCCCGTTGGCGCTATCGCCTGGATGTCCTTGCCGATGGCCGAAGGGTTTACTTCGATCGGGAGAGTCTGAAGTTCCAGCACTTCGATGGTGTGTCCGTGTATACCCCGACTTACCTGCTCAATCAGTCGCAGGTGGTGGTGCAGTTCGATGCAGGAATCGGAGTGGAGGTGGTGGAGAACGAGGGTTTCATGACGGGTCGCGTTTTCCTGCCCTGGAAGTTTATAGTGAGTGAAACAGGATATTTTGGGTTTTTTAGATTTTATTATTTTGCTTTAATCATAGAACAAAACGGCTGGACTCTTTGGCAACTGGAGCTTTAATAAGTTGGACGACTTTATGCTGCCCAATGGTCAAGTGGCGTCACTCAATCTGAATGACCTGCGCAGTATTCACACAAACTTTGGAATCAAGTGGATGCTCACGGATCGCGAGGTTCCTGGGGTGGGGGCTGCTCTCTTCACTCGCGAGTTTGGAAGGATGTCCAGCTACTATGCGAATGCCACCTTCCAGCCGAACTACGTCCTAGATCCTGCGGACTTCCTGCCCGTGAATCGTACCTATGATCTGGAAAGAGCCGAGGAACTCTGTGGAGAATGCACTCAGTGTCAGTACGATTATGCGATGACCCTCAATCGGGACTTGGCGCACTTTACCAAGAACTACTACGACACCATAGTCAACATGCAGGCTGAAAATGCAGTGTAAGTTGGTTAGCTTATGAAATGTAGTTTCATGATAAAGTTTTCGTTAATGGGTTGCCTTTATGTTCTTGCAGTCGCGTGGTTTCGTGTGGTGTCTTGCAGACTCCTCGATTTGGCCGAAAGCTGAGCTTTGATTTCATGCCAGGCGCCAAGGTGTCCTTCGAGTGCGACGAGGGCTTTATCCTGATCGGAGACCAACGTCGAGAGTGTCTGGCCAATGGTCTCTGGAATATTCCTGAATACGGATACACGGAGTGTCTACGTAAGTACCAAAAGCCAATTGCAATATTCCTTAGATCTCTCGATACCCCTAAATCCTGCCTACAATTCTACTGACTGACTGAATTAGATCCTTATCTAGTTATATCCTAATATATCTATACTATACTGTCAAAAAAAAAACCTAATTCAGTCAGTTAGTAGTATATAATAGGGGAGTGCCCTGTGAAGCCCCTGATAGAAACCAATCCTTACCAACCTTTGACCCCGTGCAGGTGAGGTGTACTACACGCGTCGCGTCGCTTTCATAGCAATTGGCATTATCTTCCTGGTGATCTGCCCACTGATGCTGTGCATCGTGTGCGGAGTATATCGCTACCGCCAGAGGCAGCTGAAGGAGGATCCTCAATGGCAGATGCCCATGCTGCCCCGATCGAGGGCCAGTTCCGCTCGTAACTTAAGAACCCTTAACTACGACGACGACAGCGACACGGATGCCAGTACATTGAAGAAAAGTAGGTCCTACGACAAAGTATATCGCACGAACGAACCATTACCTGGCAAACCGCAAATTGATTTTCCAGCTAAGAAATGGGATCTGGATGAGAACGACGAGGATGTGACCTCATCCGAAGGTAGTCAAAATAGAAACAGCTCAAAGTTAGCCAGGGACATTTCCTACATTAATCCGAACGTAACCACAGGTGAGAAGCCGAAGCAGTTGGGTCGCCGCTCCCTGCACTCCACCTCGGGCACGGACTTGGACAAGCACGGATCTCCTGCCGATGAGGATCACAATCCGGAAGAGGACGATGACTTCGACGAGGCTGATGTCCACACGGGCACCACTCACCCGGCCGGATATCACCAGCCCTTGTCGCCGGAGGAGGCTGACCAGCTGCACCGCCAGCAGTATAGTCCCACTTTCAGTGGCCTGGACAGTCGCACGAGTGCCGCCAGTTCCATAAACTATACTCCCCAGGCGGCCACACAGAACCGCTTCGGTGGGGTGCCGGTGCTACCCAGTAACACCCAGTACTACAGTAGACCCCCATCGAGCGTGAATGCCGTACCCCTGCGCACAGCACCCACGCCACTGACCCAGGACAGTGGTCTGCCATCGCCTCCCGTGGCCACCTCGCCCACTCCCTCTGTGCAGAAGTCGACGGAGGTCTGAGGATCAGAACTCATCCTGATCCCCTAGCTGCAAAGTTCAAATAAGAGCCACCCAAATAATAACTAATCTTAAGAATCCTTCATTGCCGTTAATGTTGAACCACCCACCTGTCCATGATGCTTCCTCCGACTGTACAATGTTGTTAAACTGCTGCTTAGCCCAAGGCCATGACCACATCAAATAACCACATTTAACATAGCATTTATTTAATAGTCCGAATCCGAAACCGAATCCTTGTACATTAAGCATAATCCAATCGGCAATTCATTTGTATTTACTTCGGCCCAGGTTAACATTCATCATTTTTTATTGAATAAAACCAAAACACTTGTTTATAGTCGTTAACTTGTAAATACTTACTCGTGTTCTTAGTTCTCCTTGCAGCCGGATTCGATAATGCCAATTGTTACATGAAAGTTGACACTTCGCAGGGTTCGCTTTGTTTGCTATTTAACTGCCTGTCAATTTTCTGTAATAATTTGCATTTCCATTTGCTGCATTGCATTTGCGATTACACTTGGAAAAATGGGTGACTGTTTAGTTATTGATTTCCATTGGGAGTTTCTTCTGATTATTCTTCACTAATCTTCCACCCATTTCCCTGAAGTGTAGTTTAAGCAGTGCAACGGCAGAGCAAACGAAAATTACATAAAGTTTGCAACAAACCAATAAGACCCAAGCCAGAGACATTAATCTTCGACTGTCACTGTGTTTTTTTGCTCTGTCTTATTGTTGTTGCTACCACTGCCACGCCCTGGCACTCCACCTACGCCCCCTCTAACGGGACAGAATGTATTGTGTGCATTACGCCAATGTCAATCAATCTTGAGCAAATTGATGGACAAGTTGCCGTTACTTATGTCCGCCTGTCCGCCGGCGAATCCTTGCTCCTTCGTCCTCTTCATCAATGTGAGAGTACAGCCTCGCCTAGCTGGGAAATAGACACAACACAATGGCAAGGCGAGCGGGCTCTAAACTAGGCGACTAGTTTCCAGCCTTGAGTGGTTGGATGGATGGCAGGGCGAAGCTAGATGGATGGCCAAGTTGGTTGTTTTATTTATGAGCAGTAGTGTAAAGGTAAAACTCTTGCAAAGACAAGGTGTGACGGAAATAAATCTGTCTGAATAAAAAATCTACAAACTATACATTATAAAAAGTAGCAGAAAATAAGTAAGTACAATATTTGAATAAAATAGCACTTAAAAAGTAAACTTATTGCTTTAGTAAAGGGTACGAAAACTTCGTATATATAATACATACATTTCCTCATCACTGTTCATAGAAACCATAGCTCAGAACCCCCTCTTTTTCACCTCAAGAATCCTTTGTCTATTTTCCATTGCATACTTTTGCAGGCCACGAGGAGCATTCGGCGCGGGTGGCGAGCATTTCCCTTGGAATGGTCCTGCTCATCCTGATTCCCTGCCTCCTACTTCTGGTTTGCGGGGCAAGCTATTGGATTCGCGAACGAATCGCCAGAGAGGAGGAGGAGGCAGCACAGGCTTTACTGCCCCAATCCAAGTGGCAAAAGTCTAAACAACATGTAATTTGATTACCACCATTGATGAGCTGCCGAGGAGCTGCGATCGTGGTCTGAATTAGGAATTGCGATTCCTGAGATGTAATTATAGGATTTCATTTGGCAAAGAACCTGCATCAAAGCCTTATTTATTAATATTAAATAAAATAACAAATGAAAAGTGAATGTTTTTTAATAATATTTCAACTTATAAGTAAAAATTCCAGATTTTTCAGGGTTCAATGAAATATTTTTATTTGTTTCTGCGTATGCTTATCTTGCGTTTACTCTTGGGTTACAGTTACATATTGATTTGACTTTAACATATTTAACATTTACTCCATTTTGTGTACAGATGAAAACAGGTAGGGGGCGGTCCTAAGGGGTGAGGGCTTAGTTAGTTTAGCACTTAACACTTCTTAGCCTTTTTACAGTACACAAGTAAGTAACTTAGATTTAACACTCAACACCTCCTCGGATCAACAAAAAACGAATCGAGTCTCACTTGGACCGGATCTTAAGCTACGCTTTGCCTTAGAAGAACATTCAGCTGAACAGTTGGATATATTTTAGAGTACTAGCATCTGTGCACATTGATATTGCTATGAATATATCTATATATAGGTATGTATTAACTATAGTCCATGATTTCAGAGAGAGAGACTTCCGGCGTGATGGCTTAAGAACTATAAAGCTATTTTTCAGTTATAGTAAAGTAGAGATTTGTCCTTCGTAACAATGGCCATAGATCAATGGAAACTTAAACGAACTTTGGTTTGGAGAGCTCTTAGCCTATAGTTAGATTTTCTTGATGCTGCGCTAACGACTTTAGAACATCTATCCATGTAAATACTCGGGTGTGTCTCGCTTGTACATTTGTATAGAGTTTACTTTTTGGTGCAGTTGAGTTTCTAACAATTTGGTTTGTTGTTTGCTGGTCGGTAGCCCTGTATAGAAGTTGACGAACCCAATTACATCTATATATATATATTTTATGTATATTTATATATCTCTTTGTCTGGTTTTCTTTTTTCTTTGGTGCCTTGTGGTTATGCTAATTTACGCTTACGGCTTAATTAAGTTGTCCCAAAAGTTGAGTGGTTTAGTTAGAATATCTGCCTTACATTTTTTCGCTCGTCGATTTTTACAGTTCGAGTAATTTTTGTTTTCCTTTAGATTAATATAGTTACACGAAAAAGTTCAGCCTAAGAAACCATCACAAAGTAGAATCATAATAAATACATATTAACAAATTACACTTCCTTTACACAATAATACACATCTACGAGGACTCACGCAACACACACTTAGATGATTTCAAACATTTTTACAGGATAATCCACAGGCTGAAACGAGAAAACAATTTGGAGCGATTTTAGTGGGAATGTTTCGAGAGTTACAAACTCAAAATGGCAAATATAAATACTCTTATGTCGGTCACGAACTGCGCCCGCACAACAAGAGGTCATTTTGTGCACTGAGAAAAAGTTTCCCAGAAGTTACTTCAAAATCATAAACTATTTTATTAATCAAAAAGTGGGGAATAGTATTTATAATATGATATTTTTATTAATAATAAGGATCTGAGAACATCAAGATATTGCTCGCAAGATTTTATTCCTCTGTAGTAAAGGACTCCGAAATCAGAGCTCTGTTTGTTTGCCTAACCGTTTGGCTCCCGTGAGCACGCAATTCAATTTAACCCTTCACGCCCAATTACGCCGTAAAGCCGGTGCCAGGATCGGAGGACGACAGGACTCGCAGGACACACGAGGTGGAAACAGTGTCAATGTCAAAAGTTGGACTTTGGCCATGTGGAAACGTAACGGAACAAGAAACTTGGCTTGTTTTTCCACCGGATTCTTGTTTGTTATGCCAACTGCGTTTGGCCGAGGGGGTGTTTCGACCACAAAACAGCCCAACTACAAAGGCGCAAACAACTTTTGATTGCCAAAAACTGGCCAACCTATGCGGGCCCTCCTTTGTTGGGGAATTTTCAAAATTTCAATCACGTAAGCAATTCCCTTTCCCTTTACCCCACCCGCTCCCAAAAAAAAGAAAGTTTAAAGGTCTGCCAGAAAACGATTATTTATAGTATTAGTGGAGTCAGTTTTATGGCTCTTTCCAGTTTTGGTTACAGCCAGGTATGCCCTTTTGCGGTTTGGCAAGTTTCGCATTTCAATTTGGACGAAGTGAAAAACAAACATATAGTATCTATATCGAAATATTATTTCATTAAAAAGGGTATAGTAAAAGGCTGTTTAGCTATCAGATGCAAGTAGAAGGAAAACTATTTTAATTTAACTTTCATATCTCTACAGGTAATGTTTCCTTAATGAACTTTTAGACCATTCTTTTCATTTTCAAATCAGTTCTATTTTAATGAAAAAAGTATCTTTCCCTTTCAGTTAAAGGTTAAAAATAAATAAGTTCCGTGCCATTTTATCATTGGAATGCAAGCGGGAAATGAATAAATAAATCGACGGTGTCGAATGGATGGCAGGGCAGCTGATAGTAATTGCACATGCATGTTAACCCCGAGCCACCGACAGCTGCCCCTTTCAGATCCTGCTGACACGCTAAGCAATTTAACAATTTTACAGACAATTAAACAACAGCATCCTCGAGTCCTTGGATGTCCTTCGGCCGAGCTGTCATTGAATCGACTACGACGACAAAATGGCTAAAATGTACTTGCATCTAATGCTGGGCCACCTCCTCTCTCTCCACACCCCACACATAAAATATCGATTAGTTTAATGTGCAAAAATAGCAGCAAGTGTTTCTTTGGGGGTCATCCTGCCACGCCCCTTTGGAGCACCTCTCCTCTCCCCTCCCCACTAACGACAACCACATAGTCCCAGAACATTCACATGGGAATTTTCAACAAATTGAATTAAAATTGTAAATATCGCATCCGAGTGTTTTGCCTCGAACTTTATGGCCCCACAAATCAAATGCACGAAGGTGGACACACTCTGCCAAAAGGGAATGTTAGAGTGGGATGGAAAATTGTGGGAAAATGCCAACTTTGCACCCCCTTTGCTGTCTGAAAAGTTTACGCCTTTTGTCGGGCGCAATGACAAAAAAAAGAGCAAAACGGTAGAAGGAAAAAATAGCAGCGGGAAAAGTGAATCGGAAAATGGTCCATGGAAAGTTACCGATATTGATGTTGCGGGCGTACCCAAGATTGCCTTGTTTCCCTTTTTCCGAGCTTACTGTTTTCCCAGCAAATTGCATTTGATTGGATACAAAAAGCATAAACTTTGGGTTCTCACACTCGATTTGCAGCCTTGATAAAGGATATTCATGAAAGGATATGTATATTTGCGCGGGAAAATGTATATTTCCTTAGGTGAGCATTGCTGATGGAAGGTAACGGAGTAAAAAAGAAAATCAGGAAAATCATCTCTCCCTTTTAAAACCTACGATATGTTGATAACACTGTTTAAAATCAGACTCTATTCTCAACATAAAATATTCTCAATTTAATCAGAACCCATTTGAAGTTCGACTTAAATTTCCCATTTATTATGGAACTTCATTGGTTTTACTCTGGTTGCCACCTTTAACACTTGAAAGTCTTCCTGCAGATGCAACATAGTACGAATACATTAGATTTAAAGTGCCCGTCTGTCATAACAACTGGGACTTCCGACTGGTCCTTACGCACTCCAGGGCGAACTGTATAAACAACGATCCGGCTCAATTTGGTATGGTAAACCCGCCTCAAATTGATTTGTTGTCGGCAGCATTTAGAGGCAAGTAGAGTTGATTTGCCAGTAGACTGAGGGCGTGGCAAGGCTGCAACGGTATGCAAATGAGTGCTTCGAAGTCGTCCTGTTTGCCCAGGACCTATTTGCGGTGAGGGGTGGGAGGGTGAAAGTCTGTTAATGTTGCCATCTGCCTGCAGTTGAATGTTTGCCTGCTGGCAGTCATTCCAACTTTAATTGAAATTAGTGCCGAGTTTTCGATTAAGCCACGCCTCGACTGTTTGCTCCTGCCAATGTTGATCTGGATGTGACAATGGCCAGAGCTCCGAGATTCCCATGTCCTTGCTGCAGTTAAATTACCCGAGGGCTCATACATGCCAAATGAATACCTGCCGGAATGTCCTGCATCCAAGTATCATTTATTAATAAACCCCTCGAGTTGGGCAATAAAAGTTTTTGTGCCTTTGCCTTGGCAAAACTGACAGTCGACAGTAATCTAAATAGGAAAACTTTCATGTTGGCTCTGCCCGAAAAACTAAGCAAGCCGGAAAAACTTTTGCCCAACACAATTTTCCACCCTTCGGACTCTTTGAGGTGAGCAAAGAGATGAGGGAATTCAATGAGGAGCGGGCTCCTTTGACTGCCGAAAGTGTGCCGACATGTGAGTAATTTATCTGGAATTCGCAGGTCAACCCTTTCTGGGAGCACGTGGCGTATGCGTAACTCATCTGGCAGAAGCTGAAGCAGAGAAAGAGTCTCATTATCGTCTCATCAGCCTTATTACTATATAAGCGTTATTATGTCACACAGTTTTCCCTCCTTTCTTATTTCTGCCCCTATTTATTCCTCGCAGAAGAGTCGCCTTGGGACCGTGAGTAGTAGAGTAGAAAAGAAGCCTTTGCCTCTGACATTTTGTCGTCGGCTGGCTCATCGCAATCATAATTTCCATCTTTATGAATTTTAAATGAGACGTAGACCGGGCGGGTCTTCGGTCTTTTCTCCCTGCAGCTGACAAACTTTGCACGCCTGTCACTGGGAGTTTCAGCTAAATTTTTAATAAGATGCCCCGGCCTTGAAGGCCACGCCCAATTGTCGCATCAGAGCTTATGCCGTATTTAGTCGGGTAAATATTTATTTGATTGGTATTTTTGCGAGATCCGGATTTGTATGTTAGCCCGCCCAGGAAGCGGAAATTGTGCGAGGTCGATGGCAGCCGCGTTATTTCCATATTCCCAATGATGCGGAAATGTAAAGAAAAATCGCTCTTTTGTTGCGGACCGAATAAATTTGCTTCAGTCTGTGCACATATATCTGTCTGGCGAATGATAAATGATTCTGTAGCTGAAGTGGAGCTGATGAGGCGGCATGGAGGCTCATTAAAGCTGATGGATACTTCAGTATCCTCGAAGCCGCATTAAATATGTTAAGGCCATTGGGAAATCAATCGGGACTAGTTTAACAGCCTCTTCAAGATATAGAAGAAATAGAAGAAATGAATATTATTTATTCTCAGATAAGTCATATAATTTTGAGCTCCGCTGTATCAGCAATAGTACTGCAATCGAAGGCGCCGCTCATTAAAAAAAATTACAACTCTGAAGTGGTTGGCGCGGCCAATGCATCCCTTCACAGAAGGTCTTTAAAGTGGGCCAACTTAAATAAGGGAAACGCAGGAAAAGGCAGCCACCGCATCCCCCGACGACTTCCTTTACAAACAGGCCGGATGTGAAGAATAAATAAGACTAAATAGGAAAAATGAGGAAAATTATGGCCAGGCCGAGAGGGAGACGGCACGAGCGGAAACAAGCTGGGCTGGATTACTTGGGTGGCACCAAATCAGGCAACTTTTATGGGTATTTTGTACTTTTTATTTCTGGCTTCAATGAATTTCAATGAGCAGCCAGGGAGCCCCGAAACGTTTGGATTTATTAAAAATGCTGGACCACATTTCGGGGCATTTAATTAGGGAAATTTCTGGTTCGGTTTTTCCAGCGTGCAGGCCTAAGAACTAATCAATGTTAATCCATTTCTAACGAGCCATCGTTAGGCACCCAGAATTACATACGCCCACAACCCTGCCAGTTGAATGGCATCATCAAAATGCCTGCCAACTTCCAAGTCATCAAATTGCATGCCAACTTGTTGTTGCCGCTGGCATTTAACGATAATGTGCGCCATATCGAGGCCATAAGCAGATATATATAACTGGAGGATAGACAGATACACCCAGTCACAGGCGATATATGTGTGCACTTAAAATGCCAGCCGAAAATTGGGGCAACCGAGTTTTCCTGCAAGTCTTTAGCCTTTTTTTTCTGCTGTGGCATGCTACTTAACTTATATGCGAATGAGTTTGTGAGGGGCGTTTAATGCGATTTCATTACGCTTTGTGACATTGTATATTAAGCAAGGTTTTGGCCAAAAATAGATACGAGGGTTGCTTGAAACTTTTTGAAGAAAGTATCCTTCGGAACATATATTCGACGATATTTTAAAAATATTTTAAAGAGCCACAAAATGAGTGTTTTCCCATTGTTTATTTCTCATGTCAATACGAAGTCGTGGTCGAATAATCCTTGATTTTGAAGCCACCCTCGCAGGGGTATTTCCTTTCGGATTCCCATTGCCTTGAGCTTGTTCACCCGTTTGCTCATGTCAAATATTTGTTTTCAAAATATGTGCTAAATTCTATGCACAAGCCAGTCCCCCGATCAGCCCGGGTCCGCTCCTTTCTGCGGTACTTTCGGCTGAAATAGAACTCTTTGCTTGCAGCTCGGTTGGCCAAAACTTTGTAAACAAAAACACACACAGAATAAATGCCAGCTTCAGCTGGAGGATACAGTGTGGGCGGGGCGTGGCAGGACTAAAGGCTTTGCGCTTTCGCTGGCTGTGTTGACAAAATCCTTTTGAGTTCGAGAGAGAGATATATTTAACTGTTTGGCATATTATGGCTTTTATATTGAGTTGTTTTGGACTTATCTAGTTTACTGCCGAACGGATTGGGCCAAATGGCTTGAAACTTGTCCTAGCACAAAATATTCTTTATGGCTGGCATTAGAATTTGTCCAGATAAGACCAGCGAAGGGTTCAGGCTAATTTGCAGGGATCGGAGAACATGACATGATAATGTGGCATGAATTACGTGCTCAGAGGACTTGAGGATTGCTGATTTGAAATTAAAGTAAAGTAAAGTAAATCAGTTCTAGGAGGAAACCTAACTTAATCACAACCATTTTGCATTTTGGACAGTTCCCTGCTTAGCTAAACAATTTCAAAGCCCGATTGGTTGTTCCTCAGTGTAGACGTAGACAGAAGATATGTAAATCATTTGTAAAGTGACTCGCCTAAGTGGTTGGCCCGGTCGGGTTGGCTTGAATGGTTGCAGATAGGAGAGCATTAACATAAATTACCTTGCACAGCGATCCGACGTTCCTCGAGCTCCGGCCGCAATGCGCCAGCAGCAACAATCACACGATGCCAAGAACACACACTTGGGTTGCAGGATGCGGGTCACGGGACATAGAACGTGGGATGCAGGATGCTGGATGAAGGATGACAAACACAAAGGCATAGAAATGAAGTGGTTAAGTGGTCCTAGGACCTGCAGATTTAGCCGCAGACTTTCGGACAGATGGAGTCACGCATGCAGTGGCAACTTTACAGGATGTTTCAGCAGCAGCAAGACGAGTCCTTGCACATCTCCTATGTGCCTCCGCCCCCGCCGGCGCCGCTTCCTCCGGCAGAAGAGGTACGTGACACGCTGGCATGTCCTGATGCCCGCTGGGTGGCTGCGCCAATGGGCGTGGGCCCGCTGGCCGTTGGAGTTGTCGGCTGCAGCAGCGGCGAGTCCAGGCTCCCATTTCCACCGCCGCCGGACGTCGAGGAAATGCCACCCAAAACGCTGCTGGTGGCACGCGTCAGGAACCAGCAGTCCATGGGCGTGGGCTTGCCCTTCATGATTACGGGACCGCGGTACTCCAAGTGGAACGAATCATCCTGGTTGATCGGCAGACAGAGCAGCCTGCAAGAGAAGAGACAGCAGAAGTTGGTTTATAAGCCATAATATTCGTTTATTTTTATTTACTTTTCTAAACATTAAACTTTACTTTAATTTTAAGAAGTATAAAACTTTTATTTATGAATTTAAGAATGAAACATCGTAACCATAAAACGTACTGACTGTATAAGCCATGAGAAATGTGACTTTTAAAGTGGGTTCATAAATTAGAGTTACTCAGTCCGTGGAGGAGTCGGCTTGAGTTGCTATAATGCACTCCGGATGATGCATATCTCGAGGGTCATATTTTTCTCAATCTGCAGACCAATAAATCGCCGTCGTAATTTCTACCGCGGGACGCTGTTACTCAACTTTAGATTGCATCGCCAGAAATTATGTAAATGCGCTGATTGCACTTTATTTGCCCGCATATTTGACTGCCACGCAGAACGGAAACGGAATAAAAATTTCGCCTGGCTTTGTGCACTTCCGCTTCCGCTGGGCCCGACCGCAGTCCACACATTGTTGCCTTTATTCGGGCCCATATATTTACGGCCAATACCCCGCTGATTGCATACCCATTTAATTCAATTTATTCGCAACCTTTGCGGCCTCGGATGACCGGCATATGGCCACAATTGCATTGCCCTTTTAATTAGCGCCCAGGTGAGCGCTGATCAGGTGAAAATATGGCCGCGTTTCCCTGGGCAACCAGCACAGCACAAATATCTCCGTTTTAATGGACTTGAGTTAATTACACAGCTCCGAAGGCCCTCGATATTTATTTGCATATGCGATTAAGGCGAAGGACCCGACGGATCCCTGCCAGACATGATTATCCCGACCATCATCTCCGCATTTCGTGTGTGCCTCCTTAATTAATGTTTATGGCAGTGCTTAAATATTTACCCAACGCTTAATTGTCAGCCCAAATATTAAACGTGTAAATATGGCGAATAATGGCATGAGGCCTGAATAATTTATGTGCAAATTGAAATGTGCTGCACCAGCAAAAGGCAATTGGCAAAAGGGCTAGGCCAGGGATAGGGTAAACAATATGCTCGATTATTATTTTAAATTTCAAATAAATTGCACAGCAGCCAAATTTACATTTTAATTGAAGTTGGTTTGACATTTGTTTTGCTCCTGGCTTAAGCCAAAAAACAAATTTAAAAATATAAACAAATTCATGAGAGTATTTGTTTCAATATTTACCAAAGGCTTACAAAAGAAAATAATGGAAATTTATAGCTCTAAATTTGTAATGGAATTCAGCGAAAGGGGATTTACATTTCTATGAAAATAATAACTAAAAAGTGTAGTCAGGGTTTATATATTGTAAATATAAAAAACATAATAAAACAAACAGCAGTTGGGAAACCATTGGAAAATAATTTGATTTTGGTTAAGCCCTTTTTATTGCCAAGCAATTATTATTTCAATTTAAAATTTAAACAGCCGTGATATAGCTTAAGTACTTGTGGCCTTTATTTTTAATGTCATTGATAATTAACACAAAAAACGAATTTTATTTTCCTATTTAAGCACAGCAAAATGTGTAAGCATATTATTATTAATATGGCATTTTAATTCGGCTTTATGTTTATGAAACGCTTATTAAATACCTTTACCGCTCTCTGGGCAAAAGAGAGGGAGAGGAAACCGAAAGAGAGCGGGAGAGCAGGCGAACAGCTGAGCGGTCTTAGAATTTAGACTTCATTTGTTTAGTTTTCCAGCGGCGGCTGATGAGCGGGGTGGAAACTGTGTGTGAGTGTGTGCGGTAAATAAATGGTCCGGAAAATGCAGGGAATTTCGAAATGCAATCAGCATTTTAGCTAAATCCAATCAAATCACTTTCAAAGCGTACTTGTGTTCCATTCGGTTTTTGAAGTGCCCATAGAGGTGTAATTATCGGTTGGTAATCAGACACCTGTTTGCCGACTGCTGAGCATGTGAAGAGAGTTTCACAGGAAGAGCCCTTAAAGGGAATATTGGGGGATATCAAGGGTTAAACAAATCATAGAAAGTGTACTTCAGCCTTGAAAATCTATAAGAAATCTTAGTAATTAGTAATTTTCTGTCCAATATCCATTTGTTTACGTTTATCAGAAGTTCTCCCAGCACATCATTGCCAGCTGGAAAAAATCAATAACAAAAAGAGAGTCCACTCTCACCCTTAATTGCCAGAAACACTCTCTTCCTTGTGCATTGTGACTCTTTGGCTTCAGCAGTTCGGGAGTTTCCTTGAAACGGAATTTGATTCTTTGCGAGGGAAACTTATTTATAAATCGAAAATATTATTCGACTTGAAGTGAATTTAATTGTGTTTTTGCAATATGCTTTCACAGTTGGTTGAGGCTTTCCAGCGGCTCGTAAGTCAATTAAAAAGTCAATTTGTGTGGGTTCGCTGCTGGTTGCCATTACCACGGCACTTCTACGGTTTCCCGCGGGAAACTGAGTCACGGACACGGTTGCGTCTGCGGGTGAGGGAACGACTGCGGAGGAATCCCGAAGAACGGGCCAGTCACCAGCGGAATCGGCGGACACTGCGCCGCCATCTGGTCATGGACTACATCTTCGAGTGCTTCTTCGATGACACCTTTGAGCAGATCTCCAGGAACGGGCTGCAGGATCGCCAGTCCCGACGAGATGTCTTGGACCACCTCAGCTCCATAATTAAGGGCTGCAGCGAGGGACAGAACTCCCAAACGGAGGAAGTGGCTGCCATCGCAGTGACAGCAGCCATGAGATTCCATCGAATGGCCAAGGAACAGAACGGAAAGGTGAGAAAGTTTCCCCTTAACAATATATATCATTTAAAGTATAGGTGAAAAACATTCTAGCCTTTGTTATTTTATTGTTTTGTTTGTCTTTTTAGTTTGGTAGTTTCATTCCATTATTCTTTTTCTAAGAACTTCTGAGTAATAATAAAATGGCACTATTCGGCGAGATTCTTAGAAGCTCCCATTTAAACTACAATTTATCAAAGCTTTTGGCAGAATGCGAGGAAATAAATTAATTAAATTATTCAGTATGAAAAAAAAACATAAAATACGAGTTTATATGACACACACTTTTCATTTGCTCGATCCAAGTTTTCCTTTAACTTAAATTTTCTTCAAATTTAAGTACTTGTTGGCCACTTCGAAATTATTTATAGTTTAAAAAGAGAAGTTCTTCAAAGGGATTTAACCTGTTTTTCCCAGGTTTGCCTCATGGGCAAGTATCACAACATCCTGTACATCGGCCTGCGAACCTGCTGGGACTGGGGAGTTCGGGACTCGGAGGTGGTCGTTCAGCTGCTGGGTAAGTAAGCCCGGGCCAACTAAATAATTTAATTTATATGCATATGTATGTGGTGCGACATTCCGGAGCTCTCTTCTGTGTGTGTGTGTGTGTGTGTGTGTGTGTGCGTTTGGGGCGTGGCTGTTTGCTTAGCATATTTTAATGAATTTTATCCCCTTGCTTCGGATTATTACGCCCATAAGCAGGCAGTTTTAACTTTAATCACGTGTTTTTGCTAATTGCGTTAAGAAAGTGTTGCTGACGTTGTTCTGCTGCTTTGTTGTTGCTGTTTCTCTGTTGCTGCATCGTAAAACTTGTAAAGTGCCTCAAAGTGTTGCAAGTTATTTGGGGCGTGTGTACGAGTATACTGGCTGTCTCTAATTAAAATCCTGCGTAAACTTTTGCGAGCGGAGAAAGAGCCAGAAATTAATGGCATCCCACTGTCATGGGATCTGGACTCGTGTGCAATAAAACTGGCTCCTTGTTTGTCCTGTCCGCACTTGCTTTGTTGCCGAGCCGGGTTTTTTGGACCCTCTGCCCTTGGCTTGGCAAACATTCTGGCCTGTTTCCGCTTTCCGCTGACTTCATTTCTGAACCGAAAGCCAGAAAGCCAAAGGAGTCGGCCAAGCAGCAACAAGTGCAGCCGCGTAATTAGCTTTTTTATGGCTGCTCCTGCTGCGATTTGATGACATTATTTAACCGCTTTTTCCCCCTCCCGTCAAATTCGTGTCACTGGGGGAAAATCGGTCGAAAAGTGTATACAAATCTTGGTTTACGACATTATTCTCTATCAGATGGTAAAACATAAAATTAAAATGTAACTCTGCTATGAAATGTGTCTTTTGAACAAAGATACCAGGACCGAGCTAGAGCTAAAAACCGAACACAGTATCGCAAATTTCTGTTAAACATAGGTTTCCTGATTTTTCGGCCCTTAAAAGGAGCTAGCAAGAAAATATCTGAACAATAATGATAATACCAAGTATAGGAGTTTTAAGTTTTGGTTGTTAGCTGCATAAAACAGTCACTGTTTCAGCCGTGCGTCGTGTTTCGACAAAGTTAGAGCTAAGAGACGGCAAGAATCCGGGCTCTAAAAGACGTATACTTGACTTTGGGCCCCACAAAATCAGTTTTTCAGCCATAGCACAGCCAAAAATGGTCCAAATATGGAATGTAATACCTCGCAGGGCTTGTAATTTGATTACCATGATTCCCAATCAAGTTGCACTCGAATCGGGATAACTTCATTTTCGGCCATTTTTCGAAAATTTTGATGATGGTACCCCTTATAAAAAATGCGAAATTTAGCCGAAAATTTATTTTCCCAATATCGAAAATCGAGTGATAGGGGTGGTAAGTGGTGGTCGTAAGCAGCAGAAAAAAGTCGTTCTTTTGGCTGTGCGACTTTTTTTGACCGATCTAGAGCTAAGAAGCCGAACACAGTACTGCAAATTTCTGTTAAATATAGGTTTCCTGATTTTTCGGCCCTTTAAAGGAGCTAGCAAGAAAATATCTGAACAATAATGATAATACCAAGTATAGGAGTTTTAAGTTTTGGTTGTTAGCTGCATAAAACAGTCACTGTTTCAGCCGTGCGTCGTGTTTCGACAAAGTTAGAGCTAAGAGACGGCAAGAATCCGGGCTCTAAAAGACGTATACTTGACTTTGGGCCCCACAAAATCAGTTTTTCAGCCATAGCACAGCCAAAAATGGTCCAAATATGGAATGTAATACCTCGCAGGGCTTGTAATTTGATTACCATGATTCCCAATCAAGTTGCACTCGAATCGGGATAACTTCATTTTCGGCCATTTTTCGAAAATTTTGATGATGGTACCCCTTATAAAAAATGCGAAATTTAGCCGAAAATTTATTTTCCCAATATCGAAAATCGAGTGATAGGGGTGGTAAGTGGTGGTCGTTAGCAGCAGAAAACAGTCGTTCTTTTGGCTGTGCGACTTGTTTTGACTGATCTAGAGCTAAGAAACGGCAACGAAACCGGAGGAAATCACCGTTGAGAAGTAATGCTTTTTATATAATGATTTGCTTATCATAGATATATGTGAAATCGTCAAAGTTTTTCTCTTTTTTTATAATAACTTATGTATGCAGTGGCCATTTATGAGTGCGAGAAGACTTATGAACGGATCTTCCTGGGCGCCCTGTTTGGGCCACATGCTCCGCACTTCATCGCCGGTTGGCGCAGTGACTTCCAGGACCAGGTGAGAAAACGACAGCCCTGCTCCCCTTCTGGGACAGACACCCATGTAAGTCCTTTGTTTGCAGCACGAGAATGTCCGGGCGATGGTTTACTTTCTGAAGCACGCCACACGCCAACGGCTCACATTGCCCGTCTGGATTCCGCGCTTCGAACAGGAGCGGCAGCTCAGGTGAGTCCTCATCCCTCATTCCCGTCCTGACTTTCTGCACTTTCTCTGCTTTATCCGCACGGCTTTCATGTGTCGCGCTCTTTTGCTGCCTCGAGCAATTTTCACACTGGCCGGGTTAATTGGATAGTTGGCGGAGTGACATGTGAGCTCTCTATTCCCCGACCTACCTCGACATTTATGGCGGGCTTATATTTTTAAAATCACAGGCAACCTACTTTTGTTCTCTGAACACAAGACAATCAAGGGAAATGGAAGGGATATTACTTTCTTACTAAAAAATAACTAATACTAAACTACTTAAGTGATAAAACTAGTTTGATGAACGATTAAAGTAAATAAAACAAAGCTTTTTAAATTTTTACCACATAAGAGAAGGCATGCTTCCCAGCCTTAATTGTTAGCCAGTTTTCCTTTATAGTAATAATGTTTTCGGCAACAATGAGATACTATATATAACCCCGGGGAATTCAAGAGAACAGAGAAACAGCGAAAGTGAAGAGTAACCAGAGAAATGAAAGGATTTTAATTAAATTAATACATCAGCCATTGTTGTGGTGTCTGTGTGGGTGAGCGTGTGTTTGTGTGTGTGACTGCCATAATTGAGTGAAAGATGGCGACAATTTACAACCACAGTCACGACTACGAATACACCTATACGGAGAATGGCTCTCAATCACTGGCGGTGGCTTTTCTCTCACTTCTGCTGGTGTCATGTATAATTAAGATTTTCATTTGCAGCTTTCTTTCGGGGGTTTTCCCACCTTCCATCGCCCATCTTCCATCTTCCATCCCATTTTTCGCCTCCCCCACATGCACATGTGTGAGTGTGGGTGTGGCTCTGATGCGATAAGCTGAAAACCAACAGGCAGCGATGTAAACCTTTTGTTATTTCGGCTTTGTTCGCCAGCACTCCGGAGGATTAAAGTCAAAAATGCGTGTAATAAGCGCACAAAAGCATTCTCAACCCCACCACGCCCACTAATCCACACAGATACATCCTGCCCACACCCACACCACTGCAGAGTTGACTGTTTGCGCTTCTTAAGCAAACAGAAGGCAAAAAACTGACTGGCAAACATTAAGACGACATTTATGATGCCCTCTCGCAAAACAGCAGCCAAAGTCATGAATAAGCGTTAATAGCTGCAAATGTATGGGTGGCAGGAGTTCATGTGGGTGTGGGTGTGGATGGGCATGTGTGAGGGTGTGAGTGGGGAGAGGAGAAATACAAGCAATGTGACAATAAACGTTTCGGCCAAATGCCGTTGGAGCTGCATAAATCAGTGCTGGAGCAGCATATTGGCAAACTTTCCCCGCCACAGTGGGAACTCGCGAAGAACAATGAGGTTAGAACTTAAGGCAAACAGTGAGGTTTTATGAGAGGAAACACTTAGTAAAAGTTTAGGAATAGAAATGCTATTGCTTGAAGTTTTTAAATTTCCCAGGAAAATGAATTATTTCATGCAAAGTAGTAGTCGTTCCATTATTAAATTAAAGCCAAATTGTCAATTCAGTGTCATAAATTATTCATTAAGGCATTTAGTAATTGCACAGCTTAAGTGGCTTAAAAAAAGCTAGTTGCATTATTCCGCTGGCGTTTAGCATAATCCAGAGCTAGTCCACCTGCTGACTTAATGACACTTGGAATAATTTAATTCCTCCCTGAATGCAAAGCCGGGCAAGTTGATAACTCTCAGAGTCAGCCTTGGCTTAGAACGAAGTACGCACCGTATAGCAAAGACATTAACAGTAAACCCCGGCTAATACTGCGCTAAGCAGACCATTAGACAGAAATTTGATTTGTCAGCCCACTCAGCAGCTGATAAAAGTGTTAATGTTTGACTTAAGGGGCGAATCACTTCCGACTGGCGTAGAATGTGCGAGCCATGAGGTGTTATATAAGGCCATTGAGGAACCTGTCACAAGGAGCGATCCGGGAATGTCTTGATTCTTGCAGGGACTCGCTTTTATCGCTGCCAATAAAACGCAAATGAATTTGCCAAGCCAATTTTCCAGCTGTCAGTGGTTGCTGGCTCGAAATGCGCTTATCGTCTGCTGTGTGGGTTACTTCCGGTTTATTGTGGTTTTTGCTCTTTTATTTGCCTACTTTTATGTGTAGACATAAAAGCCCTGCGTTTATATGCGTATGTGTGTGGGTGTAGTGTGTCGCAAATGTGCTTTAAGTGCATTGTACATGCTAATGCCTGAATGGAGACAAACGCCCTCCACTCACAAGGCACATTACGTATACGCAATGTCAACCTTACAGGCACAGGGAAAAATATTACAAGAAGTACCTATTTGGCATGTCAAAGTATCAGATAAAGTTTGGTTTTTAAGTATCAAAATGATTTATTAACTGGTTTTAAGGTTAAAGGGGATCTGACTTATCTGTTGAGAAGCTTTAAGTTGATATTAAGAATTTAGTCAGATTTATATATTTTTCTTTCTGTGTTTCTTTCACTCTGACGGAAGGGAAGATGAGCAACAAGCGACTTAATTGAGGTCTGGCATTCGCCCGGGCTCATTTTCTCCGCTCCTCAGAGTCCTGCTAATGTGCGAAGCCCATTTTGATGCTTGTCGCCCATTAAAGCGGCCACAAAGAGTGGCCCAAACGCAGCCCTGCGACATTTACTAACTCGGAACTTGTGTCCTAAAACTGACTTATCCCAATCCGGTTCTTTGTTCTTATTCTTTTGCAGATTTATTGATGTTCCTATCGAGTCCTGCGGCAAGTCCTCGCCCCTTCGCATCGCCCTGCAGGCAAACGCTCCTGAACTGCTGCTCATACTGCTGAGGTAAGTCGTGTCCCCGGAGAAGGACTTCCGGGCTGGCAGGAGGGGAAAGTGCCAGCGACTGCCACTTCAATTAGCGAGAAATATGCAAAGCGGTCGCCACTTGGCGGCGCCGCAATGTATGCAACATAAAATACGAGACGCTTAGCATAAGCAAGTGCTCGCGAAGCCACAAGAAAACGCGAGGAAAACCCAAGGAGAGGATAGAGAAAATAAAAGGAAAAATTATCATTAAATATGAAAGTCGCTGCCAAAGCGAATTTGCATCACAAGGCGGTCTCCGGCGAGTCTCATGGTCCAAAAAGCAGCTTGTAAAAAGTTACGAGCATGCACTCTGGTCCTCAGCCGAGATTCATAAATTTATATGTAAACGCTTGCAGTTGCGACTTGGTCCTAGTACTGGTACTGGTCCTGGTCTTGCGTCCTTGACTTTCGCCGTCCCGGCAATTTATTGTTTCCTAACATGATATAGCCGCGGCCACGCCCCTTGGCCGCCCAGCCATTTCGTTGGCTTCGGTTTCAATTTTTGATGCAGCGCCAAAAAGGATGCTTTGCATAAAATGCGAGTATTGATTGCAGGCCAAAAAGGCGAGTCACAAAAAAGTCTCTGTCAGCAAGTCGCTGAGGCGGCTGAGACACCCGGCTGTCAAAGTTTATGTCGATGGCTGGCGGAAGGCAGCTTGCATTTCATTAGATCAAGATTTTCACAAAAAATTATTCAATTTCCGCAGGTCCTTTGGCTTGAGTGGCATATTTTATGTGATTTTTTGCTAGGAGCAGGAAAAACAGTTTTTAAAACTTGTAATGCTTCATAAACTTTTTTATTTTGCTTCCAGGAAGATAAAAAGTTCTAGCTTTGTAATCTTTGTTTACAAACTTATTAGATTAAAGCAGTTATTTATTTTTCTTGGAGGACTTTGAGCGTCTTATTTTGAAAGCTTTATCATTTTTACAATTTTGAATTCGTTATTGATTTTTCAATGGTATTTACTGTACTCACAGTTGACCTTGTGCCCGTTGAATTTCATTTCGAACTGCGCCCAAAGGCGGAGGCCAAAAAACGACTTCAATATCTCTGCCAAATTAAATTCCGAATAATTTCTTGGGGAATTCCTTGCGCTGTCTAACAATTTGCAACATTATTCCCCCTTTTGTAATCCGACGAAATTAAAAGTGAATTCCTCCACCGCACCGCGCCCAAAGGGGGCGTAATGCGGAAAGAATGCGCATTATGAGGCAGAGGCCAGCAGTGGGTTCGGGACTCAGGATTGAGCACGAGATTGAGATTCCCGCCAGCTGTGCTGATTGCACCGAGCAAATTGCAATTGCAATGGCTTCGATTGATGGCAAATGTTTGAGTTTGGCTTGCCAATTCCCTGCTGGCCCCCCGTTTCCCTCCATTTTCCCCAGGGGTATTTGGGAGGAGGATTTGTTTCTGTTTCGGTTTCTGCGTCGTCGCCTTTCCGCCTCGCCTGATTTTTATTCTGATGCGGCTGCCGTTTTTTCCAGTTACTGATGCTGATGCGGCCATAAATTTTCGATATTGTTTCGCTTTTGTGTGTTTAATTTGCGTTTCGCTTTTCGCTTTGCTGCATTTTCATTTGAAATTGGCCATAAAATATGCAAATGAATTCCTTTCTCCCTTCTTTTCCCACTGCCAAATTGATTTACTAGTGGATAATTGCGCATACGCCACGTGGCTCGTGACTTTGTACCGTAAGCGAAGAGACAATATTTATATGACGCCGGTGGTAAAACACCAAATAAATAAGCGAAACATATAAATTACAATGCTTATCAGCCAGAAAATGAGAAATGCAAATGTGGGCGGGGGGAGATTTTTGACAAACATTTTCAATTTAAAAAGTGACACCACTGCCGGCGCCATTTGCAATTTGCACTTCATTTGCCATTCACTCAGGTCCGTCTGTATGCAGAGAGAGAAATCTCATGAACTTCAGATACGGCAAGTTATAAATTGTACTCCGACATCATATAATAAGAGGAATTTGAAAGGCCATACTTTCTATATTAAATATCTTTTCATGACAGTTCGTTTTCAGACTTTTCCCTCTGTGTACATGTGTACATCTCGGCCTTTGTGTATGTGGTCTTGTGCAACTGACACAACCGCGAGTCGTGTCTGTTCATTATTTCATTTGTACATTGTGTTTATCGGGGCATCTAGCATTTATTGCCGCCCACCACATGCCGACCGCCCACCCGCCTGCCGACCTCCGACCCATTTGCATTGACCGCAAGCAAACCAACTACGTGCTGGCAGCTTGTATCTCATTTGCAAACAGTTACCCACTCCCGACCGCTGCCACGCCCCCTCTGACAATCTCTGCCCCCTCGAATCCGTTGCAGATACGGTGCCGCACCACAGCCGCCGGACGGAGGCGCCTCCGTAATTATCGCACTGCTCGACAAACTCATCGAGGATGGCCGCAATTACAGTTTCGAACTGGTGATGTGCCTCAAGATACTCCTACGCAATGTGGCCATGATTGAAATGCCCTTTAAGGTGAGTGAAGGGGTAATTAACTTGGTTTCCTTTCAGGATATATAATTTGGGATGTACTCAGGGCTAACCATGTAACTGGTGTCCTCATAGTAAGATGAAATCATTCAAGAAAATGTATAACAAGCCATAAATCTACATCTATTTTTAGTACTTTTGAAGTATTCATTACCCCTATATTGCAGCCCCTTTTGTATGCTTCCCGAAGAGAAATGTTCTTCGATCGCTATGGCCGCCTGTTGATGGACAAGATTATTGGCAAGGATCAGGTCTACGGAGTGCCCAGCCTTCGACATTTATGCCGGTAATTATCAACTTTGAACTGTCGTTTTCCCAGGGGATGAATACTCCTTTGGACACTTGACTTGCTGACTAACAATGAAATGCCCACGTCTTTTCGTCGGACAGAGAGATTAGGGCAGGGCGGATGGAGAAATGGAGTCTGACAGCCATAATAAGTTTCACTTTTTTATTCAATTACTTTGGCTTAGGTCCGCCACGCTTGCTTAACTTCCTACGGGCAGACAATTCGGCGATAAGCCCCAAAAATGAAATAAGCATAAGACAGGAGCCCAACTGACTGCCTGACAAACTGACAAACTGACAGACTGTCTGGGCCTTAAGTTGACAAGTTTCCCTCGTCCTGGAGCCTTTGTCATGCGGCTCAATGCAAGCTGGCCTCCTCCTTTCTTTCATGTATTGTATCCAAGTTTGGGGTCGAAACTTTGCCGCTTGCTTCACTGACTCGGTCACAATGTAGTCAAATGTCGGCCAACTTAATGAATTAAATCGATGCGAATTTCTTTGCCACTTTGATCGGTAGAGAAGTTTCTGTGGAGAAGTTTCTTCGTTTTAATTCGATAAGTTGACGTCTGCCTTCGATAAGGTTCATGCGACTCCATATGCGGGGTCGCAGCACATATGTGCCGCTTATTTGCCGAGCACTCGGTGACCCGATGATGCCGGGTACACAGAAATACAAATATATTTGCCTCCGCCTGCTCACGTGTCACAAAAACGTCCATTGACTTTGGTTCCCGTTTCAGCTGGGAACCCGTTTCCCAGCTTGTTTGCAAGTTTGTTTTTCTCTGGCCAATGTTTGCGATGTGGAAACTCGCGCTCTTGGCCTGCATTTACACAGTGGAACCTTGGTATATGTTATTTTCACTCGAGATCAATTTTGAGTAATTTCTTAGTTTTTTAATCAGTTTAATAAAATTTTCCATTATTTTATGTTTCATGAAAGCTCAACTAGAATCAGTAAAACTATATTCTCCTTTGCCTGAACTTATTACATTTCTTGGAAGGACATTTTCTACTGTATTTGCACTTGAGTTGGCGTCCACTTGTCGAGGCTTCAAGATGGGTCTTGAAATGAGGGTCTTTGCATTTGATTTATATGGTCTGCGGCAGTTCGTTTCGGTTCTCTAGCCAGTCATTTTGCCATTTCAATTTATGCAAATCTCTGTGGCACCCGCACCGAATGCATGCATAACGCATTACATTACGCATTGACCCCAAATCAGAGTCTCAGAGCGAATGTGACTATTGCCGTCATAGGGCATACGCCCAGGCATCCTGACTTCCGGAGTGGCGCCCACAAGTAGGCAACGCTTTTGTTCCTCTTTTTATGGCTGCTCAGTGGCTTCCGCCTGCTCATCTTTTTCCCCTTGGGCGGTGTCAGCTTGCTTTATTGATTGGTCGAATTTGTCGTCGGTGGCCATAAAAAAGCCAAAATATTGCCAGAACAGAGAAACTTGACAGGACAAATTAACATGGACATAAACTGCGGAGTTCCTGGACGGATCTCCCCGGCAGCCGATTATTAGCATGTTGTTAGGTTCTCCCTGCGTTTTACGACGCCAATTTGGAGCTCACTTTTCGAAGAATTTCGGACAAGTTGCCGCTGCTACTTCCCCGAGTTATCAAAAAGCCACTTTACAGCAGGCCCCACACACTGTTAAACTTTCCTGAAAGCTTTCACTACGCCTCTAAGTGGAAGGGCCAAAAAGAATCCGCTACCAATATCCGCTACTTTAACTTCTTCCTTTAGTTTAGCGGGCAACTTTAGTGAAAGTTCTGGCCCGTTCTCCTTTTTTTCTTTCTTTCGCTGCCTTTCACTCACGAGAAAAGTTTTAAGCACATGAACTTTGTTTGCTGCGCGGATTTTTTTGGTTCCTCGTATGAGCTTATTGTGTGAAACTTAAATTAATTTATGAAATATCCCGCTGAGATTGACATGAACAGTGCCTGAAGCCGAGAAAAGTATACCAAAATGTCTCGAGCAGCTCGACAGCCGTCAATCCTGCAAACTATTTTCGAGCTATCATATTCCAAGAAGCAAATTAAGTTAAGTGACACATAAATTAATGCCGTATATCAGAGTATTATATGGAAAAGTTGTCCTTGCTAGCTAAAATTGGTTTTTATATGAATATTTTTCCAGGATGTCAAGAGGGTATAGCTGTCAAAGGGTTTCAAGCACCTTCAATGTATTATTAAAGAGCTTAAAAAATGATTTCCCTTTACAGCTGCTGCATTCGCGATGTCCTGCGGGAGCACAACCAACTGCCGAATGGCATCGACACGCTGAGGCTGCCGAAGCGCCTGCAACGCTACATCGATCTCACCGAGGAACTTGAAGGTCCCGAGGCCCAGACGGAGGAAAAGGATCAGAGCCGGGGGAAAGCCGTGCCCAAATGCAAACTGGGAAGTGAGGTGCCCCGCCTGGAGACCATCAGCAGTGCGGGAGAAAGTGAGGACGAGAGTGAGAATCATGTGCAGCTCCTGCAGGCTGTCACGGATCCGGAAAAAGCGGCTCTGGCGGCATTCGTGGCCACTGGCGACGGTGCCTATACGGAGGAGGCCAAAAAGGCAGCGGTGGCGGCATACGTGGCTGCCTGTCCTCCCGATTTCGATCCCGATTTTCCACCAATTTCCCTGCCCGGGGAACCCAGATAGCCAAATACATAGGACTAGCACTCACCGATAGGTTTCCTCGCTGACATTGATGCGGCCCGGAACGCCCGTGGTCTCCGTCCGGCTGGTGAGATTGACCGTATTTCCAAATAGACAGTAGCGCGGCACCCGGTTGCCAATCACTCCGGTCACCACTTCGCCGGAATGGATGCCTATGGTGATTTGCTGAAAAGAAGGACCAAACAAGAATTTATAATCTTAGGATTTGTAAGGGAATTTATCTAGAAAATAAACAGCCGTGGCTAAATTTATGATCTGAATGGGTGAGAGAGTTTATCTGGCTTCGCAAGATCTTAAAAGGGCACTTCATTGCGCTAATAAACTTTCGCCGGCAAGAGTCCCATCATCAACACCCCCGAAAGTTACCAACCGCAACGGAATGTAGCTGGAAAAACCAAGCGAAAGTTGCCACAATTACTTTCCAAAAACTTGCTACAGCAGTAGGAAAAAGTTTTCTTTAATTAAATTTAAAACGAAATGAGCGGCGAGCAAAGAAAAAGACCAAATCCCAGCCCCGCCCACCAAAGGTCCTTGTTAGTAGGTGACGATGCTGAAATCCAGAGGAGAAAGTCCGGGTGCCTTGCAAAAATGCAGGGCCAAGAGAATATGTGCAAATGGGTAAAGTGCCAACAGCTCAGAGATAAAAGCGAAGGACGAAAGTTGTAATTACCAGAAAAACATTACATAAAACTAATTGCCAAGGCGGCAGCCTGCGATAAGCGAAAAATAACCAAAACTTTCTGAAGAAAGTCGAATGGGAAAAGAATTTTGCAACTAAATCAAATCCAATCAGTGCACTGCATTGCTGATGAATGATTCAACAGCGAGCTCGAATCAGAAGTCAATCACTCAGTTTCCTTTGATTAAGTAATGAAGAAACGGAATAAACTTTTCAGTAATTCAGCAGTGTTGTCTAGCAGAGTATAGCTTCTGTAAAACTTGTTGTATTCACAAATTGCATTTGTAAAAACCAAACATATTCTAAGAAATGTTTCTTAGGAAAAATAACACAGTTTTCCCCCAATTAGGTAGTGCAACTTCTTGCTAAAAATGCCCTCGGACATATCCATTCTAGTTCTAAACTAGACTCCGAAAATTGCTGGTTTATTTTTAAACATCAGCCAAGATGCACGGCAGTTGGGAGAATGATTTTTCCTGGCACGCCCTCCAGTGTATAAAATACACAGTAACTGCAGAAAGTTTTTGCTGAAAGCCGAATCAATATTTATGGACTGCAAGCACAGGAAGTAGCCAACAAAGAGTTGAGAAAAACTGGCAGTAAAAGCGGGAAAAGGAGGGCTGAGCAAAGTTTTTGCATGAAGAAAAACATCGGTATAATTGGCTTCATAAACGGAGGAGGCGGCTAAGGGCGTGTGGCGGGATGACTAGCTGCTGCTTTTTATCAGGATTTAATGAAGCGCAAAATGACGCCAGTGGCGGCGAGGGGGAATCTCGTGGAGGAAAGGGAATGGAAGGGGGTAGAGTCCTAAGAGAGGGCAGTGCAACAGGCTCCGATGTCGTGTCCCAGTTTTTGCCATTAGTCGCCCGTGGCGTTTGTTAATTGCATTTCGAGCGATCTATCAAACGTTGACTCGATTCTTGAATTCCCCTCTTTTTTTTGCCAGCACGAAGGGGGTTTCCCTCTGCATTACCAAGAGCAATCAGTCAAATATGAAATACTGACAGCCACAAAAACTTGACTGCAGTTGCGGCGAGGCCGGATGGAAATGGAGAACAGTGGGGCCTGTGGTGGGCGGAACAGATGGATGATCCCGGGACCAGGACCGAAAGAAGAGTTCCTTCTGAGGAGAGCCACCGGCAAGACGATAAGGTAATGGAATTTTAGCAGCAGAAGAACAACAACTCTGACAATAAAGCCAAGTGACACGAGCCCCGGCAAGAGTTCTTAGTTTGTGTGGGAGGATATGACACACGCACACAGATTCTGAAATACATGTACTATACAGTAGGGTGGTCTATATAGTATTATTATGGATTTTATTTGTTAATTTAATTAAAATGTTGAATAGCATTCTTATTATTTCAATATTTATAAGCACTGAGTACCTCTTCCAAGCTTAAATATTTAAGAGAACTTAAAGTTGGTATCCTTATTCTCTCTTAAAGGTTTCTTTTTGCCCCGTTTTTGCACATCGAGCCACCCTGTTATACATACAGATGCCAAGACATGTGCAAAAAGTGACTGACAAGCCACAAGCATTGTCCACACGTACAATGCTGTAATTGTGAAGGATGCCATCAAGTGGGGCATCCGCATCCTCGTCCTCATCCTCATGCTCGTCCTCGTCCTCGCCTCGTCCTGTGGATCAGCCACCGCCTCTCCTTTCCCCTTTTTTCATCTCTATATCTGTGGCCCTGCATGTGTGCAGTGTATTTTAAGCCCGAGCACTCAAAGCAAAAGTGTTTAAGCCAAAAAAAAGATAGTAACAGCAGGCAGGAGGCCTTCTGCTCGTCCTCATCCTCATCCTCATCTTCATCCTCATCCTCGGCCAAGTTTCAACGTCTCTGGTGACAGTTGACGGTCAAGTGGCCACTGGCAAGGATCCGAGACCATGTACCATGGTCCGTGCTGCGTCCTTTGACATTGTGTGTCATCAATTTTGAATTAATTTTAGCAATTTTCGCAGTTTTCTATCCGAAACTTTTCGCCCTCGCCTTTCGCCGGGCAGAGTGAGAAACTTTGTTAAATGAACTTTTTTCGCACTTGCCCTGCTGCCACGAGTTGTTAATATTTTACGTGCACTTGCCACTCAATCCGGCCAGTCGAGGGTTAAGAGATCAGGGGATGGGGCATAGACATTGAAATTTATGCCCCATTGAGTTGCTGTTGCTCAAAATGGCGAATGGCGTATGGCGTATGGCGAATGGCGAATGGAGAATGGCGCATTCAGCAACAAATTGCGCGAACATGCTGCAACTTGCATGCTCACACGAACGAACAAAAACACGAGCGAGACAATTTTCCAACTACTTTCAATGCGCACAATTAGAGTGACGGCCCCTGGAAAAGAAAAGCCCCCCTTTCCATCCCAGCCCCATATTTTCATCCGCGGGCACTTGAGCAACTTGAACATAAGTTGCCGGTTGTGAATGCATTTCTGTTGCTCGGCAAACGCTGCATAAATTGTGCCACAAAAGAACGATGCCAAAATATGCTAAATGCGATAAAAAGCAAAGCCGAGATTGAAACACAATTGCGGTGAAACTTAGCGAGTTTTCCTTTTGTTAAACATAGTTTTTGAGCTGGAGTTGACCCATGAGCTTAATTCATAGTCTTGTCAAGCTTATTTAATGTCTTTTTAGTTTATAAAATAAAGTAAAAGCAAAAACTCACCACTGGATTGGAGCCCATTTTGACGTTCTTGGCCATGTCCATCATATCGAGGGCCACTCGCGCCATGCACTTGGCATGATCCTCACAGTGGTCGGGCAGCCCGGAAACGGCCATGTACTTATCGCCAACAGTTTCCACCTAAAAGCACAGACATGCCAATGAATCCTTTAGATTGGCCAAATTGAGAGGTGGCCCGAAAAGGGGGACGGCATTGCATCATTCTTGTGGCCAGGTAAAAAGTGTAATTAAGTGGCCATTGCAGGTGGCTGATGGCCAGCTTGTGGCACCTGCATTTGAACTCTGACCCACCTTGTACACATTCAGGTTCCGCTTGGAGTCGGTGAGCGCGTCGAAGACCGTGTAGAGCTCATTCAGCATTTTAACGATTTTCATGGCCCCATCGGGATCCGTGTTGGCCGCGCAGTATTGGCCAAAGCCCACGATGCCGGAGAACATCAGCGTCACGGAGTCGTACCTGTCGAATGGCACAGCAAGTTTCTTCCCATAAATAAACAACCACAAATATGGCGAATTGTTTGCGTTTTGCAGCATATGGGGAAGGAGTGCACAGAGGAAAACATTCCCATAATGGATATATAATATGACTAAGACTATGTAAAAGCATGGCTTTCTCTCTGTGCACTTTATCCCCCAAGGACAAAGGTAAAGTGGCATTTTCTTACCGTTTGGGCGGCACTGGTCGCTGATGTCGTAACTCATTGGCCACCGACTTTGGCAGCACCGAATAGAGCAGCCTGTTAGGGCCAGGATGAAACAGCAGCAGAAAGAATGCAGAAACATGGAAAAGTAATTTCAATTTCGCGCCTGAGAGAATTGCGCGCCATTAAGGAGTCGGTCCTGTCATTTGTCATTTACCTGTCGGTCTTCTGCTTCTCGCTCTCCAGATCGCGGAAGGTCTGCTGCAGCTTGTCGGTGAGCATCTCCAGGTTCTTCGTTAGCTTGTACTCCGCCTCGAACTTCTCGGAGAGCAGGACCAAATCCCTGGCAGCGTCGTGCAGCGGCACATCCGAGATGTAGAGTCCCTTCCTGGAAAACAGGACACATTCCACGTTCCGGTGAGTTCAAAGATGAGGCACGTGGGTGTAAAATGGAAAAATGACACGCATTTTGTTTTACTTAAGTCTTCTTGAAGTCGCCTGGCAGAAAATAGAAGCCAGGCGAAGTGAAATACAGCGAAGAGGCAACATTTTAATGTCACCCATAAATTCAGCCAGCTGAAGGCGCATTTGTTTCAATTTGACTGCGTGTGTAAAACCTTTAGGTTATTGCCTAATGCCGCATTTAAGAGCTAATGTCTTTAATATGAGCCCGCTCAGGAATTGAACCAGGTAAAGACACATGAGCTTCATTTTTACAAAGCCCTAAAAATGTTCCGGGGGAGAGTAATTTTGTTGGTCTTAAGGAATTTTTACTTAAAGATTAATTTCAAAAGCATTTTGCGTACTTCCACCATACCCCTTATCGCAGAGTTCCCTGGAACCCATACTCACTTTGTCAGATCGTCCAGATTCATGACACTGGGGTAGCATTGGAAGAGTATCCGATCCGTTTCCGGAATGTACATCATTTGTCCCTTTGGAGCACAAAAGAAGAACAGATTATTTGTTATTTGCGGGGAACGAGAGGTGGCCATTGCAATAAAATTGATTTTTATGCCGCACTCTGTGGCAGGCCAAGCATTAAGTTTAATGCCAGGGGCGGCTGTGCGTAAGGGTCCATTTGGAAGCTGGATTTTCATAACCGTTCCAGACACTTTGATGGCTCATTGGCCCATGCTCACCTTCAGTCTCAGAAAGCGCTGCTCGTGCCGGCTGCTCATGGCCCCCTGACGTGTCTGCAGGACATAGATGGTGTTTATGTGGGACAGGATGTTCTCGAAGTTGAGCTGCAGGTGCGGCCGGATGGCCTCCACCACCTCTATCAGGGAGCAGTTCTCCTCGGCGACTCTAAAGGGGGAGCACAGAAATGAATATTCGTTAAACATAAAATGGAATACAAGTTGGGTAAGTCAAGGAAAACAGAAAGCTTCCTTTTTCTCCCTGTGCATTTCAAATCCGAGCTCCTCACTTAGTCGAATGGCCCCAGCCATCCTGCTAATGGCCACTAATCGCAAACAATGGCTCATAAGTAAATGGCGAAGTGTAAACCGGCGGCAAGGACTCACCTGGGAATTACTCGAGACACAGCCTTGCCGGCCTGAACGATTTTCATTTGCCTATCGAACATCAGGTGGAAGGGGAACACCTTGCAGAATGTGGCGGGCGATATGAGTGGAGCTGTGAGAGGAGGACAGTTAGAAGGTCAGAAGTTGCAGCCAGGATTAGCCAGGCAATTAGTCTGAGTAACGCACTCACCTTCGCATAGGAACTCCATGTCATCGGGCACCTCGTCCTTTTTGGCATCCACCTGGGATTTGGCGGCCACGTTGATCTCCCGTATCAGGAACTGCACGTGGTCGTAACGCTCGATGTCGTCGCTTTTGTTCTTCAGCAGTCTCAAACACTTCTGCTCCTTGTCCCCGTCGCAATCGAAGCTGTCCTGGGCAATGGGACACGTGTTTAGCGCTATGGCGGGCTCTGAAATGATGATTAGAATTTACCAAAAAGTAAGTATAATCTGTTAATAAGCTTACAAATTAAAGTAGAGAAAGTTTAAACTGGTCTTTTTACCAGAGTTAGTGAGTCAGTTAACCAAATTAATCTGATGAATATAATTAAGGCAAAGCTAATTTCTTTTTCATAATTCAATGGATCAGATAATTCCATTTCAGTATAATAACCATATCTGTCACTCTTCCTATACTAACTGCATACAACATAATTGAGTTTCATTCAACAAAAACGGCTTCTAGCTCCTAAAAACTCAAAAGCAGCCATCGAATATCATTAAAATCAGAGCAAAGTCACAAAGTTTTCTCGTTACTACGTCCGTGGATTGTACAAATAAATGAATAAATAAATGCCGGGCAGTCGATACAATTTACATTTATTGTCAGTTCAGGTCTGTGAATTCCGCAATATGTTAATCGGGGCGGGGCGACTACTTTTTATTATTTATTCTGCCTTGCTGTTACCTGTCTCGCTGGCAATCTGTTGGCCATCGTTGTTGTTGTTCACGTTGGCGTTGTTGCCGTTGTTGGGCATTCCATTATTGCTGCCATTGCTGCCATTGTGATTATTGTTTCGCTCGGCATCCGTCGAAGGAGCCAGGACAACCGTTGCCGATCCCGTCGTCGTCGTGGCCATCGAGTCCTCCTGCAGTTGCTGATTTTCCCGGGCGATGGCCCGCTCCTTCTCGGCCTCGTCGATGGGCTCTCCCTTGCGCTTGACAATGTCGATTTCCACCTCGACGCCATGCAACTTGGATGCGACGGCCTGTGGGCAATAGATATAAGATATAACCGGAGCGGAGGCGTCAATGGGTCTCCGACTGGGAATCGGGAATGTGAATGGGAATGGGAAAGGGGCAGGGGATATATATATATATATCTCACCTTGACGATGCCGATGACTATGTGCTCGAGGCCGGGCCGTTCCGAGTAGTAATGGAGGAGCAGCTCGCCATCCTTCTCCGTGCAGCGGAAGGAGGGAGCCCGCATTCCGGGGTACAGGGTGCCCAGGTGGTCGTGCAGGGCATCCAGATTCTGATAGATGCACAGAGAGAAAAAGAGCAACAAAATAATGTCAAATGAATTGCAAACGAAACAAATATAAACAATCATTTACGAAGAGCCATTCGATAAATATGTAAAAAGTATTTCGGAAATATCATGCTGACCGAGGAGGAATTCAGAGGAGGAATTGATGACCAATACTTGTGGTGTTTCCTCGCCGTGTGGCATTGTCGTTGTTGATGTTGCGGTGGTGCAGACGAAAAAATTCAATTTCATTTTTCATTATGACAAAGGATTCGAGGAGCATTTGCGGTGAAAAATGTGGAAAATTGAAAATAAATCGAATGTGAGTGCAACAAAAGGCGTCGAGGGAAATGGGTTACGGTTCGAGTGGGCGTCGTGTGCGCTCAAGCAAAATACTTAATGCTTATCAATGATGGCGAATGTCGAGCTCGATGACTGAGACTGGAAGCTGCCAAGGGAGCAGCATGAAAAATGACTTCAAAGTCGATTGGCCAATGCAATTGTGCCCCAGATGCATGGTAGATGAGTGTGAAATGGCCTTCAATTAAGTTAACTGTTCGGTGTGTATATAGTAAATAAAGCCATTACCTGGAGGAAATCCCGGGGCGTGGCTCCCAGCACTTGCAGGATCTTATCGTAGCCCGAGTCCTGGCAGAACTCGAAGAAGGTCTTGCCGAACAGCTCCAGGATGTCATCTGCGGGAATGTCTATAAGGAGAAAAACACATTAACGAGCTTGCTCTTTACGACCCACCCACATATGCTTAACCAACAAAAAACGGAAACAGAGCACACCAGCTAACTACTTACTGAGTATCTCGACAGCTGCTCCAATTAGATTGTATGTTATTTCATCGTCGTAAATTTGTCGCACCAGAAACTGCCCCTCCATGCTGACCATGGCCTTTTTCCTGGATCCCGGGCCGAGCCAAAAATAAGCAGCCATCAAAATCGAGTCGGGCGAGACCGCAAAATGAAATGACAGCGAAGGGTTTTCCCCGCAAAAGCAAAAAAAAAAAAGAGAGAGAGTGGCAAATACATTAATTTTAATTAAATTGCTTCTGTGCTCGTGAATTTATGAGTGAGTGGCCGGCATTCCTCCCTTCTGGCCGTCTGTGTATTTTTTGGCGGGCTGCTGCCCATATGGCGGTCACTTTATATGCTCTTTCATATTTATGTTTTTAATTAAGCAATGAAGACAAAATAAAGCCCTTCAAATGAGATTTCTCGGTCAGCCTTAAAATGTGGCGAGGGTTTCGGCTTTCCTTTGCTCGTTAAAGGATTTTTAAAATGCGTTGCTTTGTTCTTTGTGCTCTTTTGGGGTTTTTATAGAAATTGGATGTAGGAGTAGCCCTAGCTCTTATTAATTCATAAGGATGTGATGTATTCGTTTTACTAATGAAATGCTGATGCCCTGTTTCTTAACATATTAGTTATGAAGTGAAGAACTAGTGAATGGTGAGTCAAACTAATTTGAAGATTTCCTCTAAAAATATCTTTATAGTTTCTTAAAATAATATTTTGTGGAATTAAGTAACTTCCCAAGTTAGTAGTGCAAGCAGTTCCCGAACACCAAGCAGAGCAGATACTTCCTGCTTGCAGTTCGCTCGAGCAAGCAGTTTAAACTGAACTGGCTGTGGGTGCACTTCCTGTTGGTCATGATTTCTTAATTTCTTGATGTTTGGCTTCCCAATAAATCCGAAATTGAGCTTAATGATGATAGCTTAGACCAGTTTCGGGGATAAAATCCTTTAAATTTCTCTCAGAAGTTAACTGGATTTTCGGAAAGTATTTTATATTCCTTCTGGAAACTTGGCTGCGATTTGCATTGAATAACAATAATAGAGAAAAAGAAAAGCCTTCGGTGGCCCGCTGCTGAACATCGTGCAAATCGACTTTATTATTTAATAGAACTTGCGCCAAGCTGTTACCAAAACAAATTGAATACAACGTGCCGGCACAGCGAAAGTAACCAAGAGAAAGTCGGGAAAAAGCGCCAACGCGGCGGAATTGAACATGAAAATCGTGTGGGCGGGGGGAAGGGTGAAATAGGAGAGAAAAAAGTAATAGAAAAGTAGATATTGTACGTGCGAAAGTTTTTCCATTTTCCCTACGCAAAACTTCTGATTTGTCGGGCCAAAGTGGGCGTGGCATCTCGCAGGTGAGCGTCGCCGGCGAAGGCGAAGTGAGGTATTTCATTATTGCTCATTTCAGATGCGAAATGCTGTTGGATTGCAGAATGTGTCAGCAGCTGTCGCTGAAAAGTGAGAAGTATTTGCACCTCCAGAGGGGGGATAGAGCTGTTGCAGCAGCAAGCATTTAATATTGCAATTTCTCAGTCACTCACATGTAGCTGCTATTTTATTGTAAAGCTGATTTTTAATTTCCTGAACTGCCAGCGGACACTGAATAGGAAACAGGAATGTGGCAAAAGAGCTCGGCTGCCAAGAAAACCGAAGGAAATTCATGCATATTACACACCAAAATGGAAATTGATTTTCGCCCGACAATTTATTATTCTACACTCTGTGAAATATACTCATGCATGTATGGCATGCGGTTGAGCGAGGGTAGAGTCGAAATTAAACCAAGATTTATGGCAAGTGCATACATAAAGTTTACGACTACGGACCTTAAAGTCCCTCAAATGGCCAGTGAGCTGGAAGTGAAGATTGCAGCTTGCTCATTTAATAAATTCTGGTTTCATTTAATTGCTCAGCTGAGGTGAGAAGCTTTCAGCATCCTCTGCCCGTCATGCTCCTATCTCCTATCTGTTCGCAATTTAATTTCATAAAGTCAACACTCCGCCGGCAAAATGTCTATCATTTTTAGTGTGCCAGCAAGGCAACATTTTGTGCCGTAAATTAAATTATGCTGCACGTTTTGGCCCAGCTTACCTGCCGCCCATCACTGCGTATGATTGATTTTTATTGATTTAAATGTGCGTGTCTTGTGTGAGCTGTCTGTCTGTGTTTCTCTGGGTTTTCTGGTTTCTCTGGCTTCTCTGGCCTCGCCTTTTGATCGACAACTTAATTGAAAAAGTTAATGTGCGTGGAGAAAGCGAAAATTGTCCATAGGATTCGGGCACGTTCTTTTCTCTTTTCGGCTCGACTCTCCTCCTATCCTAATGCAATTTGTCATTAAATCCCCGGGCACACACATCCACAGTGAAAAAGTTAGCCATTAAATTTGGCACATTTGCGGCAGCATAAGCGTCAATTAATGCGAGCTGTAAAAATTAATTACGCACACACGCAGGCAATTTATGGCTCCTTCTTCGCCTTCATCTTCATACTGCGTATACGCCGCGTTGGCCTGGTAAATGCAAGGCGACACTTAGTAGCTTCCTCCCATCGCTTTCATTACAAATTCAATTTCCGCTGGGCAAGCCAGCCCCTTTAAACTCATTTAAATATTGTTTACTCAGTGACAACGACAGGCGGCCAAAACTAAGTGGCTTAATCTGCGAAAACGGCCAACGAGCCAAGGAGCCATCGAGGTAGGGAGGCAGGGAGGCGGAGTCAAAGAGCAAGAGAGCCGCCTAAGAAATATGAAAACATTTCGCGCCTAAGTAGCTTAGGCCAACGCCCAAGTGTTTTTGTTTTCCCTCGCGATTGTTGGTTTAAGTTTCACGCGCATTGCCTTTCCAGGATCGAATCTGTATATATATACTGGGTATATATCCTGTGTACATATCCCCTGGCAGGCCACCGCTTTGGTTTCGGTAGCTCTCGCGTGTAAATATTATTATTTAATATGCCAATCGCAGAGCCATTCGCAGCCCACGCTCTGAGTGGACGGGGATGAAAAATCGCCGTCCGGAATGCTCAAACCGTGGAATTTACGCGCCACTGACACGCTTCCTAACTCCCGTTTTCCCCTTTTCCCACTCTTCGCCGCCCCTTGATTTTCCCTTTTTCACTCGCATCTCCCCACATGACTCTCACTTTTTATGGCGGGGCATTAAATCGCTTTATTATGAACTACTTGTTGACTTTCGGCAGCTGAAACTTTAAGTTGGCTTTGGCTCCGTGGGAGTGGGACCTGCTGGCAAGCCGCAAAGTGTGTAAAATCCATAATCAATCAGCTAATTCGAGTCTGAGTCTGACTTTGCCTGCGGTCGGGAGGGGAATCCCTAATGAGTTCGTTACGAGAAGATGAGCCCGCATCTAATTGTGGTTCTCGTTTCGCCATCTCCGACTTAACAAATCAGCCCGCAGCTGTTTCTGACGTGCGCCGCAGAAGTTTTCCTGGATGTGGCTTGCACATGCAACTACCAGACAGCAGAGGTCACAAATCTAGGAGAGCTTTCTCAGATTATTATACTTACTAGTTTATGTTATTTAGCAACAGTAATGTAAGACACTTTATATTATCAAAGACAGAAATAGTCTCCTTTTGAACATAATTCGATGTTTAATATTCTCGGGACTCAAAATTCAAATAGCTTGACCTGAATTGTTTGTGAGAAATGTTTTACACACATGTGTAGGCACTTAAACTAACCGACATTAGTGCATTTTCTTGGCAGGCACTTAGCTAAAGAGCAAATGGAGAGAAGTCCCAGAAACTCAAACAACCCGACCTTGCAGCGAGGTGAGAAAGGATTCCCGGCAAAATGTGCCTTACTTGGTTTAATGACGCCAGCTAAACGGCTGCTCTCATTGGAAAAGAGTGTGCCGCAGTCAGTTTGAGACAAGCCAAGTTGCATTTGAAATTTGCCAAGTAGCTGCAACGAGCGCCAAGAAACGGAAAAGAACAAGAGCCAGAGTAGAGCAGCCCAGAAACGGAAGCGAAATAAGGTTAAAAGCCACTTAGGACTCGGGCAAGTTAATGTGCCACATAACTCAAGTGAGTCACATGTTTTATTGTGCACCCACAGAGGATGCAGCCCAGTTGGGCCAGGGTCAAGTCGAATTAGCCAAGAGCATCGCTTTAATCGAATGCCAGCGGCGGGCGGGAAATTAACATCGAAATTACAGCACTTCCACAAGGGACTCCCCGAACATCTAAACTGGCGATTGCCTAGGCGAATGTGCTACTAAAGAGGCCTTTATTTGCACGGTTCAAATATTTGTATCCCTTTTAAAATCCTGATATCTTACATTTACGTATTGTTATCAATTAGATTTTAGTTTAACCTTTAAGCGCACTGTTTAAAGTGCAGTACCACCCTTTTTTATGGTAATTCGGCTAAAAGATGACCCATTTTTCTCTATGTGTGGCTAGGAGAGTGTGTATGTTTGTGGTAATCCCTGAGGCGTGTTATTCAAATCAGGAAGAAGGCAGAGGAAGCCAATTCCCTAGTTCTACGGCTACCGGAAGATCCAGCCTAAACTCCCACTTTCCTGAGGGATTCTGGGTGGTCCTGTCTGCCGTCTCGTGAGTATTTGTATGCGATTAGCGTTAAACCGCTGCCAAGCCATTCACATGCAGACGTGATGTACGTTGTTAATGATGAAGGACTCGGGATCCCATCATCGCCATCATCATTGTCACGGCCATTGCCAGTGGCATTGGCTTCGCCGAGTCGATTTTGCTGGGGATTAGCATTTTTACTGTCGTTAAGCTGCTGCGGCGGCCATGGGGCGTATGATTAACCTTTAATGCAGGCTTAAGTGTGAGTCGCACACCTAGTGACAAAGGACCAAAAGGAGATGGCCAGCAAAGTGAATGAATCGCACTTTTGGCCAGGCCCATTAATATCTGTCCATATGCAGGCCCACAACTTTCTCTCTTCTTCCCTTTTTGTCTTTATTCCTGGTCATTTATTACTGCCCGCCATCGATGGACTCGCCTCCGGCCATCTACTTTTTATCTACGCATGCACTGTGACATCTCGAAATTAGGACATCATTAGCAACTGTCGATGCCGCCAAAGAAGCGCCCTGATAAATGTCGAACAATCCCA